TTCCTGCCTAAATGTAACCCTTTGCTTTTCTCCACACTGAAACTCATTTTGTTGGATAGGGCGCATTGTTCAAGTTTGTTAATATCTTTTTGGATCCTGAGTTTGTCTTCTGGGGTGTTGGATAATCCTGCCTGTTTAGTATCATCTGCAAATTTGATGAGTTCCCCTTCAACTCCCTCATCTAAGTCATTTTATATTATAAATATATTAAGTTTAATAAATTAATCTTAATATACAGGACTTAAGATACTGCATTCAGTTTTAGTCAGTATAATATAAAAAATATAAAAAAGATGTTGAGAATTCTAGAAAGAGCAACAAAGATGATTAAGGGCTGAAGGCTAAAATATACAAGGAACAATTGCAGGAATTGGGTATGTCTAGTCCAGTGAAAAGTAGAACTAGGAGTGACATGAAAGCACTGTTCCAATATCTGAGGAGCTGCCACAGACAAGAGGGGGTCCACCTGCTCTCCAAAGCACCAGAGGGCAGGACAAGGAAGCAACGGAGGGAAACTGATGGAGGAGAGATGCAGCCTTAGAACTAAGGAGAAATTTTCTGACAGTGAGAACAATCAACCAGTGGAACAGCTTTGCCACCAGAAATCGTGGGCGCTCCATCACTGGAGACTTTTAAGAAAAGACTGGACGGGCATTTGTCCAGGATGGTGTAGGATCTCCTGCTTGAGCAGGGGGTTGCACTAAAAGACCTCCAGTGCCCATTCCAACTCTGTTGTTCTGTTATCTGGATTCCCCCACTGACTTTGCTAATTGGAACCCCCTCAGGACACTGCAGGGGTCATAAGAGCGAAGACCTGTTGTAAAATACTTTTTCTTCCCAGCACCATAACTTCAAATAGCGTTTAAACAAATGGTTCTAAGTTGAGGGCTACTTGTATGAAAAAAGAAATTCTATTAACTCCAAGTTATGGCTTCATTTTTCCTTTCCTCCATTGTATTCCATTTATGTGTGGGGTAAATATATGGTTGTATTGTTGCTGAAATTTTGACCTTGAAAGAAGAGAGGGTGCTAATAGCCAGCAGGAGATTCTCTGGACCAGATGGAGCACGTCTGAAGTATTTTGGGTGTTCTTTGATAAGAACGAAAGTTTAAAACAATTTGGCCATAGAGTGACATTCACTTCTTCCCATCATGCTGGAACTTAATTTGTGTAAATGGTGAATCACAGGATGGAGCATTGTTTTAATGAGTGAATAAATAGCAAGAATGTTAGATGTTTAAAATGTTTCACATTCTCTTGTGCCTTGGGTATAAAGGCCAAATGAACTTGGTGTCCGTAGATTTCACTTCTAACTTTTTATATGTCCTCTTAAATTTGTGTAGGACTCAGCTTGCTTTTTACCGCTTTTAATCGCAAAGAAACTATGGCATCCTGTTTAGGTCTAGATGCACTAGTTGTGCATGAATTGAAGGCTAAAACATATGAAGAACGGTTGCAGGAATTGGGTGTGACTAGTCTAGTGAAAAGGAGGATCAGGGGTGACATCATAGCAAGATTCCACTATCTGAGGGGCTGCCACAAAGAAGAGGGGGGATCAACCTATTCTCCAGAGGACCTGAAGGTAGAAAAAGAAACAATGGATGGAAACTAAACAAGGAGAGAAGCATCCCAGAACTAAGAAGTAATTTCCTGACAGTGAGAACAATTAACCAATGGAATGGCCTACTTTCAGAAGTTGTGGGTGACCCCAAACTGGAAGTTTTTAAGAAGAGATTGGACAGCCATCTGTCTGAAATGGTATAGGGTTTCCTGCTTGAGCAGGGTGTTGGACTAGAAGATCTCAAAGGTCCCTTCCAACTTTGTTATTCTGCTACTGCATTTGGCCAAATGGTCTGCATTCGACTGAGTGGAAACATCAGTTCCCAATTATTTTGGGGAAGATCTTGATCTCCATAAAAGATGCCTCTGTGTGTATAGGAGGTAGAGTGAGTCACAAGTGGAAACATGCTCTCCCAAGATCTTCCAGCCTGTTCCTGGTTACACACATGATCTACGATTCTGCTCTGTTTGTCCCAATAGTCAAGCTAGAGTATGATATGGGAGGATCAGGCTTGTTAATGAAAATGCAATTTAAAAAAGAGGCACAAACAGTTTCTGGATCTCTCTTCCTTTGCAGGATCCAATCTAGGTCGGTCACCCGGACAAGAGCAACAGCCTTAGGCTTATGTACCACTTCATAGTGCTTTACAGCCCTCTCTAAGCGGTTTACAGAGTCAGCCTATCTGTTACCACCAATTTTCAGTGCTGAAAATAATGTTTTTAGAAATTTTACTACTGTCCTGGAAAAAAATGGTGTTCTTGGAGGAGAGTGCAAGTCCTCTGTTTCTCTGCATTGTGCAAGAGAGTGTCTCTTGCATGGAAGGGCCTTGTTAAGATGTTCTCTCTCTTTGGAGCTGGGCTTTTTATCGCTTGCTGGGTGCTGAGTCATAATTAAGGAAGCTGGAGCTATAAAACTCACCCATTTCTCTTTTCCGGTGTCCTTTTCACCTTTATTTTTGCTCCCTCCTCAAAATGTTTGATTTCCAGAGGCAAAAATTCTCCATCTTTTCCTTCTGGAAACTCCATTGCTACTTGGCTGATGGGGAGGGAGTTTTGTGGGTCATCAGGTGCATCTGCAGAAAGTGTAAGATGAGGCATGTGGTCACTGGACAGGAAATTATTCATCCCACACTCCCTTATTAGTGAAAACTGGAGGCTGGAAAATGCAAACGGAACTGGCTTAGTGCTCTAATAAAGTGCTTAAAAGGAGGAAATGGAGAAGACTGTATTTTGCTGTCTTACTGGGGAGTTTAGTCTTGCTTTCCTCCTCTCTTACTGCTTTTCCATATTTTTGAAAACAAAAGAGGCAAGTAGAAAGTCTCCAGGGAGAAAAATTGGGGGAAAAGTTGTGGGCCTTGCCCTAATTTCAAGGCTGCCTTGAAATACTAGTGAAACTGCTCACTCATGCTTCTGTTTGGTGTTTTATTAAAGTTTATTATAAGATAAAAATAAAAAAGACACAAGTTGGAAAGCTGAGAGAAAGAAGAAGGAAGGATGCAAAGAGAAGAAAACAAAAAAAGAGAGAAAGAAGAGAAAGAAACACCCACCTTTTTTCGGTGAAGTAAAATACAAAGAAAGAATCACAACCTCAACTTTTTGATTCGCATTTGTACTATTTCAAGCCATTTCTATAACAACATAGTCATACTAATCGTCAGAACCTAAAATCAAAGTTTCATTTTTTTCAGTTTCAAACAAAAAGTTCAGAAGTGGTTTCCAAATGGAAACAAAACTAGATGGTTCTTCTCTTTTAATTAAAATGGTTTTGCCATCTCTGCCAACCCCATCACTTTTGGCATCCATTCTTTCATTGTAGGACCTCGGCCCCTGTTTGGTGTTGCAGTACATGAGTAACAGAATAACAGAATCAGAAGGGACTTTGGAGATCTTCTAGTCCAACCCCCTGCAGAAGCAAGATATATCTTTGATCAAGAAGATGGCATCCAGTTGCTAAGGAAGCTATTTCATAAAATAGTCCGAGGCCAAGGCTTATATTAGGGACACTGTCTGGTTGGCTTGGACTTCTGTCTCTAGAAACCGGTGGACCCTTGTTACTTCCCAGTTTGCCCCCAAGGAACCCTCTCCCTCTGTCTGTCCGTCATCCATCTCTCTCTCTCTCTCTCTCTCTCTCTCTCTCTCTCTCTCTCTCTCTCTCTCTCTCTCTCCCTCCCTCTCTCTTCCTCCCCCCCCACCCAACTACCTACTGCACCTACCTACCATTCAGCCCATGCTTCTTGAAGAACAGTCCGCTATAACCACACGAGCTCCATCTTGCATGGCAGGGAGGCCTTGTTTTTCCAGATCTCTCCTTCCCTAGACACAACACAAGAAGAGGAGATGTTGGGGTATTTGTGTGGTTTGCTTTTAGTTTCTGGGAGGAACATCCCCTTTTGCCACAGGAAGCAGCATTGCTAACACTGGACCACCATGGTCTCCTGTATCCTTTCCTGAGCAGGGAAACAGGAGTTGCCAGTCAACCAGCGGCAAGGGAAGCGATGCCAGTTGGCATCCCTTCCACCCAAATGCAGAGTCGGTGAGCCAGAGAAATTCCGTATGTGGCAGTAAGGAAATGGGGAAGTAGGGGGAGGGGCTGTTGTTGGTATTGGCTTCTGGTCCGTGGTGGGCGTTTTCAGGCCATGCTGGCACTTGGCACTGGCAATTCTGATGCCAACCAAGAAGGTCCTTCCTGTTCAGCCCTGTTTGGGCATCTTGTCCTCCACAGAAGTTTCCAGGCTAGCAACTTCTCCGACTTTTGTGTACAACACGCTGCATTGGAGTTGTGTCACAAATATATGAATGAGTACAAGTGCATGAAGTTAGGGAGATTTGTTAACACAAATCCGGTGGGAAAAAACACAGCTGTTAACAGTGTAAACATGATGGTGAATAAAAGTCCAAAAATACATGTTTTGGTAATTTATGAAGAATTTTGCCTTTTTTAGGTCAGCTTAGAGAGTCATCCTGTGCAGGTATAAAGAAATCAAAACTGCAGTGTCAACAAGGGGATTCGAGACATATTCTTTGCTGATTTTTTAAAATTGTCTTTATATTATAAAAAGCCCAGATTTAATAACTTATTAAAGATCTAAGGTAGTTGTATATTAATACTGTATGAATTTTTTTGTTAAACTTTATTTTACTTTTATCACTATTATATGTCGTTTTGGTCTGTTTGCATTTTCCGGTTGAATTGTTTTCATTTTGCTTGATAAATTTACAAATTAAAAAGTATAAAAAGGCCCTGTAGCTTTGGGGGTGGAGTGGAAACCCCACCCTCCAATAAACCTCAGGTAACTTTGTTATAGGCTTGGTATCGATCCTAAGACCCTACTGTTTCTTGCAAGTAGTCGTTTTTATGGTTTACCACAATTTTTAATGGCAAACGAAGACCTTCCAGCCAAGCCTTGTCTCCATCAGTGTTTTTTCTCTCCAAATTCAGGTCGCTGGATGGCCGGCTGCAGGTCTCCCATCGAAAGGGTCTCCCACACGTCATCTATTGCCGGCTATGGCGGTGGCCAGACCTTCATAGCCACCATGAGTTGCGCGCCATGGAAATGTGTGAATACGCATTCAACATGAAGAAGGATGAAGTCTGTGTGAATCCATATCACTACCAAAGAGTGGAAACACCAGGTAGGGCCAACCCAGGAGCTCCTAGGGAAGAGATGAGTACGTAGGGGTTTCATTATCAGAAACCTGGAAGCCTTAAAGTTGGCTGCATTTGTGACTGGCTGCTTTTGTCCTCAGTATTACCTCCAGTTTTGGTCCCACGTCATACGGAAATTCCAGCCGAATTCCCTCCACTCGACGATTACAGCCATTCCATTCCTGAGAATACAAATTTCCCAGCTGGCATCGAACCTCAGAGCAACTACATTCCAGGTATGACATCCCTAGGAAGAAGAGAGGATGGGAAGCGGCTTCCTTTCCAGTCCCAGGAACCTACCTCCACTTTGGCACCGAGGGATTCAGGTCTTATCACAGGCAGCAGGCAGAGAAGAAAAATTGCATCCATCTCTCTCTCTCTCTCTCTCTTCCCCCCCTTGCTATGCTACCCTGCTAATTAAGGGTGTGAGAGGAGGGTCCTTTTGAAAAATATTGAGAGATCTTCCTCCCTTTGGATGGACTTCCCAATTCAATTTCTTTCCAGCCCTGACCCTCGGCTCTGCCTCCGCTACTCCCTGGTGGGCGAGAAGCCTTGACTGTTTATTTCACAACCAGGCTGTGAGAAAGAATTGGGTTATAAAGCCCTCCTCCTTCCCTTTTTTTAAGGTTTTGCAAAGACCAAACCTTGATCAGAGTTGTTTACTCTTTTGTGTTCATCTTTTGGGTCTCCCTAGCTGTTATATTTTGCAGGCAAGGACGAGTCTCCCCTCGGAGGAGGAGGAGGAGGCCTTCTCCTGCTTGGTCCCAGGCTGCAGATCCCTCCCGGAGCTCTCCTGACTTTTTCTCTTTTCTCCTCTTAGAAAAGCAGCCAAGAGGCATCTCCCTTGCCAGGCTTTTAATAATTTGTTAACGTTTTTATTAGTTTTGAGTCATGCTTTTAGCTTGGCATTTGGATTTTGATTGGCCTATCTTGGGACCTCAACTGGATAGAAAAACAGACTGGAAGTCTGTCAAACAGTTCACTGCTGTTGAGAATGGTGCATTTTTATAAAGCTCTGGGTCAGCGCTGTGACAAACCGAACTGAAGCCATTTTCATTTTGTCTTCGTTGCCACATTTCAGTTTAGAGATTTTAGATGGAGGGGGGGTGGATGTGTAGTACTCAGTTAGCCAAAACAATTCATATGTGTGAGAACCAAAGTCAGTGCTGATAACATTTTGGCGACTGGAGAGTGGGGAAGAGAGCCCAGGTTTTGCAACAATTGGTGAATGTGATTTATGACAGCAATTTGGGGTGGGAATTGCAATTGAAACTTTGTAACCAGGGGGAGGGGATTTTTAGTCTTGGGTTCACCTATGTATGTGCCGATATTTTGTTTCCTAAATAAAATGTTTCTTTAAGGAAGAAATGTTTGCCTTGAAGTTCTTTTAAATGGTTTCATCTATCGGAACCATGACACTCTATTTTAATTTTCTTCCCCCCCCCCTCTTCAGAGACACCCCCTCCCGGATATCTGAGCGAGGATGGAGAAACCAGTGACCATCAAATGAATCACAGTTTAGATGCAGGTAAATCACAACTGGAATGATTTTGTGGATTAAAGGAATTACTCTCTGCTCTTGCAACTCCTCTCTTGCCAGATCTTGAAAACTCATCCCATCCTGAGAGGATCCCTTTCTCTTCCCTCTTCCTGGTCTCTGTGATCTTGCCTCCGCCCACCACCTTCCCCCCCCTCGGTCTGGATCAGTCTCTCCTTCTCTGCCCAGGAATCATTTTTCCTGCTGCTGCTGCTGCTGCTGACAAGGAAAGCAATAGTCCCCAGTTCAATGCCAGCCAAGTGGGGAGGAGACGCATATGGAACAGGGCTTACCAGCTTCCTCACTTAGGCAGCAGACAACTCTTGGATGGCCCTTTCTCAAGAAGAATATTAGCCTGAGAGAGTCACAGCTGACCGCTGGGGAGAATGGCATGGTGCTGTTGATATAAGCCACTGAAACATGACAAATCTACCTAAAATAACTTTTATAATCAGAAATGACTGAATGAGAGTATAAAACCCAATTCTGCTTGTCTCCCAGTTTAGTTCCATCTTTGCCATCTGCAGTTCTCCAGATAAAAAGTGGAGAAGGCCATAAATAGAGTGAGGCAGATATTTGTTGAATTTGTTTGGCAAATGGCAACATGAACCTTATTAAAGTTGTTTCCTTCCTATCGCAAGGCTAAATTAGAGGAGGTGCTGCAGTCTAGAGCAATCTGGACACACCAAAGGAAGCAACAGCATTTCAGATCACTTTTTTGAATTCTAGAACTGAAGCATAGAATTTCCTTGAAGTTAGTTAAGACCTGCACTTCAAACAAAGCCAATTTGTACATCGCTCCAAAACGCTTTGGCTTAGCATGTGATGACAATTCCTGTGGTTTATTCAACAGATCACAATTATGCAAACTTTGGATTAGTGCATTGTGTGATCCAAATTACATTTTGTCTCCCAATTACTAACTAAATTTCCTTTTGCCCCTTCAGGTTCTCCAAATTTATCTCCAAATCCAATGTCTCCTGCACACAGCAATCTGGGTAAGCGTCCCACGATGTGGAGCCTTTGATTTTTTTCCTAGGAGGTGAAGGCCGAGAGAAAGAGGGTGGGGCAGAAGAGGATGGCTTTAATTAGGAACTATTGTGAAGAAAATACTCAAAATTTAGCATTCCCCTTCCAGTTAATAGATTTGTTAGGTTGTATTTTGTCTTGAAGTTCTGCTACCTGTTTCTCTCTGGGGCAAGATGAGTGTACGCACATATCCTAAGGAAGTAATACTCTCTGAGAGCATTTCCTGTTCTCTCCAAAACTACTTTGGTTCCTGATTGAGAAAACAGATGTGCGGCCACTAGCCAGCTCTTGAATCTTCCATGAATATGATTTTAACAAATGTCTTGTGGTGTTTAGCTCGTTCTTGTCAACATCAAGAGGTTCACCGACACACGTAATGTTTCGCTCAACTGGGCTTGGCTTGGAGGTGCTGCCCACTCGACCTCTCTCGGACTGCAGTCCAAGTGCCTCCTCCACCATTTGGTTGCATTTATTGACAAATCTGGAAGTTGTTGTCATTTTCAATGTTTCAACCCTATGTTGGGTCACTCAGTGAAATTTTAGGAGTGGTGGATTCAGAACAGATGCATTGACATTCTTCACGCAATGCAGAGTTAAACTAAGGAATTTGTTACCAATATCTCAGGGGCTGCCAGAAAGAAGAGGTTGTCAAGCTATTCTCCAAAGCGCCTGAAGGCAGGACAAGAAGCAACAGATGGAAACTCATCAACGAGAGAAGCAACCTGGAACTAAGGAGAAACTTTCTGACAGTTAGAACAATTAACCAGTGGAACAACCTGCCTCCAGGAGCAGTGAATGCCCCAATGCTGGAAGTTTTTAAGAAGAAACTGGACAGCCATTTGTCCAAAATGGTATAGGGTTTCCTGCCTGAGCAGGGGGTTGGACTAGATGACCTCCAAGGTCCCTTCCAACTTTATTATTATTATTATTAATTATGGTGGCAGCTGACACCTTTGATGGCTTTCAAAAAGAATGATGCCAACCAATGGAGAACAAAGCTGATCCATGGCTGGTCATCAAATGTCTTTCCGTAGAATCAGCAGCCATTTGCCTCTTGCTTCGGGCACAGAAAACTCATGGATTTTGCTGGAAGGTCCTTGGTCTCATCTTCCCAAAGTTGTGAGCCCTGGTGGCGCAGGGGTTAGAATGCAGTATTGCAGGCTAATTCTGCTGACTGCCAGGTGTTTGATCAGCCTTCCATCCTTCTGAGCCCAATCAAATGAAGACCCAGATTGGTTTTTTTTTTTTTGGTGGGGGGGGGTAATATGCTGACTCTGTAAACTGCTCAGAGAGAGCTGTAAAGCACTATGAAGCAGTATATAAGTCCAAGTGCTATTGCTATTGGCCAGGATAGGAGCAAAAGCTAGACTTACGGGCTGATCCACCACCTTTTTATATGTCTATTCTAATTAGTAGCAATTATCTCCAAAGTCTTTGGTAAAAATTACTATCGGACAAGCTTGGCATGCATGGTCACACTGCAGTGTTGCAGCGGGTCCAAACTGCATCATTGGCTGGCTGTAACCTTCCATGTCTTGGAATGACATTGAATGACCAGCAACTTCTTTGGATAGAGGTCAGATACATCAAGACGGTGGCCATTGTAATGTGGCTAAAGCGTCTCTACTTCTGCATGTGATAGTGCACATACTGAAGGGATAGTTGTTTGTGCTACTGTGGTTATCTTTTTGATTTTCTGACACACACACACACACACACAGAGAGAGAGAGAGAGAGAGAGAGAGACCCCTTTCCTATGCTACCGTGCACAGCATGTGTGAGTTTCTCAGAACATCCTTTTCTGAGACCAGTAAATTCTGCACACAGCTAATAAGAAGCCAGAAGGTGACTTGGTTTTGACCTCACAATTTGTGTGTTTCTGGCTGTTACAATTTGCAAACCGAGTGCTACATTTTATATTTGAAAGCATAATGTAAACCCAAAACGATGATTTATTCAACATGATTTGGTCACGTGGAGAGCATGTATTGAATGTCTAGCTTGATTGAGGGATGCCTTTTGAACTGATATAGCATATCATAGGCAAAATCATTGCTTATACTGCAACTCTTCCTCCTCCTGGATCTTACAAGACTCTTAGAAGAATTAGGAATACAGGCAATCCTCAGCTTAAAACCACAGTTGGCACCAGAATTTCCTTTGCTAAGCAAGGCAGTTAAGTGAGTCACAGCTGATTTTACTACCTGTTTTGCTACAATACCTTTATGTTAGTTAACAGAATAACAGAAAAGAGTCAGAAGGAACCTTGGAGGTCTTCTAGTCCAGCCCCTTGCTCAAGCAGGAAACCCTATACCATTTCAGACAAATGGTTGTTCAATCTCTGAGGCTCTAGAAAGAGTGCAAAGAAGAGCAACAGAGATGATTAGGGGACTGGAAGCTAAAACATATGAAGAACTTTTGCAGGAACTGGGCATGTCTAGCCTAGTGAAAAGAAGGACCAGGGATGACAGCAGTCTTCCAGTATTTGAGAGGCTGCCACAAAGAAGAAGGAGGTCAACCTATTCTCCAAAGCACCTGAAGGCAGGACAAGAAACAATGGATGAAAACTAATCAAGGAGAGAAGCAACCTGGAACTAAGAAGAAATTTCCTAACGGTGAGAACAATAAACCAGTGGAACGGCTTTACCTTCAGAAGTTGACCACGCTCCATCACTGGAAGAGACTGGACAGCCATTTGTCAGGCTTTCTGCCTGAGCAAGGGATCGGACTAGAAGACCTCCAAGGATCCTTCCGACTCTGCTATTCTGTTATTCTGACTACCTATACACATTTTACTTATAAACCGAGGACTACCTGTATGCATTTCTAAGCGGCTGGCAAAACTGTACATGTGAGAAGAAGCAACTTTATCCTCTCCACCTTTTTCTTGCAGATCTCCAGCCAGTCACCTATTGTGAACCAGCCTTCTGGTGTTCCATTTCCTATTATGAGCTCAACCAGCGAGTGGGAGAGACATTCCACGCTTCTCAGCCCTCAATGACCGTGGATGGTTTCACGGACCCCTCAAATTCAGAGCGCTTCTGCCTCGGCCTGCTTTCCAATGTCAACCGCAACGCAGCAGTGGAGCTCACCCGGCGGCACATTGGTAGTCTCCGTTGCCGTGTCTTTGGCAGAGGGGGCTGGAAAGGGACTCAGGCCCTGCGTAAACACTGAACTTGGCCAGGAGAGTTTAGCCTTTAGGACACACACAGCTTCTTTGCTTGCCTGAAGTCAGGGGTGGGGAACTATGGCTGTTTTAGGACCTGCGGACTTCATGAGCCATGCTGGCTCAGGAATTCTGGGAGTTGAAGTCCAAGGTCATAAAGGGCCATAGTTCCCCACCCCTGACTCACTGATGCTGCATATTTAATTACACAAGGCCGTCTGGTTTTATTATCTTTCTTGTTTATATAATAAACTTAATGTTTGGAAGGCATCAACTTTTCTGTGATCTTCACACAGGCACACTCTTTAACTCTGTTTATTACAGCTGGCTCTCTCACCAACCAAAATGGAAAGCCGGACTCTCTTCCACAGGATGAGAGCAACAACTTTACAAACTCATCTATCAGATCTATCCAATTTTGAAAAAGTTGTGTCTTTTTGAGTTATGTTAACAAATCATAGCTTTTTTTCCTCAGCAGGCAGCGATTTCTTGGAGTCAATTAACAGAGGGAATTAAATAGAGCTAGTTGCCATGTTTTGGAGAATCCAAAAAACCCCAAACAAACTTTGTTCCAGCTGTAGCGATTTCCTCAGTTTTGGACTTTTTAAATAATGGAATTTCCATCAGTGCCTCTTCCTGGAGACTATAGAAAAGAGGGCTGACTTATTAGAAAGCAATTTATGGCCTAAGACGTGTGGTAGTGGCTACAGCAGAGGGAAGGCACATTCCAAATGTTTCAAGACTACATTTCCCATCAGCCTTTAGCCACATTGGTGAGATCTGAAGCCCCAAATTCCTGAGAAGCATCAAACTGCTCATCCATGGGATACATAATAGGTCAAATTCTGTCCAGATTTCAATTTCTCCTCCTGTGAAACTTACTTGGCAACCCAGGACAGGTAATTAAGCCCAGCCTTCTCACTGCAGGCCCATCAAGATATTCCAAAGGTGCTTTCCAAAAGACACTGGATTTTCTTGGTTTTTCCTTCAAAATGTTTCACCTCTCGTCCAAGAAATTTCTTCAGTTCTGGATGTTTTCAACGAAAAACCAGGAAAGTCCAGCTGCCTTTTGGAAAAACACCTTTGGGACAACCATGACCTGGACGACTGAGAATCTCCACAGACCTTTAGCCATCAAAATATGTTACAGAGCACCACATAAGTTGCTTTTTGGAAGAAGGAGGCAAAGATTTTTCCCGCCTCTTGCTGCCAGGGAGGGAGGGAGGGAGGGGAGACCGAAAGGAGTCCTGGGCTTTCAAAGAGAGATTGAATTTTGTCTTCTTTGCTGTCCTGATGCTGAACCCATCTTCTAGGGAGAGGAGTGAGGCTGTATTACATTGGAGGGGAAGTTTTTGCCGAGTGCCTTAGTGACAGTGCCATATTTGTCCAGTCCCCCAACTGCAACCAGCGCTATGGCTGGCACCCAGCTACCGTGTGCAAGATACCACCAGGTAATTTATTTTGACTCTGTTTCCCTTTGTGTTTTATGTCTTTCTCTGCCACCTCTGTCCAGTGAGTTGGCCCAGAGGACTCTGTGGCAGTGAATCTCTGCAGTTGAGAACCACAGCAGGATTTCCATGGGAGATTCTCCCCCTCTCTCTCTCCCACTCCCTCCCCCAAATTTGCTGCCTCTTCTAGGAAGAGTGAAACACAAATACTGAGATTTGAGGCAGTGCTGTTGTTCTTAAAAGTCCGTACTGGCATGTTGAATGCAAGATTCAAGATTCAGCTTTTCAAGAACTTGGATTTTCTGGAAGACCTTATCCAATTTTGCAAAACAATTTGCTTTCATCTTTTTGGATCAGTCTAAACTAGTTGATAGCTCTGTTGGTAGGTGTGATGGAGAATTAGAAGGTTTTTTGCATGCATTGGAGTTGCAAGGAGAATTATGTCCCAAGAAACTCTGAATAAGGGGCAGACCTAAGATTAGGTCAGAGTTGGGCACCTCTGGTAACTTTACAACTTAGGCATAGGCATAGACATAGGCATAGGGATAGAATAGAATAGAATAGAATAGAATAGAATAGAATAGAATAGAATAGAATAGAATAGAATAGAATAGAATAGAATAGAATAGAATAGAATAGAATAGAATAGAATAGAATAGAATAGAATAGAGCTGGAAGGGACCTTGGAGGTCTTTGAGTCCAGCCCCCTGCTCAAGCAGGAGAACCTACACCATCTCAGGTGGTTGTCTCTAGTCTTTTCTTAAAAACCTCCAGTGATGGAGCGCCCAAGATTTCTGGAGGCAAGCTGTTCCACTGGTTGATTGTCCTCACTGTCAGGAAATTTCTCCTTAGTTCCAGGTTACTTCTCTCTTTGGTCAGTTTCCAACCGTTGTTTCTCGTCCTTCCTTCTGGTGCTTTGGTGAACAACCTGGCCCCCTCTGCCTTGTGGCAGCCTCTCAGATACTGGAACACTGCTATTATGTCTCTCCTATTTCTTCTTTTCCTTAGACTAGCAGACCCAAATCCCGTAGCCGTTCTTCGTATGTTTTAGTCTCCAGGACCCTGATCATCTTAGTTGCTCTTCTTTAAACTTGTGGACTTCAATTCAGAGAAGATAGGAATTCTGGGAATTGAAGTCTTCAGCTCATAAATTTGCCATAGTTGTCCACCCTGGACTAGACCTTATCCAATTGGTATCCTTCAGATGTATTGGCACTGCAGTCAACACATATACACACACACTCATATCTACATAACACACTGCTTCTCTTTTTCCTTGCAATAAATCTCTGTACTCTGACATAGCTCAAAATGTTCCTTAGAATATTTGGCTAGCTGGACTCATGCAGAGAACTCTAAAAAGGCCAAATGCTACTATTGGCTTCATGACACATATCCAAATCTGAATGACTTCCACGAAGGAAGCCCAGTTTGAACCAGCCCTCTCTTTCCACTTTAAGAAGATAGTTTCAGCCACTAAGTAATTGAGATTTCTTGATTAAATCCCCAAAGTCAGAAGTTGTCTGTTCTGATGAATTAGATAAGTAGCCATTTTTATTCCAGATGACGTAAACACTTTAGATGATGAGCATTAAAGTAGGAAAGCAAAGCAGGTAGTCCTCAAGTTATGACCATTCATTCGGCGACTATTTTAAATTAAGAAGGGATTTCTCTCTGCTTCCATTTAATGACCCACATGACAACTGGGAGTGCCTGGATTGCTGTTGCCAAGCACAGTGGTCCCCTGGCATTGTAACTCAAGGTCTACCTGTATTCAACCATTTTACAGATCCCAACAGTAATATATAGAATAGTTTTAGTTCAGTAGAAACCTTTTTTCTTTCTCAAAGTTGTGTTGTACTCTACTTTTCACTAGTTTTTAGTTTTTATTTATTTTATTTGTGAAAAGCTTGATGAGTTCTCAATTTAGAAAAAAGAAACAGCTTGCCTTGAATATTTTAACACACTTAGTCTTATGACTGAAAATGTGCTTGAAAGCTTGTTGTCTGTTGGGATTTAAAAAGCTAGGAAAGAAATGCTGATTTGGGGAAAGTCTTGTGCTCCGGATGTCATGAACTGTGATCAGAAAGATTTTTTTGTGGTGTTTAATTTCAGAAAGAGCTGCCTGTGTGTCTGTGAATGTGTGTGTGTGTGTTAACCCAGGAATATTGTGTTTCTTGCTCTTCCATGCCAGTGTAACTCTGGCCTTGATTGCAGATCAGCAGGTCCTGCCTCTTACTTTTCAGAATCAACTCTGGAAAGTGGCAGGCAAGACCTGCTGATCTTCAAATCAAGGCCCAAAAAGCCAACACAGGCCTAGGCTGCTTTAACAGAGGAATAGAATCAAGATCACGTGAAGGGTTAATACTACTTTACAACGCCTTGGTGGGGCCACACTAAGAATCTTACATCCAGTTTTGGTCACCACGATGTAAAAAAGACGTTGAGACTCTAGAAAAAGTGCAGAGAAGAGCAACAAAGGTGATCAGAGGATTGGAGGCTAAAACATATAAAGAACGGCTGCTGGAATTGGGTATGTCTAATTTAATGAAGAGAAGGACCAGGGGTGATATGACAGCAGTCTTCCTATATCTGAGGGGCTGCCCCAAAGAAGAGGGAGTCAAGCTATTCTCCAAAGCACCTGAAGGCGGGACAAGAAGCAACAGATGGAAACTAACCAAGGAGAGAAGGAAGGAGAAATTTCATAACGGTGAGAGCAATCAACCAATGGAAGAGATTGCCTTCAGAAGTTGTGGGTGTGCTCCAACACTGGGGGCTTTTAAGAAGAGATTGGACAACCATCTGTCAAGAGTGGTATAGTGTCTCCTGCTTGAGCAGGGGGTGGAAGTCTTCCAAGGTCCTTCCAACTCTGTTATTCTGTAGTCTGTAAGGCCAGAATTACACTGGCCTTGAAGACTGGCCTTGACAGATGGGGGAAAGGCTTCCATTTTCTGGCCTCCCTGCACTCTCTCGGTTTTGAGCTATCTCGGTTTTGAGCCCTGATTATTTTTTAGCAGGCAGCTGGCCTTATGTGCAAAAAACTGGTATGGAAGGGAGATTGAATGGAGGCCATGGTTGGGGGCCAAAGGAAGAAGCTAGATTGGAAGAAGACATTTTCTACTGACTGCTTCGCTGTTGGGGCTCAGTGGGGGATTTTTTACCACTCCTTATTAATTTTAGCCCAGTCCAGGAAGAAGGGGTCCCCAAAGGGGAGGATGATCCCCAAAGAAAGATCTATTTTAATTTACGGGATTACTTATACAGGGAGACCTCAATTTACAACATACAATGGTCTGCAATGTTGATCTTGGTGAACCTTTTACATTGCTGCAGCAAAAACTACACAGATGCATCAGAAAATGCAACATCAATTTTTAAAAAGAATGTAGTGAGATCACAAAATTATAGGTTGGTCAGATTAATAGCTCGTCCATGGAAATTGGTTACAGAGAGCAATCAAATTAAGAGAAAAGAACTAGGCACAGTGAGGAATGCCCTAACCTTTGTCAAAAATCAGCCAGCATGGATTCCATAAAAGTAAATCCTACCTCATCAACCTCCTACTTCATTTTTTTAAAAATAATCTTTATTCCAGCAATTTCTAAGATGAAACTCACCAGATGTGATGGATTTTTGCTTTCCATTTATATTTACATAAGCACAAAACAGATTTGATTTATTTTTACAAAATAAAAGATTTAAAAGTTTATGTGTTCTTCTGATAATCTCTGACCTTGGTGAATAGCTAAAATTCATAATGATTAATATTTCTGTTTGATGTTCAAGGTGGCCTCTTAACAGTTTTATTAACCCAGCAACTTACCAAATTAATATATTATGACATCATAGCTCTCTGGTATTTATGTGTACAGTATCCTTTCCTGCTACTAGAGCAAAAATACTAACGTGTATCTTGGAGCTGCACAAATCTCACATTGTAAACATGAAGCTCTTGATTGGTCATTTAATAGGAAAATGACTGCTGAAAGAAGGTTGCCTGCTTTTTAGCCGGAGAAAATAAGAGACCTTCCTCTTCCTTTTTGTCAGTCCTAGAGTTTTGTGTGTCTGTTTCACCAACCTTGAAGGCCTCCGGGAGTGTTGTGTCTTGTCTGTGGTGAGCTGCTGAAGGACACAAGGGCACACAAGGTGATGCCATTGGGGAAAACCTGCTAATGTTGGTCCTCTTGTTGTGTCCGTTCTCTGTCCTCCACAGGGTGTAACTTGAAGATATTTAACAACCAGGAATTTGCTGCCCTCCTGGCTCAGTCGGTCAACCAGGGCTTCGAGGCCGTCTACCAGCTGACGCGCATGTGCACCATCCGGATGAGCTTCGTCAAGGGCTGGGGGGCCGAGTACAGGTCAGCATTTCACCCTGGAAAGGAGAGGGAAAGGGGGAAGCAGCTGTGGGAGGCCCGGAGGTACAGGCAGTCCTCGAGTTACGACGGTTCATTAGGTGACTGTTCAAAGTTACAGCAGCACTGAAAAAAGTGACTTTGGGCCATTTTTGCAGCCTCCCAGAGTCACCGGATCAAAATTCAGAGGCTCGGCCATTCACTCACATTTACGACGGTTCCGTGTCCCCCGGGTCATGCGATCCGCTTTTGCAACCTTCTGACCAGCGAAGTCAATGGGGAAGCCAGATTCACTTAACCACGTTAAGTGATTAACTTAACAAATGCAGTGATTCACTTAACAAGTGTGGCAGGAAGGGTCGTAAAACGAAGCAAAACTCACTTAACAAATATTTCACTTAGCAACATAAAGTTTGTGGTCGTAAGTTGAGGACTACCTGTATGTGGGGGAGGGGGAGGCTTCCTGAGCCCCCAGCTCCTGAGCGAAGAGGCAGAGGAGGGGCCTGCAGTCCCCAGATGTGGGACAGTCGCAGCTGCCGCTCGGAGCGCTGGCCGTTTTTTCTCTCTGCGATGGCCGTTTAGGGACCGGAAGGGCAGGAGGGAATTCTGCAGGGTTGGGAGGAGACCCCGGGTGGGAAAGTGGGGGATGGAGGAATGGCTTGGCTTCTACCGGGGGGGGGGGGGGAGGCACAGAACCAAGACTGGGCTGTCTGCAAAGACTCAGAAAGAAAGCGCCTCTGCGGGGGGGGGGCAATCCTGGTCCTGCTTTCATGAGCTCCTGGGAATGGGCAGCAGCTGTGGCTTTCCAGCAGGGCTGCTTTCCATGGGGGCTGGGGAAGGAGTGGGCGCCCAGACCTCTCACGTTACCTCTCCCAGCTCCTCCAGATGTCTGGAGTCCATCTTGTTTTGCAGTTGGCTTGCTCCCTGCTCAGGCTGCTTTGGGCCTTGGCCGATGGCCAAGGTGTCTAATGAGCTCCAGATGTGCATGCTGCTGTTGCTGCTGCCTTTGCCGCCACTGCCTTGGGTGGGGCTGGCCAGCCTCGGTCCTTGAGAAGAGACAGCTGGCGGGAGTATGTTCTGCGCTTGTGCATTGCAACTGGCTCCTGGCTGCCTGTTAAGTAGGGGTCAGTAGGGCCTTGTATCCCTTGGTCTCCAGCCCAGCCAGAACTGCTTCTCCCCCCACCCTCCCCTTTCTGCTACATGTGTCTTTGAAGGGGTCAGTCTGGGGCAGAGCGGCCTCTGCTTTCAGATTAGAGTAGCTTTTGCTCTCCTCTGAAGGATGCTGGGTGGGGTCAGCAGAAGGGGTCGCTCCCGCTCTCTCTCCTCTCTTGGACCAGGGCAGGCTCAGTGTTTGGGAGTGCCCCATTTCCCTTCTGAGCGGCTTCGGGCTCCAGGTCTCACAGAGTCTCGCAGCAGGATGCTTGGGTCCTCTTGCCCAGCGGAGGGGACATACCTGGCTAAGCATGGCCGGCCAGCCTCCCTCCCTCTCACCAGGGGCTCCTCCCAGGCAGTTGCAAAGCACAGGGCTGGCTGGGCCAGGCTGGGCACCCTCTGGCACTGGTGTCCGAGTCGCCTAACACCAGCCTGATTTTTCAGGAAGCAGAACAGGAAGGCGATGGGCTTCCTCCTCCATTGTTGCTGGTATTCAAGGAATGCTGCGGGCGATTCCTGAGGGTTGTCAGTGGTCATCAAGGCAGTGGCCTGGACTTGGTGCAAATGCCCCTTAAAACCATTTGCACGGCTTCCATCACAGCATCCGAGAACAGCCAATGTACGGGGTGTCAAGAAGACCTGGCTTTTATCTATCGTAAATCTCGCATCTTTTAATTCCCACACAGCATTTCCAAGTTTAATGCAGTGGGAGATGGGGAGAGAAGGGTCCCCCCGTCTGATCTTTTCCCACACGTGACTCCTTCCCTCTTCCACTTAGCAGGATGCCCTGTTCTCCCTGATCAACAGAAGCAGAGCAAGTGGCAGGGGCTCTGTGATAGCCTGCTTTGGCTCAGTTGCCCCAGGGAGCAAGCAGGGACTTCTCCAGTGGGCAGAAGACTGGATCAGATGATCGCCAAGGTCCCTGCCAACCCTGTAGAGATGTGCAGTCCTTGGAGCCGGCGGCAGAGGTGCTTGGAATCTGGTACAGACCTCCCTTCTCCTTTCCAGGAGCTGGGAAGGCCAGCAGAGCTAATTTTGAGATCAGGGAAGAAATGAGCCAGGTGTTGAGGGGGTCCTAGCAGAAACACTCCAAATCCTGAGAATCCAGAGGTCAGAAGCATTTCCAAAGAGGAAAGCATCAGAGATGGACTCAAAAATCCCATCTTGATTGTGCTCAGCATAAGCTGGGATCAAGGGAAACTAGGATGAGCTTTCACCACAATAAGGAGCACCCTGCTGGGCCTGCTTCTTGACCTGTCCGGCCTCAACCGGCTGAAATCGATCTGCTTCTGCTGATCAGGAGAAAGAGAACCGATCCTGGGTTTCTGTCCTGGTCCCCTCCTCCCCTTCATGTTCTCATGGAGATACAGTCGTCCTCTCTGTGTTTCCGTTCCAGACGCCAGACGGTCACAAGCACTCCCTGCTGGATCGAGCTCCACCTGAACGGCCCCTTGCAGTGGCTGGACAAGGTCTTGACGCAGATGGGCTCCCCAAGCATCCGCTGCTCTAGCGTGTCTTAAAGGATGCGGAAGGTGGAATCGGGTCAAGTCTTGCGTAGGGACAAAAGAGGTCAGCCTCCTGCCTGACAGTGTACAAAATACAGAATGGAAATGAGCATTTAGGGTAGCGGCTGTGTCCTTCCAAGGCCCGGCCTTCTCTTCTGTTCAGTGAAAGGTTTTGTTTTGGCCTCCTGGACAGGAGCAAAGACTTCATCGTAAGTGTTCATGTGTTCGGAGGATCCACTCCCAGCTTTGTGATGCCCAGGCGGGTCCCACATGGGCTACTGGAGGAGACCCTTGGCTCCATTGGCAGCTTGGATTTCTAATTTAGGACAGGCAGGCTGTGGCTGATGGGCTTTATAACACAGGGTGGCACCTGGCAGCAATTCTTGGGAGGCTAGAGAGCAAGGAAATGGTTCTGTCTCCTCCTAGCCCTTCCTCCTTCCTACCTCTTCATGGAAGAATTTCCACAGTACCAAGACATCTTCTAACGTTTCTTTTTGAGCCTCCACCTGGGCAACTGGATGTTTTTCTCTGCCAACCCTTTGCTAACGTGGAGAGGAGGAGATTTTCCTCCTCATCTGCAGCCCGGATTGATAAGCTGCCATTAATTGAAGATGTCTGGCCCCAAAGAAGGAGCTGCCTCATCTCGTACATGGAAACGGTTGCTCGAACTGACCCTGCGATGATCTCAGAGCTAAGACCTCCAGTGTTAAAGGCAAGTGTCCCCAGCTCATCCCTCGTCCTTCAGGCCATATTTTAAGATTGCTTCTCCTTGGGACTTCGTTGGATCTTGCCACTTCCTCCGTGCTGTCCTGCTGGGCTCATGATCCTGTCTTCTCAAGAACCTCTGAAGGAGAAACTTCCAAAGCTGCCTGTCAAAGCATCAGTTGGAAGGGAAGAAGACAGAGACACCCAGAGCTGTTCTGGAGCAAAATCAGCCAGGAGAAACTGAACATGCCTTCCTTATCAATAGAATCTCCTTGGTCATTTGACTCATCTGCCAAATCGGATCTTTTCCGTCCATAAAATCGGAACAGCCTGACCACAGCACAGCTCCAAGATGATTTAATTGACATTACTATTTTGATTCTTGTAACTAAGCAAACATCTGTAAACATATTTGGAGCCATGCTTACTATTCTTCAAAGCAGTTGTGTGTGGGTGTGTGTATGTGTGCAAGGGTTCTATAGTGGCCAGTAAATCTGGTTAATATGCTTCTTGATTGTGAGGGTGAAATCTGCCTGCGGTGTCTTTGTGATCAGATTCAGAAGTAAATGTTATTCATACCAGCCAATCCATCTGGAATTATGCAGAAATTTGGACCTGTTTCTAGAGTCTCAAGTCTTTAAAAAAAACAAAAAACCTCAGCAACCAGTCCCCAAAAGCTGAGACTCCATTATTTTTCCTCCGAATTAAGCAGATTTTAACTAAAACCTAAAAAGCTAAAATAATACTGAAGAACACAATTTGAAAAAACCTCATGGTAAAGAATAATTTAACTGTATTGAATGAATTGTGTGTTTGTCCAACTTGGTCTAGTGGCAAATGTTTGGGAATGCTGATAAGAAATACCATTTAAATTTCAGATTAACGTTGAGTATTAATCTTGTCGGCCTTCAGAAAGAGAAACGGCTGCCTCATCACGTAAAATGATGGAGGTTCCTTGGAAAAGGAAGACCTTAAAATGGCTTGTTCTCAATCTGAGTAATATAGGAGTAGCATCTGAAAGCCCATTGGGGTTTTTTTAGGGTTAAGTTCACCTTTCAGTATCAGAGGAATGCCAGAGTTGTCTATAAAGATTCAGAGTAACTTTAACCCTAACCATACGACAATATACAGTATGGAATATTTGAATTTCAGAAATACTTTTAAATAATTCAAGGACAGAAAACTTGCAGTATGTGTGTGGTGTGCATGCTTTTTGTAAAAAAAAAAAAAAAAAGATATAGCAGGGGTGGCTGGTAGAACAATCAATCCAAAGACATTTTTGGAGGCTTTTTTAAAAATGTGATCAGTGTAGATTTTTTAGGCACCCAGGATGAAATATTTTGCTCTGGGTTCTGTACAGCTTTAATCAAGTAGCCACAGGTATGTTCCAGCTTACTGGGAAAAACTCTTGCTGTTTTCACTGACCTTGTTTCCTCCAGATATGCTGGGCATGAGCTCATATTGTCTCTGGGAGTTCTGAGCATTCTAGCCTGTTGGATAATTTTAAGGCAGCTAGGTCCCTTATGGTGAAAACTTAATTTTGGGGGGCAGGGAATTCACTTTTCAGATTGTCTCCTTGAAACACTACATTTTATACTAGTTTGAGAGGCCTTTTTACGTTGAAGGATCTGGTCATCCAACCCAATTATAATTGGATGGTGCGGCTCTCCCGGATCAATCACGTAGGCCAGTGTTTCTCAACCTTGACAATTTTAAGGTATGTGGACTTCAACTCCCAGAATTCCACAGCCAGCATTGCTGGCTGTGGAATTCTGGGAGTTGAAGTCCACATGCCTTAAAATTGTCAAGGTTGAGAAACACTGACATAGACATATTCTGTTTTTGATAACTTATTCATTGCTGGATGGACAAATTATGGATAGCCCATGTGAATCTGCAAATGAACAGTGAAGAAAATTTTAAAAGATAGTTTAAAATACATAGATATATATTTTCTTATTCAGCGTATTAGTCACTTTGCGCAAGTCAGATTTTATTTCTTGAGAGTTCCTTTTTGTATTCAGTGCTCCGTGATGAGTCTACTGGATAAATCATTTCCCTGCCCATAAATCTTTCCATTGCTAGCACGTGCACGGGGAAAAACTGAGGCACGATCAGCATTTTCACAAACAGGAGACGTTTCTCTAGAAAATGTCTCTGGGCTTCTACGTTCAGTGACGAGGGAACATTTTCTATAGATTGCAAACCTTGCTTCATTCGGCCTGGGACATCAGACCACCAAAATGCCCATGCAATATAGTTCAGCAAAATTCTCAGAAGCAGTCTAACTTTTTAAAATTTCAACTGAACTCTTTGCCCTATAGATAAAAGTGGGAATGCTTGTAGAAGATCTTATGCAAGCCAGATAATCTTGTGAAATTAAAAATCCCACCCTAAGATTGTGTTTGTTGATTATGCTAAATTATAGCGTACCTTATTTGATGCTTCCCAAACTTGGGTAAATTACCCCAAATTGGGTAAAAGTGGTTTTCTTTGGAAAACAACACATGAACCTAACAGGGACATTTAAATAAGGACTTTCTGATAAAGATGTTTTGGGTAAAGAAGATAAAGTTTGGGAAGCACTGGTTTAGGATATCCAAACCCACCCATTGGGGCTTATTCAACAAAACATAGTTTTGCTGTATATGTGAACTCACCCAGGCTCTATTCAAGTATAAACAGAAAAAAATACTCCCAATTTGATGTTGGGTATTATATTGATGTTTCAAATTAGATTTTTAAATGCCCAGAAACTGCCATAAAATACTATATACTTAAGTGCATTTAATTTTCCACGAGCTGCACTCATAGATCTGCTAGAAATGTTCTTTGTGCCTTGTTAAAGGTTGCCTGGAAGAAATCTGAAACAGTGCAGAGAGGCATCCAGTTCTAGCTTCCTGGGCTTATTAGTTGGGGAAACAGGTGTCAAGTCAGGTAAGCTATTGCTCAGGTGTGGATCTGACCTCTTTCAGGTCTTGAGTGGGACCTACTAGTGTCGGGCTGCATTGGTTACACCAAGCCATATGCTTCGACTTAAGTTGATATATTCTGCAAACTTACTAATCATAGTTCAGTCAACAAACTCTGATTAAGCATTACATAGCATAGACATAGGTGAACCCAATCTTGTTCTGCAGATAAAAGCCAACTAAAAAACTGCAGGGCAGACTTTTGTCTGACCTGCTTCTTGCTACCTGAAATGGAAATTTGCAAAACAAAGCCATACAACGTGAAACTCACACAAGTGCCAAAATCTTGAAGACTCCTCATTGGAATATCTAGAGCTGGACTTTAAAGAAAGACTTGGTTACTTCGCAAGCGGTGCAAGTATATTCTTAAAAGGAACCTGGAAGCATTACTGGATAGAAAAGTTTTGCTCTACTGACCAGATGTCCACGAGAAGAGCACAAGAAATGCCTCGGGCAATATTGTGCAAAGTATAGGATTGTTAAGATAACCACGTACGTCTCCCTGTCCCCTGCCCTTTCAGGTTTACATCGATTCAAGCTCAACAAAGTTTGGGGGAGCCTGGAGCCCATTTGTTGCTCCGGAGAAGATGCTTCGGGCTTTTGTTGATGGTTGAAAGTAACGTTGAAACGCCCCTCCCGGCTGCTCTTCTCCTAAACACGATTCTTTGCTTGGGCCTTGGCAGTGGTGTGCCATCCCATGTGCCGCATTTGAAGCCTTGAATGACGACCACTCCAATTCCTCTTTGCAGCAGGTGAAACGAACTCTCTTGGGATTCACAGGTGCTGATCTGCTAGTAATGCCTTTGTGGCTCCCTGCCACATACAGCTTGTTTTGGGGCTGGGCTCGTTCAGTCTGAAGCTCTTGCCCCATGCTGTTGGGTGATGCAGTGAGCACATGCATCTGCCTGCCAAACCATGCGGCTTCTGAACTTTTAATCTGTGCAGGACCTTAGATGCAGCATTGACCCTATGACTGGAATCTCCTCCTTCATCTCCTCAGTGGATTGATCAGGAGCTGACCTGGACTCTTTTACCTTACGCAGCTGCTGGCTGGCATGTCCAGACGGCCAGGATGCACTCGGGATTTTACTGACTTTAATAAAACTTTTTTTTTCCTTGTATGATAATGAGCCAAATCGCAGTGTGCATTGTTTTCATATTGAGCTTTCTAAAGACCCTCGGGAACAGCATCCTCATGTCACAAAAGGACTGAAAATGGGCTGGTTGGTGGTTTTAAGAGAAAAGAGGCTGCTGGAAGCTTTCCAGCAAAAGGACACAAAGAGTAAAAATTCAAGGATGATTCTGCAGAGTTGAAGAACTGTTGAAAGCTGTGCTGAGATCAACTACTGGATGATCAGGCTGGTTGGGAGCGGACCGGGCAGGAGGCTGGCTGTGTTCTGGATGGGCAGGAATGTCGGGGCTTCTAAAATTGAGCTCCGTGCTTTTAAATCCCCAAGAGGCCGGCAGAACCAGAGTTTAAAATGTTCTAGGGTAGGGTAAGAAATGATTAGCCCCACCAGCAGGAAGGTGTGATTAAAATGTTTTAGGTATATATTTATTTATGCAACTAATGTAGTAGCCAGATTCCCTCAGATGCTTCTCAACTTCAAGAGTTGGGGAAAGATTTGACAGAGGTATATAGTCCGATGTAGATTCAGACAATAAAATAACATATGAGACAGAGGTCAGTCCATCCATTTTTCTCAGGAGCAAAGCACTTAATTTCTTTTGGATTGGCTTGCACCTGTTCACCTGCTTCACTGTTGCCTTGGATAACCAACACTCTTAGGGTCCTTCATGCCTGTGACCCTTTCCAAGCTGAATGGGCCATGCAGTTGTGGTGCCAACCTCATAGAGAGGACCATGGTGGCTGCAGGACCAGCATTCCCCTCCGAGGGCCTCCCCCATCTGACTGAGAGCAAGCAGGATCCGTCATTGGCTGGGTTGGGGCTGTGGGCCACAGAGGTCGGGCAGTGGGAAATGGCAATTCCCCAACACAGGAGAGCAGTCGAGGAAAGCTGCTCTACACACGCAGAAGAGCCCTTGTGCTTCAAACGCCTGAGGTCGGGACGGGCTTCTAGCAGCAAAAGGGATACTAAGCAAGTGGTCCTTCCTCTTTCTGCTCTCCTCCCTTTCCATTAGTAGCCCTTGATGCAATGAGGCAGTTGGCACCATCAATGTATGCCAAGGTCTCCTTCCCACCTTGGAAGGAAGTAGTTCAGCTCTTGGTTTCCTGAGAAATAGTGGGCTTCTCTCTAGCTCTTACGCTATGTTCTTCACCGGATGTATTGTACTTACGGCTGTATATTGCTTGTTGGTCTTTGGCCTTTAGCTTATCTCTATTAAAAGCTTTATAACATCCATGTCCTGTTATTTTTTACATGAAATTTCAAGTTCTGGGATATTTTTTTGCCTCCTTCCTAATAAACTTTTAAGAATCCTTCTCCTGTTTTAGAAGTCATGCGAATCCAGCTAGGGAATAGCAGCAGCTTCAACCGGGACAGGCCATGCTGGTCCCTATGGAACTACAAGTTTTTTCTTCCCCAAAGGTTCTTTTGCAGATATGGGGGCCTTGCCAGATGGGAATTCCGGGGCATGTAGCTGGGGGTGGGTGGGGAATGTGAATGTTGACAAGTTAGGCAAAGTAAGAAGCTGCTCCCTTTTCCCCCTAGCTGGGTCCCCTGACTGTCAAGTGGACCTGTGTCCATCGTTCATGGCCAGTCCCTTCCCCTCAAAAGCCCGCCTGTCCCAAACTCAGCAGCCCCTCAAAGCTCTTGTTGCTGCCTGCAGAGGCCAGGTTGCTGCATCACCGGATCTTCTTGGAAGGGCAGAATGCAAAACAACCGAACAGCAGTCTGTTTCCAGCAGACTTTATTCATCCGAACACAACACCAATAAAGGGTCCATCCGTGGCTGGACCACCACTCAGTCGCTTTCTCCACAGGGCCCTCTCCAGGCCTTAGCAGCAGCAGCAGCTCACATCCGACCCGTGATTAATGGCTGCAGAGGCTGGGAGCCATAGCCCAAAGCAGCCTGTGAGCACCAGGATGGGGCTGGGTGAGTGGGCCACATCTCCCAGCAGAAAGTGTGAAGAACTGCACAGAACACTGGGATCCCAGCAGGCTGCAATGGTGAAGTTTCCAGCCACAGTAAACTAGACTCTGAAGTGTTTTATCTGCCTGGGAGGCTGCTTCAGGCCCGAGAGCAGGAGCAGATTGCAGAGTTCTGCTGACACTAATAGGGAGCCCCAAGATTTACATGCCTTTTGCAGGAAACAGCCTGCAGGGCCTGTCACCTGCTACAGGTCCAGCTTTGCTGCTTCTGCATAAGGTAGCAATTCCCAACCTTTCTGGCGGGGTGGGGGTAAGGGGATGGGTCCCTGCAAGTGTCAAGACGTGCACGTGAGCATATGCAGCTCTTCGTGCAAGTGGCGTGCATGCCTGCCAATCACAAATAAGGAGCTTTGTGTGTGAACACCCGTCACCCAAGTGGAGCTGTGCATGTGTGCTCGCCCACTGCTTGGGTGGCCCGGGGGTTGGGGACCCCTAGTAGAATTCTAACCTTCCTGGCTGCAGGTTTCCAAAGAGAGATGCTCCCCTCCCCAAAGGAAGACTCTCCTTTTGTTGTTTCCAAAGACTGAAACAATAGCCTCCTTCCAGCATGGTGGGAATTGCACACAGCCTCTCTCAGTTCCCACTGACAGGAGACATTCAGATGTTTCTCCTTGTGCTAATTCATATTCAACTTCCAGGCAGGATAGACAGCATGCAAGCTCTATCTCCTCTTGTCCAGCCAGCATTTGATAAAACACTCAGGATCCGATTCCAAATGAAGTTGAGCCAAGAGAAGCTGCATTTTTCAGCATCTCTCCCCTTTTAAGGGTCTAGGGACATCAAGATTCCTAAACTAACAGATAACTTTCTACAAACATTCCCCTCCAGATTTCAGTCTGTATTTTGATATGAAGACAAGTTAGAAGGCAAATGGAACCATGCTTGGTCTATCTCAAAGCAGCAGCCGCAAAGACACGGCGCAGTTCTCCTTTAATTGAGAACAGGCTCTGTTCACTTGAAGGTCCACAATCCCCTTGGTAAATCCAGACATGGAGACAACGGAGGCGGCTACTTTTCAATGCTGAAGAACAGGAATGAACTAAGTCTCGTGGTGGCAGCCAACCACTGTCGCACGTTCCAAACCAGAGTCCCATTCCAGTCTGCAAACCCCCATCCTTAGTTGCCCTCGTCGGAAGACGAGCCTTCGACCTCATCCTGGTCTCCCCCGATGGCCATCCAGAAGGCTTTGGTAACCTAGGAGTCAAGCAAACAAGCTGAAACTCCCAGAGGCTTACCCCATACCTGTGGGAGACAAAACACCCTACAAGCTCCCTCCAGGTAGATCTCTCAGTTTAATCCAGGAGGACATCAGTACACACTTCACTTCTTCCTGTGAGCTGCAACTTAGAGAAACAAACAAAAACTTGAGCATGAATAATTCTGACTTTGGTTGGGGAGAGAGGTATCTCTCAGTGAGATACTAGGGTACTAGTAAGCAGCATCTGCCTGGGTTTGGACTCAGAAAAGGTATGTCCACTCCAAAATCTTACCTTTTCGGCATGCAGCTTTCTTTGTTCGCGAGGCAGAGTGGCAGCCTTTTCTGGAGAGTAAAAGGGAAAGAAAAGTCACCTTTAGCAAAGAAAGATGTCGTTACTCGGTGGGGATGAAAAAGAAAAGGCTACAAGCAAAGGTATGAAAAGGACAGACAGATCGTGACCGTCTGTTGCTCAGAAACTGCCTGCCCTGAAAGAAGCCGGAAGCAGCCGGTGGACCGGCAGGAACCGATTGGTGCAACTTCAGCTACTCCTGTCCCCACCTCTGGTCACACATTCTAGGTCACTCCTTGTTCCTTCTTTAACCCCCAAGGCTCAAGGCAGGTCAATGCCAGTGAAGAAACCCAGACAGGCTCTTTCTGACTTCAGCAGGTAAATTGGGGAGACAGAAATTGGTTTGCATTACGTGCCCAAATATTTTTATCTTAACATCAGTTGCCAGAAGGCAAGGATGGATTCCTAACTTCCTGCTTTCCTTTCTTGCTCCTGTAAAGGCAAAGGCAACCAGAGGCCGGCCAGCACAGCGCAGCAGGCCTCCAGAGCACAGGGCTGGTCTGCTGCATTCCTCCTGCTTCCTAGAGGTTGCTGCTAGGAAGCTGCATTTCCCAGCATTCGTCTGGCCCTCCCACCCCCTCCCTACATTCCTTTGTGGAGGGGTCAGGCTGAGGAGAGCTACCTGGCTGTTGCACTCTGAAAGTCAGCCCTGCCCTGGCGCGTTGGCAAGAAAACCAAGTTATTTTCTGAGTTTGGGGAAATAAGCTGAAGGTTACCTTTCATTTCCTTCAGCTTGGAGAAGAGTCGCTCAAAGTTCTCAACATCTCCTTCTCCTGCGGTGAGGCTAGCAAGCTCTTGAATGTCCGTGTCCAGCGCTGGGTCTGCAAAGAAGCCCAAAACAGAGGCAGCTCTCGGCCAGATTAATTGATTGAGCGGGAGGTGGGTTGGGGTGTGAAGAGAGCCACTGAAGTTTGTGAGAGTTCCCCTGAGAGGGGAGACAGGATGGGCTGAAAGAGCTTCTTGCAAACAACCGATGGAGGGAATAGACCTGCATTCTCCCCTTTACCTTACTTGCCCTCCCCTACCACCAGTGCTGCACTTAGCAAAGAGGCTCTTACCAGCAATGGGGTCACCCTGGGCTCCATCCGCAGGAGCCAGAGCTTCTGAATCCACCACAACTTGGGCCCTCTCTGCTGGCAAACAGCTGGCCTGGCGGGCAGGGAAAGAAGTTGCGTCAGACGAAACCCCCTCCAGTGGAAATGGGCACCAAGTACGGGCTGTGCTGAGCCAGCCTCAAAGATGCAAATTCCATGAGGCCAACGAGTGCCAAACCAGTTCAAAAGGACATTTTGTCTAAATCTAGGTAAATTCCAATTGCAATACCAAGCACAAATAATATGGGGATCCCTGGAACACGATGTTTTAATCGTAAAAAACAACATTAAATGTTTGAAGAAAAGATGAAGGGCCATGCCCAGTGAATTAAAATGGAGTACCCCGGAGCTAAAACAGGGGTATAAGCGATGCAGAGCTGCCTCTAAGAAGAAAGGCAAAACAGCCAAGGATGAAGCTGTAAGGAGACAGACGTCCCACCCAGGAATGTTTAAAAATGACTGTTTACTTCTGGAGCTTTGTTCTCTTCTGACCCGATCCTGCAATCTGCCCCTGCTAAGGCTGGGAAAAGGCCAAAGCTGTGGCTTGCCTCTGAAAAGGAAAAAAGGATGGTCAGTTAGCAGAAGGCCAGGCCCTTCAATGGCTGGCCAGGCATCGCCCGGCCCTGCCCTGGCCTGGAGGGCATTCGGCTACAGCTTCAGAAACTCCCAGCCAGAAGCCAGAGGCCAAGCTACCTGGAGGCTGTGGCTGCAACACTCCAGGACGTGGCTCAGGGACTCCCACATGGCCCCTGCCTGAATGTGCTGGTCCCTGAAGGCCGGTCACCATCCTGGAATAGGCTAAAGCCAGAGGAAGGGGGTCTAGCGCAGTGGCTCCCAACCTTTCTGGCTTGGCAAACCAGTGGGAGTTGGGGGGAGGGGCTGGTTCCAAATGGTGCTTTGCACGCAGGCAACTACCCCTCGTTCAGATGGAGCTTCAGCCACGAGCGCCTGCCACCTGTGCAAATGCAGATGCACCTGCATGCAAGTTTGCCCGCTGCTTGCTTGGCCCAGTTCTAAATGGGCCACGGCCCAATAGTGGCCCGTGGCCGGGGGGTTGGGGGCTCCTGGTCTAGCAGCAGCAATTGCAGGACTCCACCAGGCTTCCCCTCTGGCCTTTCTTCACAGAACCTGGGCTCCTCCTTGCCTCTGCAGGAGCACCAACCTCTTGGGATGTTTTTCACAGAGGGATCCCTCCTCCCCTCCACAGCCTTGGGCAGCTGCTTCTGCCATCAGCGATCAAAAGGGTACTTCTCAATAAACATGGATTTGACCCCGAACCTCAAAAGCAAGTCCATCCCCCAAAAGTGTCTCCCTCCCAGATTGTGGCATGAAGCTTTTGCAGGGGGTGAAACCAGGACCGTTTCTAGCAGGAGAGCAGCAGCAGCTTCCCCTCCCACCCGCAAGAGCAAAGCCGAGCGGCCAGCCAGGTTGGCCAATGACTCGCACCGAGAAGGAAACCCCGGAGGGGGCAGCCGGGAGCGAAGGTCTCGGCTGCCAGGTATGCCGAAGGCGCTGCGGCCAGGCTGACACTCCCATCCTGGGGGGGGCACTCGCACCGTCTCACACTGGCTTTGCGCAGGGCAGGGAAAACAGGCTGCCCACCCGGAATTAAATCCGAGTGCACTAATCATCTCTCGCACACGCAAAGGGCCTCGCGAAGTAACATCAGAGAGAGGGAAGCCTAAAGCCGCGTTTCCTCTGCCCGACAGGCTGCCTACAAACCCTCCGTCACCACTACTGGCCAAGGGAGGAAAGGGCCCCTCCTGGGTGTCACCTGGGCCTCCCCCGCAAAAGCCAGGCGGAGCCTTGAGGACCCTATCGCGACGGCCACCTTGACCTTTTTAACTCCTGCTTCCACACAGGGCTCCATTTGGCTGCAAGACACCCTACAAAGCAGCAGCGAGCTCCACTCTGCAGCTCTCCCAAAAGTCTCAAAACCAAAACCACATTCGAAGACCAGTTTCTAAGGGACACGGGTTCTCCTCGACTTATAACCAAAATTGAGCCCAAAATTTCCACTGCTAAGCAAGACAGTTGTTAAATCAGGCCCCATTTTACAACTTTTTTTGCCACGACTGTAAATGAATCACTGACATTGTTAGGTGAATCATGCAGTCATTAAAGGGAATCTGGCTGCCCCCCACTGACTTCGCGTATCGGAAGCGCCCTAAGGAACTGGCAAGCAAGAATCACAGAATGCCGCAACCGTCCTAAATACACGCCAGTGGCTAAGCACCCAAAATGTGGCCACATGACCAAGTGGGGATGCCGATACGGTCATAAGTGTGAAAACTGATCATAAGCCACTTTTTTCAGTGCCACTGTAATTCTGAATGGTCATTAAACAAATGGCTGTAAGTCAAGGACTGCCTGTGCCATGAAGAACTGGAAGGACCGAAGAACGATTCAAGGAGTCCAATCTGCTGCAAGAATCCATAAATTAAGGCATCCACATTACTTCTGCCATCTTTCTGAACAACTGATTCCACTGTCGAATTCTTCTTATAGGGATGACGCGCCGTCTACCCAGAATTTGCTTTCCTGTTGTTCTACCGCGAGGTGCCCTGCGTGGACAGTTCAGAGCAAGTGATGGCTGCCTCTGCCATCGCAGACATTCCTCAGGTAACAGGGACCCTTGCCGGGGAAGAAATTCCCACAGAATTGCCTCCCAGTGTACCGGACGTCTGGGAGGAATTTCTCCACACCCGTGCCAGAAAATTATTTGCATTAATTTTTAAAAGCTGACCTTAAAAGCCCATACCGTTTTTCATCACCACGTTTGACCAGACATTGGCATTCAAGGCCTGGATGATTCGTTTCACTCCTGTAGATTCTGGAAAATCATCTAAAGTGGGGATGAGGAGAGCAGAGTTGGAACACGACTCGTTAAAACGGCTTTGTCAGAAACTGAGGAAGAGGATAAGCCTGGACGCTGCTCGAGAGAACGAAGCCGTTCTCAGTTCTCAGTTTGAATGAAACACAAGCAGGGAGGGAGGCCCCACAAGATGCTGGTGGTGTGAATGAGAAGCGCCACGGGCAGCTCTCCACTTACAACCACAAATGAGCCCCACATTTCTGTTGCTAAGCGGAACAGTTGTTAAGTCAGCTTTGCCCCATTTTATGACCTTTCTTGCCACAGTTGTTAAGTTAGTAACACCGTTTGCCTTCCCCATTGACTTTGCTTGTCAGGAGGTCACAAAAGTTAATCACGTGACCCCAGGACACTCTGACCTTCATAAAAACGAACCAGCTGCCAAGCGGCTGAATTTTTTTAAATAAATGTTTTATTAATTTTCTATTTTCACATATAAGTGAAACCCTAACCCCCCCCCCCGCAATCAAGAGTCCCCTCCTTGCTTGCCAGCTCTATGGGTTAACTTTCGAGGATACCCCAGCAGGGGTAGAAAACAAACGTGAAAGACGGAGACCTGTCTTCCTGCGTCTGCATAGCTGTGATGTCAAAAGCGGAATTCCCCAAGCGGCTGAATTTTGACCACGTGACCCGTGGGGCTGCTGCCATGGTTGTAAGTGTGAAAACTGGTCCTAAGTCACTTTTTTCAATGCAGTTGTAGCTTTGAACGATCACTAAATGAAAAGTTGTAAGTTGAGAACTGCCTGTATTATGAAAACCCTTTTGCAGATTCTGGGAAAATCTTTCCGATATTCTGCAAACCAAATTCGGAATTCTATACTCAGCAAAAAATCCCCCCAAACCTTTGCAAGCTCCGCTGAGGCGCAAGCGGACCTCGGGCAGCTCAGGCCGACTATTTGGGAAAGATAAATCCTACACTCAACATGTAAAATGGCCCTAAGGAGGAAGACTGCCAAATTCTTCACAGCTATCCCCACTCAATGACGAAATAAAGGCAGTCTTCGACTTGCAACAGTTTGTTTAGTTTAGACAGTTATGACTTATGACCATGTTTCACACTTACAATATTTGCACCATCCGCACGGTCCCCACGCGATCAAAACTCAGATGGTCGGCAACTGGCAGGTATTTATGACGGTCGCAGCATCCCGGATGGGGTCACGTGATCCCCTTTTGCGACCCTCTGACAAGCAAAGTCAACGGGGAAGCCAGATTCACTTAACAACCGGGTTACTATCTTAACAATTGCAGTGATTCACTTAATGACCCTGGCAAGAAAGGTTGTAAAATGGAGCAAATTTCACTTAACTGTCTCGCTTAGCAACAGAAATTTTGGGCTCAACTGTGGTCGTACGTTGAGGACTAATTTAAAAATCCCTCCAGCATTTTCTGCTTTAGCGGAGGACTCAGCGACTTTAGAAAGCTGTGATCTCCCCAGGCAGTGACTCGAAAGAAACTATCAAAATGACAATGCAACCAAAAGAATAAAAATTGTTATATCATCTTGAATGCCCACCACACACTAAAGTTTCAAATGAAGCATTGGCATATTTTAAAACTGAAATTCTGATAGTGACTAGGCAGGACAGATTACTCTTTTTTTAGAATCCTAAAATATACCATCCAGTTTCGGGGCAAAAGATATAAAAATAAAATAACAGGATGCTTCTGAGCCTAAGGATGTATTTCTGGACTGGAACTGAGTTTTTGACAAGCCGTCTTTATCTGTTTAATCTGAGAGGGAAGAAATAAGATGTTGTTTACCACTAAGGTTAGTCAGAGATTTCTTGCCTAATCACTTAAATATCTATCAGGAAATAGCTCAAGAAATACTACACTATTTCACCACTACATCAATGTCATAAACAAACAAAATCTCCTTGTTTATAGCCCTTGATACAAAGGCCCAAGCTCAGACTCACCAGGGCAAAGATGGCTATCCCAAATTTATTTATTTAATTTATATACTGCTCATCTCACTATCATGTAAATCTGGGCTACTTAAACATCATAAAAGCAAATGTACCAAACTTTCAAATATTAAATATTAAAATTCGGCTGTCAAGCATTTTTTCCTGTAAAAAAAAGACCATTATAAATATTGTAAGCCATCCAGAGTTACCCTGTAGTAGGGTGGGTGGCCAATAAATTGTATGTATGTATGTATGTATGTATGCATGCATGGAGGGAGGGAGGGAGGGAGGGAGGGAGGGAGGGAGGGAGGGAGGGAGAGAGAGAGAGAGAGAGGGAGGGTGCAAGGTTGCCAGTATCCAGGAGCTTATAGGAGAGAAAGTGCTGTGACCTCAATGTTTACGGACGTGGTGTGGATGACACAAAGGAGCCAGAAGGCAGCCTCTTAAAGGACCAGTTCTGTGGGGCAACTTAAGCACCCCACACCTCTCTCTAAGGCAGTGTTTCTCAACCTTGACCATTTTAAGGCATGTGGACTTCAACTGCCAGAATTCCACAGCCAGCATTGCTGGCTGTGGAATTCTGGGAGTTGAAGTCCACATGCCTTAAAATGGTCAAGGTTGAGAAACACTGCTCTAAGGGGACTGGTGGGGAACAGCAACCTTCCAATATCTGGCATGTGATCCATTAGTCGCTCTCTCTGCAAAAATTATCTCAACATTTTGAAAGTCAAAAAGAAGCACGCCAAAAAGCTCAGCTCCTGAGACAATGCGGTGAATGCAATAGATGTGCATTTTTTTTAAAAAAAGGTCTGAAAAAGTAGACACTGAAAAAGACTGGATTTGTTATGTACTGACCCGTAAGTCCAGGGTTGTTTTTAAAAGCTGAGCTGGCAGCCACAACGGTAGGAGAGATGATCCGCCTCTTTGTTATGCACAATGCCCACAAAAAATAAGAACTGCAACCACATTGTTGTGGCTACCAGCTTGATTTTTTTTTTTTTACCACACCCTGTAGACACCCTTGCACACATCCCAAAACCACAGTCTCTGACTACTGTGATGCAGCAGCCCCACTGATTGGGTGGGGAGAGAAGCGATGCTTCCGGCAGAAATACGGGCCTTTTTCTGGCAAGGAAAAAACTTGCCGATGAGCACAAGGAAACTGAACGGTTTGAAAATCCCTTTTGCGGAAGGCAAAAGCCGAATCTCACCTTCCTCATCCGGAAGCTCCTCTGGGCTGAGCTCTACCAACTCAAAGCTGTGCTGGATGCACCACTCTTGGGCCTTCTGCCGGGTGACACCTGCAAGGAGAAAAGGCAACTCGTATCACCCTGGGCACTGGGGTGGGAAAGCTCACTGGAGGGGAGGCACCGCTGAAACCTCTTGGCACGTTCTGGGGAACGCTGCATGTGGGCAACCTGTTCAGCAGGGGAAAGCTGTCGCCGGACAGGAAAAGTACGCAACCAGTACATTGGAATGATCTGCTGCACTGGAAATGTTAAAGTAAACTGGAAATGAACATGAAAGCCTATTTCTCCATCTCTGCCCTTCGGGCCATCCTGTGCTCTGCGCTCTGCCCTGCTCCCCCCGCTGATCTTGGCTGCCTTCCTCCTCCAACAGCTGACCAAGCACTCCTGGCCTGGCCCTGCACGAGGCAGCTGGTGGGCACACGCAGGCTTTCCCCCCAAACTCACCACACAGCCTTAGGCAGAAGGCTGACCAGGGGCCGGGCTGGGCCCAGCTCCTCCTCCTCAGCAGCAGGAAGATGGCGAAGGGCAGAGGGGAGGTGGAAGGGGGTTGGGGGCAACGGGCTTGCAGAGAAATGCGGGGCAGTGAAAAGGGCAGGGATGGGGAAGACTAATGGCTGGGGGAGTTCAAGTGGAGACGAGCAGAGCAGGATAAGAGAAGACAAAGGTCCTCGCCTCACAATGGCCCCATCCTAACAACTGCAATTGGGACTATCGAGACTGCCTCCGTTGTGCGGTGGGGTCTGCGATGTCTCGCCGAATGACGTTTCACTCAGCGATGGAAATCCCAATCCCAAATCAGGTCACTAAGCCAGGACTACTCCCATTCCATCATTCAGATGGCTTCCAATCAGAGTCGGCCAAAGTTGCTTGTCAGGCTGAGAAATGGGCTTTCCAGAGAATGTTTGCTTATACTTATCAAATGTTTACTGAATACACTTCATAATTATTTTCTATTTGGTCAATTTTCTTGCAGGTAAACATGGTAGTTCTTTAAATGTAATATTTTAATTGGGGAGTTCTACCGCCTTGGGATGTTGAGGCAGCCCTGTGGGGTTGGCAGTTGCTTAGCTGGCCTGTCTTAAGACCAGCACTGAGGAATTGTAGCCCAGAAAGCAACCTGGGGAGATTAGCACAGCTCTCAGCTTCAGATTTTGCAAATACAGTGGCACCTTGTTACTTATCAAATTTGCTACTCAATGCATTTTGACATGAACATTTTGCCCTGATACTCATCATTTGTTTGACACTCAACACACAAGCTAGAACTTGTCGGTGTCAGCTGCCTTGTGACTCATTACATTATTCCTTATGGCAAAAATTTGTTTGGTACTCATTGTTTTTGGTACTCATCACCCCTCCTGGAACCAATTAACAATGAGTACTGAGGCACCACTGTGTGGCCTTTCCAATCCAAGCTGCTCTTTCTGTTGCTTCAGCCAAGATTCACACCCTAACCAGATTTTGGTCTCGTCACCTTACCATTTTCAGAGACTCTGTCACAGACCAAGATCATCACTTCTGGTAGCCAGTCTTCTATAAGAGGAAGCCACTGAGAGGCAGCATCCAGCCCCGATACCTGTAAAAGGGTACGAATAGCTGGCTTCTTTGCTGCGGGCTTTCTGGAGTATTACAAGCAAAAACATATCCGATTCTGTAACAATCCTTGTAAAAAGAAAATGCTCAGAAGCAGAAAAGTTTGAAGGGAGATCAGCCACCTTAAAATTTGGATCAAAAATCCAACCTTAATGTAAAATCTACAAATTTGACATCTATGGGCAAGCAACAACTATTAGGATTCTTGGGCCCGCTTAACCAACCAAGGCGTAGAGGCACGGTGCAGGGTTGTTCTCCAGCAGTCTAAACACACTGCACAGAGTTGCAAGCCTACTACAAGATGATTTTACCTATCTAAAGTTTTCATAACTTTTCACGAGCGGAGATTACTGTGAAACTTTGAAGAGCATGTAAAAGCACAACCACCCCAGGAAATGAGATCTGTCCTTGATTCCAAGTCAAGCTGCTACACTAGCTTTCTCCATAGAAGAAAAGAGAGTTGGAACCCAAGGTGGCTTGTTCTGAGATCCTGGCTCAATTGCTTTCCTCTTTTCCTTTAATGGCCACTACCCAGGGACTCTCAAGGAGTTGCAAATAACTGAGAAAGAGCCTCCTGCCCTGCTAAGGAACACAAAAGAAGAGAGAAAGGGACAGGTCTAGACAGAGAATTCCCATTTAGGGCTGCAGGTGGTCCTTCTCTCTATAGAATGAAAGCCTAGGGGCTCAGGAATATCTGTGATAGGCAGAGGGTTGCTGGTGTCCAAATCTTTTACATTTCTTCCTAGGAGCCACATCTATCTACTTCTAAAATTAGGTTTAGATTTAACATATGCATTTCAAACATATTGTTCAGCCAACCCACTTGCTACTTCTGCGTACATTGCTATATCTACATTATGGGTGCTCCATTGCTGGAGGCCTTCAAGAAAAGATTGGCAGCCATTTGTCTGGGATGCAAGGAGGTTTCCTGCCTGAGGCAGACCAGAAGACTCCCAAAGTCCCTCCCAGCCCTGTGATTTCTTGATTCCACAGAAGTCAAATCAAATGGTATATCCATCACACATACATAATTTTTAGGCATTGTTTACATTTAGATGCTTTTATAAAAAGAGCAGTATCAAAGCCGCAACAATAACAATGGAATGCAACTTTAATCTAAGCAAGTAGATTTCACAATTTTACATATTTGATAGAAAATAGCCCATCCTTCATTCAGGAAGCCAAGACAACATACACAATCTGTGTTCCCCGTTTTTTTTTTTCCCCTCCGCAACAAGGTTATGGGACAGTCTGGGCTGAGGGTCTGACTCAAAGTGGCCCCAGGAGTGTCTGTGGTGGGGAGGGGTCTTGAACCTGGGCCTCCAGGCTCCCGATCCAGGAGGTCCTGAACCACCAACCCCCCCTTGATACCATGGAGGGAGAGCCAAGTTATGCAGACTAGTGGGAGTTCTACAATCAATAACATGATTGTTACCCTGGGTTACCCTGTGCAAAGATGGGCGGCCAATAAAATTTATAAATAAATAAACAGACATCCAACAAATTCCTCGATAAATTCTCAGAAAGTATAAAAGAATAATGTATGGCAATGCGTATCTTTTCATATAAACCAGAATTTCTCAATCTTAGCAACTTTTAGATGTCTGGACTTCAACTTCCAGAATATCCCACCCATAAACTCTCTAAAATCACTCTCCAAACACTGGGAAGGAATTGATTTGAAAGCAGACAGTGCTTTATAATTGTAATACCGTACATTCATTAGTTCAACAAACATTACAGGTCATCGATGGCAGACCACCACCAGTTTCTGAACCAGAATGTCCACCAAGGGGGTTGGATTAGATGACCTCCAAGATCCAATATCTCAGGGGCTGCCACAAAGAAGAGGGAATCAAGCTATTTTCCAAAGCACCTGAAGGCAGGACAAGAAGCAACGGGTGGAAACTAATCAAGGAGAGAAGCAACCTAGAACTAAGGAGAAACTTCCTGACAGTGAGAACAATGAATCAGTGGAACAGCCTGCCTCCAGAAGCAGTAAATGCTCCAACACTGGAAGTTTTTAAGAAGAAACTGGACAGCCATTTGTTCGAAATGGTGTAGGGTTTCCTGCCTGAGCAGGGGATTGGACTAGATGACCTCCAAGGTCCCTTCCAACTTTACTACTACTACTACTACTATTATTATTATTATTATCCCTTCCAATTCTGCTACGCTACGCTATGCTACTCTACATCCCAAACTGCAGGGCAACACTCACTGTGGTGCTGTCGAAGTAAACCAGGAAAGCCTGAATGGACTCAGCAATTTCCGCCGACACCTGAAACACATTTGCCACCACGCAGAGATGGATGGCAGCTGAGTAATACTTATTGTCTATCGTCCAGGGGTACAACCGGGCTCCGCCCTCTGCGGCAATATGCTCTGGAAGCTCTTCTCCTCCGGTGATAACTGCAAGACAAACAAAGAGACCTAAATAACCAGACAAGGAAAAGACCTGGGGAGGAAGGGGAAAGGGGGCTCACGTCTGAAAAAATATCCCCTCTCCTGCTTTCCGGTTGATCGGTGAAACACTTTGTGGGCTGGGCAGAATTGTGGCAGATCACCACCTCCACCCTCCCCTTTGCATATATGCTGTTCCCAGAATTAACTTTCATCTATTTTTACCAGTTGCCCACGAGAAGGGTTGACCCAGCCGGCTAAGTATAAATAGGCTTCCCATTGCCACCCACACCAGGGTGTAAAAAACACCCGTTGGTTGTCTAGAATCTTGGAACCGTTTTGTTCAGACGGCTGGCCTTAGGAAATTCCCCACAGAAGCTGTGCACATTTTCATACAAATATCACCTAGGCCTCACACACTATAATGACACCTTTCTATATCTAGCTGCAGAGAATATACCCATTTTTGGATAGTCTTTCAAGCTGACATTCCAACCTCCCAAAAGTTCTTCCCCAAACCCGCCATGACAAAAATAGTGCGTTGGGAAACAACCGTGTCATGGGAGAACTACTGCTCACTTTAATTTTTGATATTTCCAACCTCAGGGTGGGCCTGTGGTATCACATACAAAAAGTTTTGGGAGAGAGAGAGAGAGAGAGAAAAAAAAGTATCAACGGATGCTTTGGCAACCACAACCTTTTGGCAGGCGTCCCAAGCTAGCTTTCTACGGCTTGTTTTCATAGAGTGCATGCCAGCTCTTGGACTTGATCCTGTGCCATGCCCCAGACCAGCCCTCCCTGCAACGCAACAGCTGGCCCCATATTTGCATACAACCTCACACGATCAGAGGCAGAGGAACACCACTGGAACACACAGACGTGTCAAATGAAAAAAGTAACAGCTGCTTCAGCCCAACACTTTTCCTCAGAGCCAAACTGGGTTAGAGGATGAGTCTCCAGTAGGTCACTGCCAGAGTTACCGCTGAGCTGTGCAATCCTGCTCCATCTCCTTCACCAACAAAAGGGCACAAGGGATCAAATTCTCCATCAATCGTGTATTCTTGACTTTTCAAAATGATCAGATTGACATCTCCTTCATTAGCAACAGCGTACATGACTTCATTAACATTTACTATACCGGGGGTCATCAACTTATGATCGGTCACTTAGCCATTGAAAGAATAACAGAATAATAGAGTTGGAAGGGATCTTGGAGGTCTTCTAGTCTAACCTTCTGCTTGAGCAGGAGATCCTATACCATTCTGGATGCATAGTTGTCCATCTCTTTTGAAAGCCTCCAGCGATGGAGCGCCCACAGCTTCTGAAGACAAGCTGTCCACTGATGAAATGTTCGCCCTGTCAGAAAGTTTCTCCTTAGTTCTAGGCTGGGTCTGATAAGCTTCCATCCATAACAGAATCATAAGTGTGAAAAATGGTCATAAACTCCTTTTTCCAGGGCTGTTGCAACTTTGAACAGTCACTAAACAAATGGCTGTAAGTCAAGGACGACCTGTACAGTACATATATATCCACCTGCCTATACCTCCTTCCTCATACTTCCTAAAAAATACAAACGGGATTGCAAATTCCATGTTGGTTATCCACTGTCAAGATTGTTCAGTACACAAACACAATCCCACGCATCGCAATTTTTTGAAAAAACACAGCGAGAGCTCGTAGTCCTGGGCTAAAGCCGGACAGCAGAAGGAAGACTCCACACAGAAGCCAAATTCTGGCTCTCCCAGCTTAATCTTGGTCTTGACTTCAAATTCATAAGATTAAAAAAGTTTCTTCTAGCATACTTCTAACTATTGGACTACTAAAGTTTTAAAATTATTGCTGCCAAATCCTTCTGACCTAAGCTTCCAGCATTGCTAATTCACTTCACAAGTATTTTTCAACGTTTTTAAAAATATTTTTTAAGATGATCCCCGTTTCATGGTTCCACTGCATTGGTCTGCGAACACAGCGTGCCTGGAGAGCCACCTTGTGGAATGAAGCACACATCCTTCCACCCAAGCACTAAGCAACCGGCTCCGGCTGTCAAAAGAGCCAATGCAGTTTTGGGTTGCATCAACAGCGTTAGTGTCAAAACTGTGGAAAGTGCCCGTTCTCCTCTACCCTGCACTGATCGGACCACACCCAAACACGGTGTCTAATTCCGGTCAGCAGAGTGCAAGAGGGATGCTGAGGAACTGGACCGAGTGGCAAAGGACCTAGAAGTTCAGTCTTATGAAGAACAATTAAAGGACCTGAATATATTCAACTGCTAGAGCAATAGTCTTCCTTATTACGATGCATGGGCATGAGATTGGGACATTAAGAATGACTGATCCCAGAAGAATTGACCCCTTTGAACTGTGGCGCTGGGGTAAATTACTGCGTATACCATGGACAGCCAGAATAACTGACAGAGAGGTGTTAAATCATATAAAACCAGAAACATCACTAGCAGCTAAAATCACAAGATTACGTCTGATTTTCTAGGGCCATGTCATGCATGCAAATTCACGAGAAGCCAGCGGTGCTAGGAATGGTTGGTGGAACAAGAAGACAGGGCAAGCAAAGAACATGTTGGCTTGATAACATCAAATCTCCATGAGCACCCAACAACGTTGAGCACCCAACAACTGAAAGAAGCTGTGCATGGAGAACACTTGCCTATAAAGTCACCAAGAGTTGGACATGACAGTTAAAAACAACAAAACAATGTTCAAACTAAAGTAAAAAGGCTATGGGGAGACAATATTTAAAGGACTGTCACAGGAAAGAAGGATTTGTTCCTCATAGCCCCCAAAGATAAGAGCCTACGGGGGAATATGTTACAGTGGGAGGCTGAAACTGGAAATAGAAGAATTTCCTCACTGTGAGAGCTATTAAAAAGTTGAACATCGTGCATTTAAGGTAAAAAAAATGAAGACACAACCATGCAACAGATTAATCCTTGAGCCAGCTGTCTATTACTTTTACTAAAAAGACAAACAGCATCTCAGTTTGAATTCAACAATAATTTCTAGATCACAAAAGTGGTAGAAGACTAGATGGGACACTTATCTGATGCTGCCAAACTGGATTGTGTCAAGCAATAGTAACAACAGGATGTGTTTGAAAATAAAATCCCATATGAAATGGCTGAAAGACAGGGATATGATTAGCTTGTAGAAAAGGCAATTAAAGGGTGACCATGATAATTATCTTCAAATATCTAAGAGGCTGCTACGCTTAAGATGGCAACATAGGCCAACTGACACTTCAAAAGACAGGATTAGGCGGTGAAAACTGAAAATGAATACAGTACAGTACATTTCAACCAAACATTAAAAGAAATTTCCATAGCAAAAGCTATTGAATATCTAAAATTAGTGGACTGTTGTTCTCCCACAGACATTTGTTCAGCATATTTATTTGTAATCAATTAAAATAGGAAATTTTATTTTTATCCTTATTTTTAAAAAACAAGGAAGGAAACAGGAAACTTGCACTGACCCCTCCTAGAGGATCCAAAGGCAAAATTAAACAAACTAAGTGAGACATTGAAAATGTTCTAAGCCCATCTAGCTTCCTTAGAACAAAAGGCGGCTAACAGCGTTTTGAGGAAGATCTGCAGGAAGCTGAAGCCAGTCCAGCATGCATTTCCCACAAAAGCCACGGTATTGCTCAGCACTCCTTCCTGGTCTCAAAAAGAAGGTTCCTCCTCTACCACTTTTCTTCCCTTCCACACACACACACACACACACTTAAATTTATATGCCACCCATCCATCCACAGCAACTACATGTGCGCAGACACAAACACATTGTCAACTCAAGGTGGGGAACACATCCCGCAACAAAGAACCACCCTGTGCGGTGGCCTGGGCAAGAGGCCCAGAATTCACTCGCCTGGCTGCTAGGCGAGCACCCTCACCAGGCAGGCAGGCTCTCTTTTGCCGCCCTCCCGCGCTCATCCAGATTAAGTCCAGGCCTGAGAGGGCTACATTAGGGATTTCACTGCCGGCTGGGAGAGCAGCTGCCATCGGGCGCACTCTGTACATGCTCAGGGACTCTTTGCTTCTCGGGGCTCAGAGGGGAACATCTCTCGCCACGGACAGGGCAGGGTAGAAGCAGCGCCGGGAAAGGGCCTCCGGGGAGGGTAAAGCAAGGCCGGGGCTCGAGCCGACTCACGTTTCGCCAGCTCCTCCCCGGGGAAGCCCGCGGCGCAGCTGGCGACCAAGGCGCACGGGACGGCCATCGCGCACGCCAGCGATCGTGAAAGGCCCGGCGCTTCCCTTTCCGGCGCAGGCCCCGCCCTTTCCGGCCCTTACCATTTTAACAACGGCGCGGGGGGGGAAGCGAATAAACTCAGTGAACGACTGCAGCTGACGGAACCCGTAATCTCCGAAGTCCTGAGAAATGAAACAGAGACACCTCCGCGCCTCTTTTCTTTCGCGAACAGAAAGCGGAGCTGGGTCCAGTTCACATTGCTACGGCCGCTCTCCCCCCTCCGACGGGCTCGTGGTCCACGCCCGGGCCGCGCGTCCCGTTGCTAGGAGGCGAGGTGGCGTGGCTCCCGGCGACTTGCCGCGCTCTGCAGGGGGCGGCTTCGCCATGGCGGGGGTGGCTGGGCCGGGTGTCGAACTGGGCGGCGTTCTGGTGCAGGTGGGTCGAAGGAGGTCGCCTCTGCCCGGGGGGCGGCTAGGCTAAGGCACGGCTTGGCTAACCGTGGTCTGTTGCATAAACCACGATGGGCGGGGCTCCACAGCCCTGCAGCCTGCCATGGGTTTGCGTCGTAGCGTGCCTGGTAAATTGACCGCGGCCGGGTTGGCAAAGTCTCTCGGCCCGCTTTGCAGTACGCAAGGTTTTTTTTTAAAAAAATAAGAATGTATTTATGGTTCTTTGACCCGGGATCTCTGACCAGAGGCTGCCCTGAGCTAAAGCCGGGCTGGCTAAGACGGGAGTCTCTCTGGATGAAATTAGAAATAGAATAACAGAGTTTGTAAACTAGAGCAAGGAGTAACAAACTTTTTGTGTGAAAGGCCAGATAGTAAATAGTTTAAGCTTTGTGGGCCAAGAGGTTCACACAAGGATATTATGTAGATTCGTATATAACTAGAGGGAAAACAAATTTCCACACTTTTTTTTTTTGATGAAATTCCTTTTCCTTGACAGCCCCCCCCCCACTCCTCAGGAGCCAGGTGAGGTGAGAGGCTCCAGCGGTCTTGCGCTTCTGTAGGTACATCTGACAGGTCTGCAGGCCAAGGAGCCTGGTGACTGTTGGACAGTACCAGCTTGCCAGCAAGGAGGCCACCAATGCCCAGAATGCTCAGCCCCACCTTTCGCCTTGGGGGCTCAGCTGAGGTTCAGGCCTAGCTAGCTCCACTTATCTACCCACCTGTCCATTCTTAGCTCAGGGGCCATACAGAAACAGGTGGAAGGGTGGATTTGGCTCATGTTGACCACCTGATCTAGAATTTGTTAAGTAAAGTAAAGATTGTCCTGTCTTGTCCTCTATTCTTCAACATTTTTATTAGTAGATGAAGGGTGGAGGGAATGCTTATCAAATTTACAGATGACAAAAGATGTAGTGGGATAGCTAAAAAAAACCAAAAAAATTCACCAAAGCTACCAAAATTAGAGATGGATCAATATTTGAGGGATCACATCTACTTGACCAGATGACAAAGAGAATCTGAACAAAAAAGATGAATGAAAACATGTTCCACAGTGCTCAGACCCTCAGACTGGGCCCAAGGTTCACTTTCCAACATGACAATGATCCCAGGTGCACAGCCAAGACAACCCAGGAGTGGCTTAGGGACAACTGCATATCCTAAGGAGGCCCAGCCAGAGCCCTGACCTGAACCCTATTGAACATCTCCAGAGGGACCTGAAAATGGCTGTCCATCAACAGTCACCATCCAACTTGACTGAGCTGAAGAGGATTTGCAACGAAGAAGGGCAGAAAGTCCCCCAGTCCAGGTGCGCAAAGCTTGTGGTGTCATACCCCCGAAGACTCGAGGCTGTAATTGCTGCCAAAGATGCTTCAACAAAGTACCTAGTGAAGGGTCTGAACATTTATACTAATGTGATATTTCAGTTTTTTTCTTTTTAATAAATTTATAGTCATTTCTAAAATTCTGTTTTCACTTTGTCATTATGGGGTATTAAGTACATTAATGAGAAAAAAATGAATTTCAACAATTGTAGAATCAGCCTGCAGCATAACAAAATTGACAAAAGCGAAAGAGTCTGAATACTTTCTGAATGCATTGTACCTCCAGTTTTCTACAAAACCACGCCCATAGAAAGCTATTGGCTCACTTAAGAGGGTATTCACTTAATGATCACAGATTTACTTAATGGTCCAGGGATTTACTTAACAACTGCCACAAAAAGGTCATAAAATCAGGTTACATTCTCCATTGCTGTTGTAGCTCGATGGTTACCTGTGAATCCAGGTACCAATTTTGTTAGCTTCCTTCAAAGCAGCTCTGCATAACAGGCAGTGGAATAGTTAAGTCAGGAATGCTGAGCAAGCAATAAATCATTTTACTGGATTTTTACTGCATCCCAAATTTTTCTATGGTTGAAGTTGTAAAAGACAATTCAGAGGAAGAAATCTATTTGTGTAATTGCTTAAGCTAAAATGTATTTACATGGCTGAAAGAAAAAACAGTGTTTTTTTGTCTGTGATAAAATAAAGCTGAGGGAGGAGGAATCAGAAGAAACTTTTTGCAAATGAAGTTTGGTTGGTTGCGCCTAAGAACGTACAAGGCTTTGTGACAGATTAGAAATCTTAAGATATTTTAATAGTTAAAAATGTTCAGAAGCAAGATTATTAACTTTATTGGCACTTACTCCCAGTTCGAGTGCATATTGGAATTCAGCTGCACAGTAGATCCTTCATATGCAAGTCTCATTGAGTTTTAAACCTATTATTGGAACTGAAGCCTAAATCAATACAATTGGTGTTTGAGCCAGACTATGTTTGTATAGCATACTAATCCATCAAACACAGTTAAGAAATCGCACATCATGCTAAGCAAAGAAGTCAAATCACATGGCTTAACAGGGTAGCCTTGTTTACATTATGCACTGAGACAGAATGTGGCTGTTTGATGTTGGTTTAGCCTTGATGTTTTGTCAGCAGTGCTTTATGGCTGAATAGGTTAACCTAGTCAGGTGCATCTGCGGAGAGGGCCAGCAGGTAAATATTGACAAGTGTTACGATGCAATCACACACACTTCTCGCCGACATCCTGATGCAAGATCATAATATTTCTGTGGTGATTTCATTGCCTGTGTATTGTTACTTTGGTTTGTGGACATCATTGAACCCAGCCTGGTTTTTTCCCAAGTAGCCTTGTTAGAGTATACTTTGTATTTGAGCTATCCCACCCCCAACCCTGTAATTTCAATCAGAATAGAGCTGGAAGGGACCTTGAAGGTCTTCTAGTCCAACCCTCTGCTCAAACGAGACACCCTATCCCATTCCAGACAAGTGGCTGTCCTGTCTCTCCTTAAAAACCTCCAGTGATGAAGCAACCACAACGTCTGGAGGCAAAAACTGTTCTACTGGTTGATCGTCCTCACTGTCAGGAAGTTTCTCCTTAATTCTCTCCTTGGTTAGTTTCTTTTCTTGTTTCTTGTCTTGCCTTCTGGTGCTTTGGATAACATCAGATTTGAGATGCCAGCTTTGGTCTGGTTTCTCCACTTGTAATATTCCAGCAGACTCTGAGATTTAAGTAGTCTGAGATTTTCAATCTTAACTTCAGAAGTGCATTTATATTCTTGTGTATTCAGTGCATGCTTTGTTTTGTAGGTTCAAGAAGATCTTCAACAGTTGAAGGAACAACTGCGAGATTTCAGCCACGACTGGGAAGCAGCAGAGGCTGAGAGCCTGGAACTGGTTGTTGAAAGGGCAGAGAACAGATTGAGGGTGAGTGGGTTGCCTCTTCTTTAGTGGGAAATAAAATCCACAGGTAGTCCTTGAGTTACAACAGTTCATTTAGTGACCATTTGAAGTTACAAGAGCACTGAAACAAGTGAATTATAACCATTTTCACACGACCATTGTGGCATCCCCATTCAAATTCAAATATGTGACAACTGTCTCATATTTATGATGGTTGCAGTGTCCTGGTGTCATGTGATCACCTTTTGGAACCTAATAAGCAAAGTGAATGGGGAAGTCAGGGTCACTTAACCATGCAACTAACTTAAAAACTGCAGTAGTTCACTTAAAACATTTGTCAAGAAAGGTCGTAAACTGGGGCAAAATTCACTTAACAAATGTCTCATTTATCAGCAGAAATTTTGGGCTCAATTGTGTAAATCAAGGACTACTTAGAGAGAGAGAGGGAGGGAGAGAGAGATAGAAAGAGAAAGAGAGAGAGATGGATGCAATTATATACAGATATATACATACATAATTCTCTCTACTCCTGAACAGAAGCATGCAGAGAAGTATTTAAATGCAGTGAACAGATCAGTGCTAACTATTTTCCCAGCGGATGATGCAGAACTGTCTTCAAGACAGATTTCCAAATGGTAAGAACATTCAGTTTTATTGGATAAATATCTTTGAGTGGCAGAATTTGGCTGCTTTTAGCATTCAAAGATAGTTTTCATAAACTATCTCCAAATATCAATGTAAGAAAAGTCTTCTGCTTCTTAGCAAGGATTGGACCAGGAAGTGACTATATTCACATGACTCTGGATACCTTTGCTTGATGCTTGACTGCTTCTTTCTGAAGTTCTGTGGTTTGGAAATGGCAGTCCACAGCTTGTTTTGGTCTTACTGGGTTGCTCATTAGAACTTTCTGGCTGAGACTGTTTCCAGATTGAGAACAAACCATAGAATATTCTCTCTTTCCCTCCTGGAGAGACCCCAGCATCTTGCATACAATATGGCAGCCTTAAAACATGGTGTGGATGGTGCTGTAACTAACTTGCATGGTTTTGGGGGAGCTGTGGCCAGATGTACAGGAGTAACCAGGCTTGTGTTGGGCAAAACCCTTCCTTGTTTGGACTCCTCAAATAATTGCAGCTGCTTATCTGTGGCTGTTGAACAAGGCCATATCATTTTTCCAGATAAAAGAAATAGTCATGGTTTAGTTGGCCAATTTTGTATTTATTTTAGCTGCTCTTGCAGTGGCCACAGGCTTGGTTGAAGCAAATTAGGTACAAATCAAGAAACCACATTGATGTACGTTCACATATCCTGCCAAGCTATAGACTAAAAGAATGTCCACAAGAAATTGTGCTTTCAAATTGTGGCTTCCTGTTGTTGAAGAAAGCATGATTTATAATCACTGACCATGTTTGCATGTGGTCAGTCAAAACCAAAGTACAGTGCATTACAGCTAAGAGTATCTGTAAACTCCAATAAATATCAGTATGTATATAGTCCTCGACTTATATCTATAACAGAGCCTGCTCATTGTGGTTGTAAGTCATAATGGTCAAAAAGCTGGTCATCTCAGACAAACCTGAGTTTACGACCGTTCTTTGAAGTGATTGTTAAGCAAATCACTATGTTAATTAACTGAATCTATGGCCATTAAGCAAACGCTGCAGTCATTAAGTAAGCCCATTGTTTGCCATTAAGTGTTTTTGCCAAAAACTGGAAGTAAATACTGTTTTTTGGCAAAAATGTAAATCGGGGTCACATGACCTTGAGACCATGCAAATAGTCCGTGCAGGCCAGTTGCTGAGCATCTAAAATGTGGTCATGTGACGGGGGGCATGAGAACTGGGTTGCAAGGACCTTTGGGGGGTCCGTCACAACTTTGAATGGTCCCTAAGCGACCATTGTAAGTCAAAGACCACCTGTAGCGTTAATCCCTTTCTGCAGGACTTGCATTTTATCCTAATTATAGGCAGTCCTCGACTCAAGACTGCAATTGAGCCCATAATTTATGTTGCTAAGTGAAACATTTCTTAAGTGAGTTTAGCTTCATTTTATGACCTTACTTGCCCCAGTTGTTAAGTAAATTATCTCAGTTATTAAATTAGCAACACAGTTGTTAAGTGAATCTGGCTTCCCCATTGACTTTACGTCTGAATTTTGATCAGGTGAGCGTGGGGACGCTGCAACGGTCGTAAGTGTAAAAAAGGGTCATAAGTCACTTTTTTCACTGCCGTTGCAACTTTGAACGGTCACTAAACAAACAGTTGTAAGTCGCGGATTGCCTGCACTGAATGTCTTCTTTGGGGCAGGGTATGAAAATGAAGCCGTGCTCTTTTGCCCGCTTTCTGATTTCATTCTCTTCCCAATGTAGGGGAATCCCCTTGGAGCCTTCTCCGAAAGAAATCGCTTTTCCCAAGGTGCCCACGACGGCCCCTCCTGCCAGGGCAGCCCTGCCTCCAGCCTCCTCCTCGGGCTCAAAGGTTCGAAGCGGCTTGTGGCTTTCATCTGGCCAGGGATTCTGCGGTCTGGTTTCCCTCCCAAGGGATCTCGCTCAGGGAGCCTCCGGGGACAGGCCCACTTTGGATGGGATCCTCCTGCAGGCTAGAAAGCGGAGGGCGGGGCGGGGCTCTTCCTCCCCTAAAGACCAGATAGGGAGCCGTCATGTTTGTGATGATGGTCTGACTTCTTGGTAAACCAAGGTAGCTTCTTCACAAGCCTCCCCTGATTTTCTCCCTACAGCACAGAGAGATTGAGGGAGAGCGACTGGCCCACAATCCCTAGTGAGCTTTGACACGAACGGGGACTTAAATTGGAATCTCTCTGGTCCCAGTGCAACAGTTTAACCCAGTGTTTCTCTGCCTTGGCAGTTTGAAGATATGTGGCCTTCAGTAGCCAGGATTCGAGTCTGGCTGGGTAAATCTGGAAGTTGAAGTCCATATGCTTTCAAGATGCCAAGGCTGAAAAACCCTGCCTTAACCACTCCATTACACCAAGAACACAAAGTCTTGGCCTGGATCAGCACAGACACAGGAGGGAAACAGAGCTAATCCATTTGTCCTGTAGGCTTAAATTATTTGCACTTGTGAGGATGGAGGTTCGTTCTCCGAGCTGGTGGGCTGGTTTCCGAACATTTCGTTCCCAGGTTAGGTGACCTCTTCAGCGCAATTTAAGGGAGGTCTGTGTCGGTGTCCTTCTGCTTACAGGGGCTTGTGTGGTCAGTAGGCCTTGTGATGAGGAGGTCACGTCAGGGGAAGGTCTTGCGATGGGTCTTGTGACCCTCCCAATGATCCTCCCCTGACGTGACCTCCCCATCACAAGGCCTACTGACCAGACAGAACAGAAGGACACCGACACTGACCTCCCCTAAATTCCGCTGAAGAGGTCAACCAGCCTGGGAATGAAATGTTCGGAAACCAGCCCACCAGCTCGGAGAACGAACCTCCATCCTCATCCTCCACCTGAGCTACAGATATTCGCCACTAAGGCAAACTTGCACTTATGCCCTTGCATGACTAGAAATGTTGAGTTTCGTGGTATAGCTGTCAATAACTAGAGTGTTTTCTTTGACACTAAGGAGGCATAGTTCTATCCCATGGAACACATTCAGAGATATCCTTGTTGTTGTGATTACAGAACTCACTGGCAGGAAAAACATTTGGGCAGGCCAAAAAGGAACAAAATCTGATTTTTCAATTACTTCCCAAGTGACGTTCTTTACGTCTGTGACCTCAGTAAGCAAAGAATAAATTGGAGGGACCCGTTTCGGGTCATTCACTTTGAGTGAGTTATTAAAAAGAATGTTAAAGCCCAGAATTTTTAGGAGGCCTCCAGCGGGTTTGGCAGGACCATTTTTAGTTGCTGATAAAAGCAGAATTTTGCTGAACCTGCGACATACGCTGGAGAGTTCAGAATTAAGTGAAAGGTGGGATAAAGGGTGGAAAACTGCACCTCATTTCTGCTGATTTCTCCTTTTCTCCCTCACCACAAGCCACCATTCACTGTTGAAGAATAGTTTTGTTGACCTTTTAGCAAGGGGAGTTCTCATTTTAGCTGTGACTGCTGGCACAAGAGAATCTGCTGGGATTCCAGAGAGTTAGAATGCTTTATACAGAATACAGAAACACAGGGCTGGAAGGGACCCTGGAGATCTTCTAGTCCAGCCCCTGGCTCAAGCAGGAGACCCTGCACCATTTCAGACCAGTGGCTGTCCCGTCTCTTCTTAAAAGCCTCCAGTGATGGAGCACCCACAACTTCTGGAGGGAAGCGGTTCCACTAGTTAAATGTTTCCACTGTCAGGAAGCTTCTCCTCGCTTCTCTCTTTGTTTAGTTTTCATCGTGGCTTCTTGTCCTGCCTTCTGGCGCTTTGCTTTGTTTCTTCCTGGAATTTATAAACTGTTCCATTCTAAGCAGTGTGCGAGATGTGATAATAAAATACAGTTAATGTACAATAAATGTAAGGCAACATATAATTATTGTTCAACATTTATAAGCGATTCATGTAGTCCTCGTTTAGTGACTGCCCCATTGTAACAGAATGACTGCCTCATTCAGCTGCAGTGGTAATGAAAAAGTAACTTTTCAGCCAACCCAAACATTTACAACCTTCACAAGTCTGTAAAGCAAAGGAAAGCTGAAATAAAATCATAAAATTATGATTTTTCATTTAGCGACTGCTTCATTTAATGACCATGTTGCCATTCCCAATATTGTATAACACTCTTGGCACTGGGAGGCCTCTATTCGCAGCCGCCCCTTTTTTGTGAGCTCGCAGGACGTGGGAGAAGGGCTTGGAGAGGGGGAATGGGGGACACGCCGTGTAGATGGGACATGGGCAGTCCTCTACTTACAGCGTTCATTTAGTGACTGCTCGAAGTTACAACGTCACTGAAAAGGTGACTTAGGACCGTTTTTCACACTTAACAACCTTTGCAGCGCCCCCAGGGTCACGTGATCAAAATTACGATGCTGGGCAACTGGCCTGCATTTGTGACCACTTTTTGCGAACTTCCCAGTGGCTTCTGACAAGCAAAGTCAGTGGGGGAAGCCACGCTTGCCTCATGGCCAAATGATTCACTTAACAACTGTGGCAAGAAAGGTCGTAAAATGGGGCAAAAAACAACTGTCTTGTCATGGAATTTTTAGGGCCCCCTGCATATATGGCGGGAGTATGGAGGCTCCCCGAGGGTGTCAAGCGTTTGGGGCGGTTGCAACCCCCAGTTGCACCTGAGGAAGGGAGCCGGGTGGTCTGGCCTCTCGGAGGAGCTTTCCGGCTGCTTCCCCTCCTGCCCGGCTCCCAGACCACGGCCTTCGCCTTTCTAGACTTGAACATGTCACTTGAACCCGGAGCAGTTGCCATCTCTAGGAAGCGCTGACCAGAATCGGAGGGGAAAAACAGGCAGTTATTTGTGATTTTCAAATTCCAGCGAGAAGTAACTACAAATAACAGCCATGTTAAATTTGAATGACAAATGATGGATAAGATCGGATGGGGTGAAGGTAAAATGATGGGATGGGCGCTGGCCTAAGTTGGCTGGAGTGGGGCATTGTGCTTTGTGAGCTGTCTCAGAGTGATGGCCACAGTTGATTTGTGGTCCACAAGGTAGTGTTTTTTTGGGGGGATGGGACTGGGGGGCTACATTCTCCCCTGTAGAAGGGGGATCTCTGGCAGCTGCAGCATTGACCGTGTCAGCCTTAGTGTTTTATTTTTTAACAGGGACATTCTCACCCACCCACAAAGATGCAGAAGGCGACCTTATTGCGTGCAATTTGCAACGCACACCAACCCGTCCGATCTGCACATATACAGGTAGTCCTCGACCTACGACCACAATTGAGCTCAAAATCTATATTGCTAAGTGAGACATTTATGAAATGAGTTTTGCCTCAAATTACAAACTTTCGTGCCACAGTTGTTAAGTGAATCATTGCAATTGTTAAGTTACTAACCCGGTTAAGTGAATCTGGCTTCCCCATTGACTTTGCTGGTCAGAAGGTCGCCAAAGGAAGATCACGTGACCCCGGGACACCTGCGACCGGCATAACTACGAACCAGTTGCCAAGCATCTGAGTTTTGATCATGTGACCGGGGAGGCCGCAAGGGCTGTAAGTGTGAAAAAATGCCATAAATCACTTTTTTCAGTGCCGTTGTAATTTTGAACGGTCACTAAATGAACTGTTGTAAGTGAAGGGCTGCACGTAGTTGCCTTGGGTATCCGCTTGGTTTTGGAGTAGCTTCAGCTGAGATCTGCAGCCTCAGCCTGTGCTTCTTTGGGTCCTTGAACAAGGATGCCCATCACTGCAGTCCCAGACGGCCACCTTCAGGCAGAGCTGCAGAGCTGCAGAGCTTCTTGGCCTCTCAATCGAAGAAGTGGGCTTCTCTCCTGCCAGCATGAGGAGCTTGAGGGACTTGAAGCATCCAGTCTAGCCATCCAGAGACCTCCGAGGAGAACCGTCGGGTCAGTCCCCTGGGCAACGAGGAGGAGGAGGACAGCGGTGCAGGAAAGGCTCCAGGGCAGAGAGGCGTTCAGTTAGGGGAATCAGGCAAGCTGCCCTCTCCGTTGATAGGGAAATGGGCTTTTCTTAGCAGATAGCAAAGAGTTTGTTTTTTCTCCACTATGACATGATTTCCCTCTTGCATTGCTGCCCATGCTCTGCATAAAATGCGCTCCTCCAGTTGACCAGGGAAGGCATCATGCGCAGAGGCTAACAAAACTGGCAGGGATAACGTGGATAGCAAGGTGGTCGGTGTACACATTTAATAAATACAGTGGTGCCTCAGTATTCAACCCGTTAATGGTCCCAGGAGGCACAATGAGTACCAAATAATTTTTTTCCATAAGAAATAATATAGTGAGCCATAAAGCAGCTGACATCAACATGTTCTCACTTGTGCATTGAGTGCCAAACAAACAATGACTACGGGACAAACTTTTCGAGTCAAAATGCGTTGAGTGCCGAATTTGATGAGTTTCAAAGCAGTTGAGTACCAAGGTAAATAGTTCTAGACAAAACTTCCAGCATTGTTGTTGTTGTAGACAGGCTGTGTTGTGTTTCTTTACAGCACAAGCTTTCAATGATGATGAGGATTCTGTGTGACCCAAGGCACGTATACCACCGAAGCATTGTAAATCAGAACTATGGTGTCAGTTTGCCATTGGTTAATCGGAGGGAAACCGCATACGTAAGTAATCAAATAAAGTATCTCCATTGCTTTGTTTCTTGCCTCTGATTTTCTTCAGAACAGTTGAGCCTCAGCCACTCTCTTGGGCAAAACGTCCAGCTGTTTTAGGAAATTCATCATCAAAATATTTTGTGCCAGGAAAAACATTGTTGAATAGTTCCCGCATGCATCTACATCGCTTGATCTCTTTAGTTCATATCCTCCTGGTGCCTGGCTGTGGAATGTACTAATGCATTATGTTAGACAACTGTGTGTTTGAGGTGACGAATCAAAAGTTCTGATATCTGAAATAACCCCCTCCCCAAAGCAAGTCCTCAGTTGCTTGTGTGATTAACATTATTACCTTCTATATATAAACCCTCAGTGAATGTTTCAGTGAGATTCCCCACTAGGTTTTTTTTTATTCTGACCAATATTTGGATTTTATTTTACATAAATACTCTTTACATTTTAATTTATAGTTTAAATAATTTTTGTTTAAATAGTTTATGTCATTTCATTTCACTTTTTGAAGCATTTTGTATCACTGTCCTAACAAGGCCTTCCGAAGTGATTCATGCAAAAATATAACACATTGTCAGAGAACAAAAGCAGAAAGTTTTAGATCAGAGTTAGAGCTTTCAGTTTAAAAGTGCCGTGCCAAGTGGGATAAGAAGGTCCTCCCTGCCCTCAGGACATTCCTAGAAAAAGGAATTTCACAACCAAAACGTGGTTATCACAAAATAAATGTGTTGGCTCATGCAAAAGAATCCCTTGACAATGAATTCAGCCACCTGGCAGATTCAAACAAGAAGAAATGCTCTCTCAGATCTCTTGGTCTTACGATGTTTAGAGATTTGATAAATCAACTGTAATTCCTTGAAATGATTAGGAGGAGGTTATCATAAGATTGTGGGAACATACTTTAAAGCAGGGATGTCCAGTCTTGGCAATGTTGAGACCTATGGACTTCAGCTCCCAGAAGTCCCCAGCCAGCATGAATTCACAGTTAAGGATCATCACTCCTGGAATATAACATGGCTGGCTGGAGGATTCTGGGTGTTGAAGTCCACAAGTCTTAAAGTTGCCAAGGCTGGACACCCCAGCTCTAAAGAGAGCCACCTGACTGTTTTGCTTTGCAATAGCTGCAGTTTTCAAACTTTTTCTGAGGACAACACCCAGGGAGCCAGTTCTAGCGATCTGGACTGGGAATGAATATACTGCAGGAACCAATCTGGGTCAGTCACCGGGACCACAGCTTTGTCTTCCGAGTTTTTGGACTCGTGCTGAAGCCCATCCTCGGGGAACTTTTCTCTAGCAGTGTGTGTGCTTTGGACTGTTCTGTGTGTGGTATTTATATGGTGCCTGTTGTGTGTGGGTTTTTTAGATGTTTATTGGGATGCTGATGTGCTGCCAAGTGAGCGGTCAGACAAGGAGACCTGAACTCATTGGTAGCTTCACACTGCAACGAACAAGGACACACATTCAGTTTTGCAGCTACTAAGATGGTTGAACGAGCAGGCACAAAAACAGCCAGGGGTGTGAGGGGAACCTGGGAAACGGGCCCCTCATCGGTCAACAGGAGTGCCGATTTACCACCAGCTTATCAAGTACTGAGGAACAGAGGGTTGGGCAGCGCAGGGAAATGACAGCCAACAACTTAATTGCCAGCCATCAACACCCCAATCAACATCTAAAAACAGACACCATATAAATACTGCACACAGAACAGCCCAAAGCGCGCACACTGCCAGAGGGCAGTTGCCCGAAGATGGGCTCCAGCATGAGTCCGGAAGCTCGGAAGACTAAACCACTCTGGTCCAGGTGACCGACCCAGACTGGATCCTGCTGCATTATCCCAGGACACGTAGATTCGCCTTCATTCGTAATGAATATACTCGCTGTGGCTAGAGATGCCTTTTCCATGCAAGAGCCCCTATGGCACACGTACGCAGGCCCACCTGGGCCCCAGCAGGCCCTTGTGCAGAAGTGATGATCCTCAGCTGTGAACGTGAACCTCAAGAGGCGAAGGTCCCTGCCTGCTTGGTGGGGTGATCTAAGATTGGGCAGTACTCTGGCCATGACTTCATTCCAGGTTGCTAGCTCAGATCTGGTCTTCCGTAAGCAACATCACAGCACCTGTTGAACATTTTTGCAATAAATAATAGGACGAAAGAGAACTTCCAGCTGTATTGAAGCAACCTGAATGTGTCAGCCATTTGATTCTCTTTTGAAAAAGGCTAGTCAAGAATATTACTGTTACTTGATTGTATAGCTTAAAGAATTTTCTGCAGATTATATCAGTGACATTGATATAACATATATCAATATATAACGGCAATATATAACTTAGCAGCGTTTGTGAAAATATGAAATTATGTTAATTACAGGCAATGTAAATATACAAATTAACATTAATTAAACTTGAATGCAAACTAAGTTAATTGCACATAATTAGATGTATAGATTGGTGTTTGTGAATACACAAAATTCTGTTAATTACATTTGCTTAAATATGCAGATTAGCTGTGTTAATTAAAATAGCCTGCGAATTATTTTAATTGTGTGCGTCTTAAGAGTGGCCGATTAGCTGCAGGCCTCTTACCGCTTTCTCCTCCGGCAATTTCCCAGTTGCTCACCTCTGTCAAAGGGCAAAAATGCCCATTGAAACCTCCACAAAAATAAGTCTTCATAATTGCAGTGACCTCAAAGGAGCTCTCCATCATTTTCACGTTCTCAGAATTGTTGTGTAGCAGTAGACTTATACCGATGCTTGGGTCTCCACCTTCCAATAAATAAATAAATAATGCAAGATAAACTTGGCTCCTTTTCATTTATTCATGAGAAGGAATTTAATGCCTTTGCCATCCCCGAGTTTTTACGAGTCCTGCTGCCCCTTTTGCTAAGTTCCTCCCCTCGTTCTTCCTTTTGCTTTCGTCCTCTGTGAAGCTGTGGGCATCCCTCCGTGCCTGGACTCTGCCCCGCTTGTCTCTGAATTGCCTCTGCAAAGGAAAGGGGCAGCCATTTATTCTGGAAACAGTTCTCTAGTAGTAAGAACCATGGTTTTCTTTTCAGATGTACTGCGGAACGGACAAGAAGGTGTAAGATCTTGGGAAGGGGAGGGGGGGAGAAGCTTCTGTCTATGGTTTCAATTACAAAAAGGGACTAAAACCCCCAATGTTGGCATCCGGAGTGGAATCAGACTTAAACAAATTGATGTTCTACCGCGGTAATTTGCAGCACATTTGCTGCATTTATAACAAACGTAACAGAAGACAACGACAAATTAATAAACTGTCCTTTTCCCCAAATATAAGAGAAGTAATAATTGGTGAGATCGGGTTAAGTGAGCAGATGACTGCACGCAGTTTCCTCTCCACCTAGAAATGGGAACGTGAAGGTCACCTCTATCCCGGATGACAAACCGAGAGCATTCTGTTGGTAAACAAATTAATCTTTGGAAAGGTCACCATTTGTTTTACATTTTGCATCCAGTCCTTGTCATCTGGAATCCAAGATTGACTGTCACTCCGCAAGGTGGAGGGGAGCCGAGGCTGCTCCTCTCCATATCAGCATTCTTGGAAGGAACGCCACGCCTGATTGAGATGCTATGGGCTGCTGGCTTACAGCTGTCGCTGGACAAGGAGGCAGGCCCACCCGGAATTCCAATCAGCCCAGCTGTCCGATCCTGCTCGGCACCGGCTGGCCTCTTGCCCACCAGTAAGATGCGCAGCAGTTTGTGCCAGCTATTTCCCGGCTCCCTCCCTTCTGCCTTTGAAAGGCATGCCGGCCGGCCACACATCTCATCTTGGCCACCCACCTGGTGCGGTAATTTGAGGCAGGTCGGCTGGAAGGACAACCTAGAAGAGGCTTTCGATTAGAAAGGCTTCCCTGAGAGTCTAAATGGGCTTTGATTCTAAAATGGGAGAACTGGGGCTTTGGACGGTTGAACGGTTAACAGAAGGAACTGCAAAGTTTCTTGCTCAAAAGTCTAGGCTGCCTTGAGCCAACTTTCCAACCTCTCCTCACTAATCAGAGGGAGGCTGGTAGCAACTTTTCAGGCTGACAAATTTAATGGAAAGTCATACGCTTTTGTCAGCCATGCTTGCTTCATCCGATGCACAGAGTAGCTAGACTGGTGTTGGATTGAAATTGGGAGGGAGGCTGGGTTGGGGGTGGGGGGAGATACAGATGCCGGCTACCTGAGAGACAAATTGCAAGTGTCTTTTCAATTGGCAATTGTAATGTGCTGAATGCCTGTTGTGTTTGTTGAGCTGGCCTGAAACCATTTGAGGTATGTAAGTTCACCATCTCTCCGCTCAATTGTGCCTGTAAAATTTCTTTGTTCCAAAAGAGCTACTTTGAAATCTTTAATGGACCTCTTGGGAAATTAAAATCCTCGGATACCACTTTGTCCTAGTTTTGAGCCTTTGTGCTAGATTTGTGTCCATTAACTCTTTTGCATACAGTCTGCCATGTTTGTCCTGCATGGAATCCAAAGGGGCGTTGCTGGCAGATCACGGCAGGGTTCACCTTAGAGAAAGGGTTGTGGAAGGACCCCTCATCTGGGGAGGCCTCTGGCAGGACTGGGGGTGCAAATGCAGAGGCAAAGTCGGTCCCTGGCTTTTTCTCCCTTCTCCACCTCCTTCCAACTGAAAAGTGTAATAGTTTAGCCTCTCCATACATCGGATGTCATGAGCAGTATGCAAAAACAGCGAAGGGAAGGAAAGGGGATTCTTTATTGGCCAAGTGTGATCAGACACACAAGAAATTTGTCTCCTATAAGTTAGTTACAATCATTAATCATAAGTTACAAATAATAATTCATAAATCATAAGAAAATAATAGAAGATAGGAAAGATGAGATGATATGAAAAGATGAGACTAGACAGCGCTGTGGGAATTAAGTGTTCAGAAGAGTGATGGCACGGGGAAAAAACTTTGTGTCTTATTATATACAATGCATATCCCTATTAATAACATTTGTTATCTGAAAAAGACCTACAGGTAGTCTTCAGGTAGAAACTTGGTCTTTAAGTGAGGCAGTCACTAAGTGAAAATCCCACCGGGTTTATGATTTGACTTCAGATTTCCTTTGTTTACAGACCTGCAAAGGTCATAAATGTGAGGCTTGATTGCAAAGTTACTTTTTCATCACTGTTGTTGGTCACTAAACAAGAGTTGCTGAATGAGAGCTATCTGTATTGAACTCTTGATTTTTGGCTGTCGTAGACTAATATGGCTCTCCTACTAATATTAGCCTGCTCTGTGGTGATTTGGAGGAAATTGATAATTTATGTGGAGTGCTAAGTATCTTGGGAAGGTACCAGATGCTTAAGTCAGCAAATGGAGAGAAGTAGAAATAGTTTCTTAAGTGGTTAAGTTTATATTAAATGCTTCTGTATATTCATATTTTGCATTCCTTTTGTATTGAATAGCTTCCATGCCCACAATTAAAAATCTTTTCACATGAAGTGACAAAATTAAGTGTCTTTTTTTCCCCCTAAAAAAACATAAAATAGTTGAAGGGTTTCATCACAGATGGGAAGGGTTTTTGTTTTTGTTGGCTGGCTTTCTGGCAGGGGTGATATATTTTCCATGTGTCCATAATTTTGCAGAATCATTTCCACGGGCCACTAGTAATATGAAGCTATCATCCAGCTAATTTATCAGTGTCGCTAAAGAGTAGTAACTGAAACAGCCTTGCATCTGGAGCCAAATGTTCTGCTTCTGTTCCGTCCTCAGAATCAATCTGATTCTAGAGAAAACTTGTTGGTGAGTTGCTCAGCTGTGAACGTCGAATGTGAACAATGAAACGGTCTCTGGTGTGTGCACATCCGGTGTCCATTTGCTGTTCTGCAATCTGCTGGTTGCCTCCTTCACTTCCTAAAGTTGTTTTGCCTCAGTTCTGTTCTGTTCCTAACAAAAGGAAAACAATGAAATGCAAAAAACCCTTTTTTAAAAAAAAACTGTTTGTTTTAAATTGAACCATAGAAAAATAACCATATTGATTGGGACATTTTTATCCACAAGAGAAATGCACTTCAAAAAAACTAATAGAATTCTTTTGTCTCATGCCTCAAGTTAATTATACAGAGAATTGCTTGAGATAAAGAGAAAATACTTCTGCAGCACATTTCAGGCATATTATGCAGAGTAAATGTTTGCCGGCAGCCCAAATTAAGATCTCTGTTCTAACCTTTGAAAATTGTGTTCTGATGTAATGTTTCTCTTCACCAAAATGTTTTCACGATATTAGACATGTCCAATTCATTGCCTGAAAATGAGTCATTTGCTTCAGCGTTACAGCAGTGTTTATCCTGTGAGCAGGATGCCTGATTTTGTCCAGCTCTTCCTTTTTGGTAGAGGCATCTGAGGCCCTCCATGTGATCTGCCAGCTCCAAAATGGATGATTCCTTGCAGCCAGACCTTTTGGGAAGAAATCTACAGTAGAACCATTCCCGTGATGGCCGACATCATGTTAGGATGGACTTGGGAGATATGCCTTTGGATTGTCAGTTAACTGTACATTTATTGTTGGAACCAAAAAGTAGGCATAGCCTTGTATTTATTTTAGCTTCCTCTTGAGGAATACTGGTCTCTCGGGTTATATATTAGGCATGTGTTACTATAGTAAGCTTAGCAAAGGTTTCTAACAAAAAGGACCTTTTTTGGTAAGTCCAAAACAAATGTAAAAAAAAAAAATTATTTATACCAGCTGCTGAGTGAAGAGGCCAAACTGCCAACAAATAATAAAGCAAAGGCAGAACGATTCAACTTCTAATTTAACAGAATAACAGACCTGGAAGGGAGCCGGAAGATCTTCTAGTCCAACCCCCTTGCTCAAGCAGGAGACCTTACACCGTTTCAGACAAGTGGCTGTCCAGTCTCTTCTTGAAAACCTCGAGTGATGGAGCACCCACAACTTCTGAAGGCAAACTGCTCCACTGGTTAATTGTCCTCACTGTTAGGAAATTTCTCTTGAATTCCAGGTTGCTTCTCTCCTTGATTAGTTTCCATCCATTGTTACTTGTCTTGCTTTTTGGTGCTTTGGAAAATAGGTTGCCCCCCCCCCCTTCTTTGTTGCAGCCCCTCAAATATTGTTATTATGTTGCCTCCTAGAATCAAGACCAACATCTATTTAATTTTTATTCTTCTGAAACAGTGCTGTAAATTGAGAACTGAAGAAGAGATTTTGCAACTAATGAAACAGAAGTACAAAAAGTTATTTATCCTGCTGCAATCTTGGTACTCTAGGCAATTAATGAGGTATTCTTCATGAAGTAGTGAATAAGCAGCAAATTTTTGCAACTACGTTTAATAGTGTGATGAGCATTTATATGCACAACTGACTTTTACCAAACCATCATGAGATCTTAAAAAAAAAGAGTTTGGATTACAAGAATGTGACCTTGATTATTCAGATTTTTCTACAGATTTAAATATATTTAAATTACCTGAATTGCTGGTAGAACCCCATAGTATATTGCACATTCCTAAGCCATGAAACCTTCCAAATTATATTTTATTGTCTAAAAAATCTTCTTGGACATAAGTGGTCCATACAATCAACAGATTTGCAGTTGAAAGAGGAAATGTTTTTCTCTTTATTTAGGCACCGACGCAAAAGATTGCAAAAGGTGTGACAGGCAACAACCTTTCTGTAGCACCACCATCCTCCCGTTTGAACAACATTCGCTCTGCCGTGCCTATTTCTGAGAAGGATGCAGAGAAAGGTCAGTCATGGTCACTTCATTCTGCGGGGCCCCTTCGCTGTCTTTGCCTTTGCAAATACAACAGATTGGCCAGGGAGACAGTTGGCTGGCCACTAGCTATACCTAGAACACAGAATAATAGGGTTGGAAGGAACCTTGGAGGTCTTCTCTCCAACTGCCTGCTCAAGCAGGAGCCCCGTTCCCTTCTGGCTAAGCGGCTGTCCGGTCTCTTCTGCAAAGCCTCCAGGGATGGAGCGTCCATGGCTTCCGGTGGCAAAAGCTGTTCCACCAATCGATTGTCCTCACTGTCAGGCAATGTCTCCTTATGGGTAGTCCTTGACTTATAGCCACAACTGAGCCCAGAATTTTTGTTTGCTAAGTGAAACCTTTGTTCAGTGAGTTTTGCCCCCATTTTACAACCTTTCTTGCCACGGTCGTTAAGTGAATTATTCAACTTTCAAGTGCGTAATGTGGCTGTGAACGGATTCTGCCTTCCCCACTGACTTTGCTTGTCGGAAGGTCACAAAAGGTGGTTGCAGGATACCGGAAGTGTCAAAAATATGAGCCTTGTGTCCGAATTCTGATCACGTGACCGCACGGATGCTGCAGCGGCCATAAGCATGAAAAATGGTCGTAAGTCGCTTTTTTCAGGGCTGTTATAACTTTGGTCACTAAACAAACTGTTGTAAGTCGAGGACTGCCTCTATTTCCAGGTTGGATCTCCATCCGACGCTTCTTGTCCTGCCCTCCGGCGCTGGGGAGAAAAGAATGGGCCCCCTCAGGTACAGGCAGTCCTCAACCTACAGCAGTTCGCTTAGTGACCATTCAGAGTTACAATGGCACTGAAGAAAGTGACTTATGACCGTTTTTCATGACCATTGCAGCATCCCCAGGGTCGCAAGTTTTACATTCGGATGCTGGGCAACTGACTCATATTTATGACGGTCGCAGTGTCCTGGGGGTCATGTGATCCCCTTTTGTGACCTTCTGACAAGTAAAGTCAGTGGGGAAGCCAGATTCACTTAACAACCGTGTTACTCACTTAAGGACTGCAGTGATTCTGTCAGGAGCCCAAAACCCTCCTCCCTTTAAGATTCACGTAACAACTGCGGCAAGAAAGGTGGTAAAAAGGGGCAAAACTCACTTAATACGTTTCTCCCTTAGCGACATAAATTTTGGGCTCCATTGTGGTTGTAAGTCGAGGACCACCTGTACGGGAAGACGGTGTCATTTCACCTTCTGCCGGCTTGTCCTAACTGTCAGCTACTCTTTCAGACACACCCTCTCCGGTTCCGCCTTCGCTCCATCGGCTCTCTGAGCTGTTTGTAAGTCAAAAACGTTAGACTGGCCAAGTAAGTTGCCCTTGAAGTAATCTGTGATGCCTCGTCTCTTCCTAGGCATCCTAAATCTAATTGAAAGAGGACTGATCCCACGTGCTGCTAGGATTACTCTAGAGAAGCCACCCATTCTGCCAAAACCTGTTCCTCTCCATGAATTTCAGACGAAGCACAAGAAGGTTGATGCAGGTAGGTTCAGGCAAGCAGGTGCCTCCCATGGTGCAAAGGCAAACACCTACTACCATTGGGTAATGTGCCAAGGCACCTTTCTTATCCTCAGGAATTTAAAAATTTAAAACTCGAAAGCACAAAACTCAGTAGTGCATCTTTTAACAGAACAACTGAGTTGGAAGGGACCTTGGAGGTCTTCTAGTCCAGCCCCCTGCTCGAGCAGGAGGACCTATACCATCTCAGACAAGTGAATGTCTAGCTCTAGCCTCTTCTTAAAAAATTCCTGGGATGAAGCACCCACAACATCTGGAGGCAAGCTGTTCCACTGGTTAATTGTCCTCACCGTCAGGAAATTTCTCCTTAATTTCAGGTTGCTTTTCTCCTTGGTCAGTTTCCATCCGTTGTTTCTTGTCCTGCCCTCTGGTGCTTTGGAGAATAAGTTGACTCCCTTGTCTTTGTAGGAGCCCCTGCTATCATGTTTTATACTAGTGGAACAGCTTGCCTTCAGATGTTGTGGGTGCTTCCTCCCTGGAGGTTTTAAGAAGAGACTGGACAGTCACTTGTCTGAAATGGAATAGGGCACAGGTGTCAAACTTGATCACGTCACATGATGTATCGTGATGTTTTTTGCCTTTGCAGAGCCAGGGTGGGTGTGGCCTGCGCTTGACGCATCCGGCCTGCTGGCTGCCAATTTGACACCCCAGGTATGGCGTCCTCCTGCTTGAGCAGGGGGCTGGACTAGAAGACCTCCAATGTCCCTTCCAGCTCTATTCTAATTCTAATTCTAATCTGTTGATTGACTACTATTGTGGGTTTGTTCGTTGTTTAATGTAGGCAAAAAATAGATCCGATCTCAGTTCAATGTGGCTTTTGGGGTGACAGAATTATATGTTTGAGGATTTTGAGCACCCTGACCTTTTCTTTTCCTGGAAGCTTTTCAAAGCCCCTTATCTGTGCCATAGATGGGGCTCGGCAGACTGAGAAGGTAGAAGCAGCTCCTCTCCCATCCCAGAAGCCCTCCCAGGTCTCTGAGTACGCAGCAGAAGGCGGAAAGGAGAAGAAAGGAACCAAGGGGAGCATCGCTCCACCACCCTCCTGCATCTCCGTCATTTCCTCCAAGAGACTCAAACAGCAGCAGCTGCTTCAGGCAATGAGACTGAGGCGGTCAGCCAGCCCTTCGGTTTCTTTGGCAAAGGTATGAGAGTCCCATGTGAAGCCTTGATAGGCCGACTTCCTGCGGCTACACACGTGCCAAGTTTTATGTAACTTCAGATATTACATACATTTTAGATATCATTGCATTTTTTATCATTTTTAGATATTACCACATACTATACAATTCTAGATCCTACCACATTTACATCTTAATCAGAGATCGTTTGGGGTTTTAATCACGGATTCTAATCAGGTTGTTTTATAGATGTAGACCAGTGACCGCTCAAAGTTACAGCAGTGCTGAAAAAAATAGCTTTACAGCCATTTACAACCTTCCCAGTGCCCCTCAGTCACGTGATCCCCATTGCAATCACAGATCACATTATCCATGCCTGACCTGTTTTTTTCCCCCTTGCAGAGCAGAGAAACTGGACTCTCTCTTGCAATGTTGCAATCTCTTCTTCTCCTCTTCCTAGGCATCCTAAATCTAATTGAAACAGGACTAATCCCACATGCTGCTAGGATTACTCTAGAGAAGCCACCCATTTTGCCTTTCCAAACTTCTTTCTGGAGGGGAGAACAGTCAGGGAAAGGAGATATTTCCTGCAGAAATCATTGCTTTTTTATCTATCCCCCCAGAGCAGAGAGAGTGGAGAGGAAGGGATCTCAAGAGAATAAGCTGTTTGCATTGCATGCCCATAGCTCCCAGTCCAGTCTGCAGTGTGATCACATTGCTTTTGATAGCAATAACACTTAGACTTATATATCCCTTCACAGTACTTTACAGCCTTCTCTAAGCTGTTTACATAGTCAGCATATTGCCCCCAACAGTCTGGCTTCTCATTTTACCAACCTCAGAAGGATGGAAGGCTGAGGCAACCTTGAGCCGGTCAGGATCGAACTTCTGGCAGTGAGCATTTTAACCACTGTGCCAGCATGGCACTTGTTATCACAGAGAACGAGATTGACTTATTCTCCAAAGCACCTGAAGGCATTATAAGATTGGTCTCTAAAGAGAGAGCCAGCCTAGAAGTAGGGAGAAATTTTCTTATACTGAGAACATTAATTGGTATAGCATAGCTTGCCTCCTGGAGTTGGGTGTGCTCCATTGCTGAAGGTTTTCAAGAATAGAGTGGACGGCAGTTTGAACCGGATGGTATAAGGTCTTTTGCCTTGGGCAGGAGGTAAGACTAGAAGACCCATTTTTGCTTCAGTGCCCCACCAAAATGAGCTACAGATAGTTTTCAACTTACAACTATTTGTTTAGTGACCGTTCAAAGTTAAAACGGCTCTGGAAAAAGTGTCTTATGATCATTTTTCAGACTTACAACCATTGCAACATCCCCATAGTCACATGATCAAACTTCAGACGCTTGGAAACTGGCATTTATTTATGACCTGTTGCCGCGTCCCAGGGTCACGTGATCCCCTTTGGTGACCTTCTGATAAGCAAAGTCAGTGGGGAAGCCAGATTCACTTAACAACCGTGTGAATAACTCCACAACTGCAACGATTCACTGATCAACTGTGGCAAGAAAGGTCGTAAAATGGGGCAAAATACACTTAACAATTGTCTCACTTAGCAACAGAAACGTTGGACTCAATTGTGATTGTAAGTCGAGGACTACCTGTACCTGAGAAGACAGCCTATCTCAACTGCCCAGGGGGGGGGGCTTTTCCATATCAGTTTCTCTGCCTTCTCTCTCTCTTTAGACCCCGGAGACAATGCCTCCGGAGACATTCAAGAAGGTGGCTTTTGAGTTCGAAATCCCTGTTTGCAACGGTGTCATTGACTACGCAGCCTCCGACCTGGTTCAGTTCAAGCAGTACTGCTGTCTGCTCTGGGGAAGCATCTTCTCCTTCCTGCAGCAAGTGGAGACTCTGACAAAGGACTATGCCGTTCCTTTGGCCATTGTCACGGGGAAGAAAGTGATGGACCTCATCCCGGATTTTGAGCTCAGCCAGAGAGCAGTCCGGGAGGAAATCCTCTCGGTCTTAAAGAACATTTCCACTGTTCAGAAATTCCTAAAACAGCCTGGCCGGAGATACAAAGGCCAAAATGGAACCGAAAAGGCAGCCACCAAGATCCAGGCAACGTGGAGGTGCTACAGACTGAGAACTTCCTACATTGGATTCAGGCACCGGCAGTGGGCCTCGGGCATCATTGCCATTTCCTGGCTGATCCACGCCCACTTGCAGCGGGTCCGAAAGTCCCTGAAGGAATCGCGGCAGAGACACCTGGAGAACTTCCACCTCAGGACCAAGGTAGTTGCTTGGCCCCTTCATCTCGGCATCCGTGCCCAATGAATGCCATCAAATGTCCCTCCCCCCCATTTAACTCTCTTGTCCAAGCATATTTTACGCTTCATTAAATGTGCAGCCTTTGCTGCCTACAGTCTGCCTCCCCCCCTCCCCCAAACAACTGCTACTTTTGCTTTGCAGTGTGAAATTGGGAAAACAAAATCCCTCTGATTTGACTTGGGTCCTTCTCGTCAAAAAAGTATTTGGTGGGTTTGGAATAGACCACTTTTGATTGTATTTAGCAGTGCGCTTCTTAAGAGTTGCTTTCAGGAATAGCTTCTTTTTAGTTTTTCTGACTTCAGGTTCAAAAAACACAACACAGAAGGAGGGGGGGCGGTGAGACAGGGGGAGCACCTTAATAGCCAGACTGTTGTTTCTGGAAATAGTAACGGTCGGTGTACCTGTCAACTCCCCAGCTTCTGCCAATGCCAAGCCCTGGACATCATTTACCCCTCGTCTCCTTCCCTGCCTCTGTCCTCTCCTTCCAATTTTACTCAATACCTGTACAGTACTATCATACCTTCAGTTTTACCTGTACATTATTTTTATTTTTCATGCCATTTATAGCCTGCTTTTCCCAGTCAGGTAACTAGAATAGAGCTGGAAGGGACCTTGGAGGTCTTCTAGTCCAGCCCCCCTCTCAAGCAGTAAGAATAAAGAATTCTATTAGTAAGAATTAGATCCAGTATAGCTTTACTTCTAGTTCCGTCCTCCACCTTTTGGATGACCTAGATGTTAGCTAGGTTGGTTAGGAATCTGTTTGATCTCCCACTCGCTGCAGAGTTTGTCTCCCAGCTAATAACTGGGTAGTTGAAGTCTCCCATTACTATTGTGGTATGCTTCCTATATACGTTTGCTATCTGGTTGGCAAAGAGTCCATCTATTTCTTCTGATTGGTTGGGTGGCTTGTAGTCTACCTCTATGACAATGTCACTTTTTCCCCCTTTTATATACATTCTGGAGGGATTTTATCTTGGATCAAAGGGTCTAACAGAAGTTTTTAAAGGAAACTCCCAGGATGCTGTAAGTTGAGGTCCACACATCTTAAAAGTGGCTGAGGTTGAGCAACTCTGCCTGAGGGTTTTAAAGGCCAGCACTTCTAGCAATGTCCAGTAAGCCAGCTCTTTCAGTTGTTAGCATCCCAGCTGCTGCATTTCGCATCTGTGGAAATGTCAGGGTTCAAGGGCAGCTCCACACAGAGCACACTGCGGTAGTCAAGATGGTGTAGTCAGGGCATGGATTCCGTGTTCCAGAGAGACCATTTGGTGAGGCCCTGCCTCCTCCAGCAGCAAATGCGACATCATCTTCCCGCCTCCTCTTCTTTGTGGTCCCTCCCCCCTTCTTTTACTTTGCAACGCAATACCATGCACTTGATTTATGGCCCACAAAAACAATCTCCCTCGCCTCTGTGGCAGTCACTACTTTGTCAGAAAGTACTTAAATTTGCAGACAAGCTTTTAATTAGTGCTCACCATTTCATTTATGTTTGCTTCCTCTCTTTTTTTCATTCATATTCTGTTAATTAAGTGATCAGCCTCTAATCTTCCCCTGCCAGTAGCTTCATGTAGCCATCTAATTAAATTAATTGGGGAAGATGTTTTAAGTATGTGATTAAATCAATTAATATAATTTATGCCTGGCTTAACTGTACAGTGGGAAAAAAAGAGGAGGGGGAACAGCTGAAGTTTGACTGGGTTGCATCCGCGGCAGGTCCCTCCTGTCACTGATCAATGCCTTTTCTTGCTTTTTAGCATCTGGCCGCCAACTGGAATCGCATCAGGAGCTCTAGGAGGACGATTATCCACATCCCATCGTTAGGTAGAAGGCTTTTGTCTCTGGGTCTATCAGCAACCCCTATTACACACCGCATTATGACTCCTTGATTGAGTTCAAGGAAGGCCTTGTTTTATTCAAATTGGTCTCGGCAGGAAAATGTTGTCGACATGATGAGAGTAATAACGGAGGGCCTTCACTTGAAACGGCGACGTTTAATTTGGGGATTAAGCAAATAAAGTCATTATGTAGGGGCCGCTATTCAGCAGAGAGGTGATTTGCAGTAATTCGCTTCCCTCTGTATGAAATGAACTAAAAAGTTGTATTGTCTCCCCCTCCCACCCCCTTTTTCTTCCTTCTCTGCCGCCCTCCTCTTAGAAATCCCCCCCCCCCTGCCACCCAGACAGGGTTTCTGCAAGCCTTCCACAAGGAGGAGATGTGGGGGTTTGCTGGCTTGGGTGCTGTTGCACCCTAAGCCAGGATGCTGCTTGCACCCTGCTTTTAATCAAATGTGCAGTCAAAATGATAAGCCACATTCTCTGAAATTATTTAGTTCTAATTACGAGCAGATGGGAAGGTTTATTTGCACCTTGGGCGCCTCAGCAAAAGGAAATGCTGTGGTGAACAAGAATAATTAAGAAGTTGAATAGTGGGGTGGATTTTTTGTGTGTGTGCTTAAATAATCTGCAGCTCCATGTTAATTAGCACTCGGGTAATTATTTAATTACATTTATGAATTGGGGGGCTTAAGAGTCATTTCCCTGTACAGCAGTGGGGATTTCTTGATCCAAGATGTTTCTCAAAAGGATCTTTCTAGGAAATGGCCCACTTTTTAAAACAAACGAGGCAGCTTTCTTTTAATTGGGGGCAAATAGAAAATGTCTCTGTAGAAGGTATCCGAGTGGCCTTCCTTTTGATCCTCTGTGGCCATCACTGCAGCTGTGGAGTTGCTGAGCAGCTGATGGAAGGGGCGATTCTGGGCATCCTCGGCCAAGCTGCCCTCACCTCCAAAGCCCTGCTCTTCTCCAGACCCCCCCCCTTTAAAGTCTCAGGTGAAGCTTGCAGTATGCGGAGTCCAGGTTTATTATAGTCAGAGACCAGAGCAAGTTAAAAGCATTCAAGATTATCCAGTTAAAAATTCTAAAATTAAATAATAAAAAACGGATAAAATCACAATTAGGCATCCAAAATCTGTCAGTTGTACACGAGCAAAACGCAGCATAGTCTAACTATAATAGGATACCATACCTAACTATGAGGCCCATACTCATTAAATACTAAAAGGCAAAGAGAGTCATAATTCAAAAAGGTTTATTGCATTAATTGTGTAAAATAGCTATGATGGATCAATCACCTGTTTCCGACAAATCTCCAGTGCTGCTGCTGCCCACAGTCTGAGCCACCTGTACTGAAGTTTACAGTACGCACATCACAAAATTTCTCTTTCCTTACTTTTTTTTTAAAAAAAAACAACAACTTTCTGCTGCTTTTGATTGAAATGCAAGCAGCACATTAGAATATCCTTAGCTTCTTAAAAACAGAAATGTAGGCAACACCTCAGCTATCCTTGGAGAAATCCTGTCTTGGATACAGTAAAAAGGCAGGGAGGCTTTTGAGGAAGTGAAATAGGTTAATGGTCTTGATACTATTTTTTTCCTTTCTATTATCAAATGTCACTGCAAAATATGTAAAAATATTAATCTCTTTTAAATAAATTATTGCTCTTTTTTGAAGACATTTTATACAGAAAATAAAAGACTAAAACTAAAACATGGAAATAATGCAGCTGAGTTCAAAGTGTCCTGAATCGCTGTTCCTGGAAGAACAAACTATAGCCGGAATTTGTGGCTTTGGGCTGCTACTGTTACCCCATTTGAGATTCCTTGATCGATGCCACTAATAATGAAATCACATTTTTTTTACCTACAATGATATACATGCTTGTTAATGAACTTTTCCCCCTTTTAGTTAAACTTTTTTTTTTTTAATTTCCCCAAAGTGTACTTAAACATGTTTTCAGAATGTCTTTCTCGTTGTCCTCTTAGGCCAGTAGCCTCATCTTTAGGCTGAAGTTACATGTGGTGTGAGATGCTGTAGGAGAGGTTAGAATTAGGCTTCCTGAAATCGTCAGATTGTATTTAGGATGTTGGCCTGGCCTTGGCGAGACCCAGGTTCACGTCTTCCCTCAACCACAGAAATTCCTCTCAGACCATCCTACCTCACAGGGCTGTCGTTGGCAAAAATGCCGTGTGCTCCTGGAGAAAAGTTGGGATCTACATCTAACAAGCACAGAATTATTGTTTCCTATGTTGGATATTATTTATTTCATTTTATTTATTTGATTTTTATCCAGCCTTTATTTCTGTATAAGTAACGCAAGGCAATTTTAAAGTACAAGCAGACCTCGACTTACGACTACATTTGAGCCCAAAATTTCTGTTGCTAAACAAGACATTTGTTAAGTGAATTTTGCCCCATTTTACAACCTTTCTTGCCACAGTTGTTGAGGGAATCACTGCAGTTGTTAAGTGAGTCTGGCTTCCCCACTTGCTTATCAGAAGGTTGAAAAGGGGGATCACGTGATTCCCCGGGACACTGCAACCCTCATAAATAGGAATCAGTTGCCAAATATCTGAATTCTGATCACATGACCCTTGAGATGCTCCAGCAGCCATAAGTGTGAAAAATGGTCATAGGTGACTTTTTCAATGCCATTGTAACTTCAAATGGTCACTAAATCAGCTGTTGTAACTACCTGCACAACGTGAGCTGGTTATGTTCTCAAATGCTTGAGCTCCAGGCACAAGAGCTGCTTGCCTTTCCTAGCAGATGGCGACACTTCTACTCTGTGCTTCCCCCAGGGAGACCAGTGGCTCTCCACCTTAGCAATTTAAGAGGGTTGAGGTTCAGTTCCCAGAGTTGAACCCCCCCCCGCCCCCGCTGCTGGGGAATTCTGGAAGTTGAAGGCCATTCCTCTTAAACTTGCCAAGGTTGAAAAACACTCAGTTATTTTTGCTTCGTTCTCTTCTGGAAAAGTAATTGGCATCATCTTAAGATGGAGACGTGAAGCTGGTTTAGAGACCAAAACTAAAACGCACAATATGGTTCCCTTCATTGCTCTACGTGCGCTTGCAGACATGACGGTTTGATGCCAGAGCTCTGCCTAGTGGCCTCTTCGTTCAGGAGGTGCTTCTTTACAAACCCTAGTGGCATTTCATGAAGGTCAAGGAATAAAGTCAACTAACTAGCTAACTAGCTTTCTCTTAGAAGTGTGTGCATGCTTGTTGGCCTAATACAAACTTTTGATATTCAAAAAATAAAGTTACCCTTGAATAAATTCAGGGAGGTCCTCTGAGGTCCCTTCCAGCCCTGACATTCTATGTTTTATGCCTGTTTCCGGCCTGCTTTCTCTGTGCAGTTGGCCAGGCTGAGACGCTTCGGCTGTTGGCTTGAGATTGGTCCTTGATCCCCATTAAGCACTGGACAGACTCGGGTAGATCTATAGAAGGGGAAGGCCCACCCTAGTGAAGGATGCCCTCCTGTGGTGGCATCCCAGGACCAGGGATTCGATTCCTTGTCAAACTGCTAAGAACAGTCATCCAGACGTGCTTTTCAGAGTAGTTAATTATACAGGTGAGACTCAAAATTGACTTACGTACCCATGTAGTATGGCTGTATTACCGTTAGCCTTCTCATCTTTTCTACTGTCTTCTCCTATTGGTATCCAATGTTTATATTATTTTGTTGTTCTTTGAATACACTGAGAGCTATTCTATCATTCTATTCTATATTCTATATTCTATTCTAGTCTCTATTCTATCATTATTCTATTCTATTCTAATATTTTGTCTTCTGTTTTGTGGGAGATTTTACTTTTTATGCAGGATCAACAAACTAACAATCAAGAGGGTTAGGGTCCATCCCCCCACTGTGCCTGTGTTGGGTCTCTTCGGCTTCTGCCCGTCTCTGGAAGTGCCTGTTATGCTTTCTCTTTGCCTTGTTCTGTGGGCGAGTCGTCTTTTGCACCCTTCTGTCCCAATAATCTCTTCAAGACCATTTATGACAACTTAAAAACATTTATGTGAATAAATTCTATTGCCACATGGAGAATTTTTTTCCCCCTCAATGAAATGTTTAGGAGCAGAATATCAGAAACTAGGACGTTAGCGGTTACATATTTTAAGGTATCCCAGTCTGCTTAAATGGATTGAATTTAGATTAATTTTTGATACCATTGTCTATGAGAGCTAAATGGAACTTCAGTCTTCAAAAACATATATCCAATGATGAAATTAGATGTAGCTCACGGCAGTTGCCTTCAAAATCTCCTAGTAAGCCTTTTGAAGCATTTGTTTGGCAACTGCTGAAAACAAGCCGTTGTGCTAGCTAGAAAGGTAATTTGTTTTTCTATAATTAATTATCAGTTGTCAGATTTTATTCTGTGACCTTCCCCCAAAGCCAGAAACCGAATGGCGCATCTAAATTGTCTCCTATTTGTTTGCCCAAAATGTGTACATTGGATACAACTTTTCCAGGTTTTGGGAGGAATTTGAAACCCAATTGCAAGAATTCAGAGGCCTTAATATAGAATTCTGAGGACAAAGCATTATTTTAATCTTGTTAGCAAACCCTGCGATAACAGCAGCACATCAAACCTGCACTTATTAAGCAGCACTTGGTATCGATTTTCTGACAAACTGTCCTGCTGACAATTGACCTTTTTACTTTTCCTTTTAATAACGTTTCTATGCAGTTAGCTTAATTTCAAAATATTTTTAGATGGGATTATCCAAAAGTGTTAAATAGAAAGCATTTTATAGGAATCATGCAATCGCTTTGAAGTATTTATTTTATATCATACTCACACATTCCCAGAGAAACAGACTTGCCATCCAGCCAGCAATGTGCTTGTGAAAACCCTCAGCGCATTATATCGGAAAGGGCCCAGCAAAAACCCTGCTTGTATTGTGTAATCCAGATGTCACAGTAATTGCAAATTAAAATGCTTTAATGCGAAAGGGAGAGCCAGGGAGAGAATATGTGTGTGAAAATTCAATTAATTTTGTTTTAACAGAAAGTGTTCTAGTTTTAATTATTCTATCAGGAAAAGACAACCGAGGCTTTAAGTGTAGATGATTTTAGTATTTGTGATTTTAATTGTCTTGATTTTAGCCTTGGTTTTGTCTTGTGTTTGCCATGTTTATATAGGAGCTGTTTGAGCACTGTGTGAATAGAAAGCTGGGCAAGATAATTCAAATAAAAACAAAGACATTTGCTCTTTTTTATTTTAGTAAATATTGATGGGTATGCACCCTACAATGTGGAATAAAGTTGCATGTCAATTTATTATAACAATCCTCATTAATAAACACTCAATTTATTTGAGTGTTGTCATACTATCATTTTAAGAACTAGCACTATTAATTGCTGTTCATTATGATGTTCCCTGGTTTTTACTTGATCTTGTTCTCAGAGAAATGATAGTAAACAAGATAGTTAAAATTCATTAAGGGAGAATGCTGTGTTTGAAACTGAGGAGTATGCTGTATTTCTCCTCTTTCTGATTATCATTATAGGGAGATGCAGTTCTTGTTCCTAATTATTTAAAAGCCAGATTAGAGTTCTAGTAATATGTTTAAAAAAATCCCGTACTTTATCAGAAAGCGTGGCTGTGTATCTTATTCAGAATTAGTCTAGTATATTTTTTTTTTCAGATTTCAGTTATTCAGAACGTAGTGTAAGTACATTGCACTGCTCTTTTTTAAATACATGATTTGGCCTTGTACTGCTTGAAAGTTGATTTCAGTAGTTCTTACCTTATGTCTCATTTTCAATTTTATTATTTTTTCTGAAATATTAAAGGTATACTGAATTCCCCTCCCCAGCAAAAAAAAAAAAAAGAAAAGAAAAGAAAAAGAAAAAAAGAGAAATATCCCAAGACATTGAGGTTGAACCTTCTGTGGATGCAATGTGTGTTAATCAGTTGGGATTTTTTTCTTTCAGGATACAAGCAGTCACTTCGAGAGGCAGATCCAGATTTTGCTGTTCATCAGGGATCACAGTTTGGAAGGTTGTGCGAGATCAGAGGTACATTTTCCTTCCAGCAGCTTTGCATCTGTTGTGCTTCCAAAGAAAAGGGGCGCAGTTCAATGGACCCACATTCCTGAGCCAACAGATTATGCCTCATTGCCATTTTGAAGGCTTACCTACTAGCTCAGCTGCGACGGAGACATTTGGCTTTCGTTTACCAGGTTGCATGAACCCAGCTTATTGTATCCTAACCAGCACATCATAATTCTCCCAAAGGTGTTTTTTTTTCCCCAAGAGGCAACTGGGCTTTCTTTGTTTTTCCTTGACAACATTTCACTTCTCATCCAAGAAGCTATTTCAGTTCTGACTGAATGGTGGAGAACTGAAGAAGCTCCTTGGATGAGAAGTGAAATGTCTTCAAGCAAAAACAAAGGAAATCCAGTTGCCTCTTGAAAAAAGCACCTTTGGAACAACCATGACCTGGATGCTTGGGAATCTCCATAGACACATCATAATTCAGCAAGCCAGGACTTTGCATAATGTACAAACCTAGTTAATGTCTGTCGATTCCTTTGCAAAAATTACTTGCAAAGAAAATGGCAGCCTAAGGTGCCCAAAAGTGTATTAGTTTTAAGTGCTTTTCAATATCTATACCAGTTTTCTCAACTTTAACAACTTTATAAGCCCTGATTTACACAAAGCCATTGGATGTCATTATCAAATAATGTGGCACTGGGTGCTGTGCTGTCCCGGTAACCCACACACACACATAGCTGTGGTTTAGCGGGTATATTAATATTCCTTTGCAATTCCCTTCACAAAAACCCAGAACTGTCCCAATTAAGTCCAGCCATAAGCAGACCAATGCTAGTCCACAGAGCAATAGACAGTGAATCCACAAGGCACTTGAAAGTTTCCCAATCAAAAACCCACCAGGCAAAATTAAATCACAATACAAGAGGGATCACGAGGCAAGAAAAGTCCAGAGTTCACAAGGCACAATCCAAGTCAGGGCACTGCAAGGCAAGAATCCCATTTTGTAGACTTTTCTATTTAGTTACGAAGAGCCTGGTCAGCCTTTGTCCAGAATGGTATAGGTTCTCATGTTTGAGCAGAGTTGGACTAGAAGACCTCCAAGGTTCACATGGGACTTGGAAAGAAGCATAAAGGGAGGTGTGAGATTGTGATGGCAAAGGTGCTGTATTGTCCAAAATCGAGCAAGCTTCCCAGGAAGGGGAAGGGGAGCCGATCTACGTCCCTCTAAAGCAGGGCTGGGGGACTGTGGCCCTTTTATGACTTGTGGACTTCAGTTCTCAGAATTCTGTGAATTGAAGTCTACAAGTCATACAGGAGCCTTCATTCCCCACTCCTGCTGTAAAGGGGATCAACGTAAAACTGGAAAAGTTCTCTTTTGGGGTTTTTCCCCCTTCACTCTTTTAACAGAAGAGCAAAAAATACTAATTTGTCAGTGGCCAATATTGCTGGGTACCCAGAATGACACACTCTACATGATTCATGTATATTTCAGTATCATTATTATTTCATAAATGCCACTTGCACAAAAATGTGTCCTCGAAATTTATGGGAGCCTAAAATAATAACTTAATTGCCTTTATATATTATGAAGGCACTGATGTGGTTTTGTCCTCAGTGCAACTCTTTTATATTGAAGTGTTTATTTAAGGAATGATTCGTTACTTCTGAATGAGTTACAAAGTTATAGGCAGCCTAGAATCACACATGGCAAGTAGGCAGCTGCTGAAAGGACAGTTTCAGATATGAGGTCTGTATGATGTCTGTAACGTGTGATTCTCGAGGGAGCATCCTAGAAAATACTTTGTGTGTGACCATTACTTTTGCTGTGTCCCGCAAAATGAACTTAATGGTATATTATCTGAAGGATAATTGCAAAGCATTAACTCTGATGTCCCCAGCATTGTAATTTTGATGATTTTATATGAAGCAATGCCACCTTGGATGCTCTTTACACTTCTGTCCAAAGAAAGCTTGCAATACGATTTAGTATGTCGAAGAAAGCAGAGGAAGGGGAAAATGTGGAAAGCACAATAAACTAAGCCAGTGTTTCTAAACCGTCGCAGCTTGAAGATGCTGGCTGGGGAATTCTGGGAGCTGAAGTCCATACCTCTTCAAGCTGCCAAGGTTGAGAAACACTGAACTAAGCTAAGCAAAGAAGGAAGTATTCTTTTTTTAGTGTTCAGAATAATTTGGTACCATCAGCAAACTCCCAATTCCCACTATGGATCACTTGTTCATGGTCAAGTTAAATAGACCCTCTAGCGAGAGGGGAGGGAGGGAGGGAGGGAGGGACATTGTTTGCCTTTGAATAGGAGAGCTGTCATTCATATTTTCTCTTTTCTTTACTTTAGCAAGTTCCTAATACAAAAAAGGGGGGACATGATTGTCACAATTGCTGAAGAGTCTTTGGTAAGGGATTCTGTCAAAACCCTGGAGGCGTGGGTTCATACCCCACTTCTGACACTTCCCTTCTTTTAGAAGAGGGGACAACCTATTCTCCAAAGGACCTGAAGGCAGGACAAGAAGCAATGGATGAAAACTAATCAAGGAGAGAAGCAACCTGGAACTCAGGAGAAATTTCCTGACAGTGAGAACAATTAATCAGTGGAACAGGTTGCTTCCAGAAGTTGTGGGTGCTCCATCACTGGATGCTTTTAAGAAGAGACGGGACAGCCATTTGCCTGGAATGGTATATGGTCACCTGCTTGAGCTGAGAGTTGGACTAGAAGACCTCCAAGGTCCCTTCCAACTCTTTTATTCTATTATCCTATTAAACACTACCAGATCATACCCATGCTTGATTTCCCTTAGCAACAGCCTTGGCGATTCTTCATCAGTTTGTCGTATACATTTTGAATACTATTTTTATAACCCTTTTCAATAATGCATTATAAACAAAGATTTCTAACTTATCAGAATCATATTCCCCCTGCTTGTCTTTGTTTTAAAAAATAGTGTCATGTTGGCCATTCAGCAGGAGATGATTGGGTTAGAATGGGAACCTGGTGATTTTGGGAGCCTTCCTTGGTCCCCACCCTGCCAGAGGTAGGTGGAGTGCGCTAGATCAGGGGTCCCCAACCCCCGGGCCAGGGCGTGCCAGAAACCGGGCCACACAAACAAGTGAAACTCCATCCACGGAAGGCAGGCAGCACACAGAACCAGGCCCCCTCTGGTTTGTGGAAAAACCTCTCTCCACAGAACTGGTCCTTGGTGCCCAAAAGGTTTTCAACCTCAACAACTTTAAGAAGGGTGGACTTCAACTCCCAGAATTCCCCAGCTAGAGTAGAGGAATTCTGGGAGTTGCGGTTCTTAAAAGTTGCTGATATTGAGAAATACTGATAGAGTCTGTTGAATTTCATTTTCCAAACCACAAACACTTCCTGTCAACTACAAAGTCAGTCATTTAGCTGTGTTACCTGAGATTTTGTGCTAGCATTTTGTAGACTTCATTCTGAAAGCCAGTTCTACAAGTTGTTGCCTTTAGTAAACAGGATGAAACTGAGGCACAACAATGGAAAAGGTAAAAGGAACAAAACGTTAAAACATCTACTTTCTCTCTCAGGATAGCCAATGGGAAACCTGAAGCAATGTTACCTTTTTTTCTCAACGATTATCAATGTGTCTTGTTGTGGTTTTTTTTTTCCTGTTAAAGATCCAAATGTGGACGTCATCTATATTTGCCCCTTAGAATTAAGTGAAGAGTTGCTGCGCTATTACAATAAATTCCTGGGTCTGCAGCCAGCCGTTCGGTCTGGGAACCCCGAGGACATTGCTGACCTACAGGACAGGTTCAAAATCCTCACCCCTGAAGCCATCAACAGTTTTCCTGTGAGTTTGTATCTTCTAATTACTATAGCTGGGGGGAATGCCGTAAAATTAGATTGGAAATTTTATAACTTGCAACGCTCTAGTACCCATCAGTGAAATATTATTGCAAGTGTTAAGAGCTGCACAGATTAAGTGACTAGTTAAAGAGTGTTAGAAATAAAACTCCAGTTGAGTTTTTCAGGCTGAAAGCTGAGCTCAGCTAAGGCCTTCACTGCTGATTCCTGCCCAACGCCTGGTCCTTTTAAAAAAGATGGACCTCAGAGGTTGACAACTTCACGGAAAGCAAATTGCACAAAATACTGCTCACATATCCTGTGGCTGAAGTGTGCAGATAGTTCCTATTCTCCATTGTATATTCTTATACATACATGCACACACACATACACACACACACACACAAATAAATGTAACTGAGTACACACATACACACAGTGTATATGTTTATGTATGTGTGTGTGTGTGCATGTGGATGTATACATATATAAGAATATATAAAAATATTCTATATATTTTCTATTATATATTGTCCTACCCTCAGGTACAAATAGTTGCACACAATAGTAGGACAAGAAGCAGTGGATAGAAGCTCATTAAAGAAAGATCCAATCTGGAGCTAAAGAGAAATTTCCTGACGGTGAGAACAATTAATCAGTGGAACAACTTGCCTCCAGACGTTGTGGGTGCTCCATCACTGGAGGTTTTCAAAAATAGGCTGGACAACCTCCAGTCTCGTGCTTGTGTAGAGGTTGGACTAGAAGACCTCCAAGATCCCTTCCAGCCCTATGATTCTATAAGACTTACTTTATTTATTTATTTTAGCATATGATGAGAACATGCCAAAAGAGAAGTAAATACGTGTACACAGTCCACGTAATTATGGGTAAAACTTCTATGGGGCTATGGCAGTTGGCCTCAAAACCGAGTCCGGTTCAGCTCTCCAGCTGACGGCCTCTGGGGTCTCTTTGTGCAGATCTTCTAGGGAAGCAGAGAACGCACGTTGTCATGGGCAGCCTTGCACAATATGTTTAACAGTTTGCGTATCAGCACCACAGTGGCGACCAGGGGAATCTTTCCATCCCCGCTGATAGAGGGCAGAGGCGGCACCTCTTCCAATAACACACCCAGTTCAGTCCAACAGGTCAAGACCAGGTGTTTTGGCAGAGGGGTCACCAAGGGTCAGGCCACAAGAAGGCCCCTTGGACCCTTCCTCTCTCCAGGCGCTCTAAGGCTTAAACTGGTGGAGGTTAAATTAATGGCTGTTTTCCATTTTCCATGCCTTTTCCATGGCCTTACATGGGTTTTCAGTCTATAAAACATGTAAAAACAACATAAGTTCGGAATTTTTCTGTGGTTTATGCTCCTTCACCCTCTCTGTTGTTTTTATTATTGTAGCAAAATCCAATTTATGACTTTTCTTTCCGTGCCCTTGAATTAGTTTCTGTTTTTAATTGAGAGGTGCTGGATTAGTAGTAATTTTGAACCCTCTAGACAGATTTGATTCCCTTGCTTGTCAATCCCCCTCTCTCAGCCTAACCCAACATCCATTGTTGTGGGAAAACTAGAAGGAAGGAGTATTAGACACATTCATTCCCTTGAGTTATTTATAAAAATAAGTAAGGTAAGATAAAAAATAAATAAATTATAATACATCCTCTCTAAAGGAAGGGTTCTCTGGTCCCCAAGAGTTTTGATCCGGCTGCAATGCAATAAATGTGGGTCCCATAAACTCTGTTGAAGTTGGTGATCTTGGCTATATCCCAAGAGTTGCTTATTTATTTCTGTGCATGAAATATAAAACCTTTTAACTGCAAGACGAGTTCTGGGTCATTTTTAGAACTATAAAATTATGATGCTGTTCTCTATGAGAACTCTGTTTGTGTTGTACTATCACAACAGGCATATCTACCAGGTCTTAAATTTTGTGCTGTTACAAGCTTGTTTGTATAGTTTAGCCAATTCATTGTTTTACAATGTTTAAAGACATTGTTAAATACATGGCTTGGTGCAGCCTTCCAGAAACTGTGATACAAGCCCCTCTTTGACCAGAAAAAGGGGGAAATTGTGGCTCAGAACATCTGGAGCATAGGTTTGGAGGAAAGAAATTAGGTTTGATCCATTGATGAATACAGTTTATTAGCTTTGTGTTGCCCATTTGTGCTGTGTATTATGTAAGCAGCTTCACTAACGTAAGTTTATTACTGACCATTAGAAATGAAAATAAACATAGGACAGGATGCAGGTGTGCCTGGGGCATGAAGAATACAGTTTCAGCAACATGGATGAGCAGATGATGAATTCTTTATCAAAGAAAGCTAAACCCTTGTATTAAAGTTAAAACTGCAAATGTTATGAGAAAGGGGCATTAATAGCCATGTACAGATAGTCCTTGACTTACAACAGTTCATTTAGTGACCGTTCAAAGTTACAGCAACACTGAAAAAAGTGACTTATGACTGTTGCAGCATCCTCTTGGTCATGTGGTTTATATTCAGATGCTCGACAACTGATTCATATTTATGACGGTAGCCATGTCTTGGGGTCATGTGATCCCCTTTTGCAACCTTTTGACAAGCAAAGTCAAAGCCAGGTTCACTTAACAACGGTGTTACTAACTTAACATCTGATTCACTTAACTTAATAATTCACTTAACAATTGTGGCAAGAAAGGTCCTAAAATGAGGCAAACCTCACTTAGTGACCGTCTCGCTTAGCAACAGAAATTTTGGGCTCAATTATGGGCATAAGTCAAGGACTACCTGTGTGTAAACATAATATCAGAGTTTGGTCAGCATAAAATGCAACATCTGCGCTTTGAAAACAAAATGAGCTCAGATTTCTTAGAAGACATCTCTGTTTCTGTATTTATTTATTATTTACTTGTTTATTTACTGGCAACCTGCCTCGCTGTGGGGCTCCTCGAGGTGGCTCCCATTTGCAGAGCAGTTCCTGAGCTTCCTCGGTGATTCTTTGCCACTACGGGAACTTTCAGAAGTTCCTTTGGAAAGGCATCGGGGAGAGGGGGGTGTTCTGCTCTTCTGGATCCCATGCAGATATTTCGATTTTAGCATATGATGATGTTAAGCTTGTTCTAATCTATCACTAAAATTAAAGGGGGCTGACTTATAGTGGCTTTACAGGCAATGCGATGCTATGCAATGCCATACAATACAATACAACAACACAACACAAGTCTCCAGAAGAATATGCCCTAAATATTACCAATTGGTTAGGTACAGGGCCTGTCTTACTTGTTTATGCTGTTGCCAGATCCCTCCACAGGTTTATGCTTTTATCGGGTTCTACGTATCATTTGTTTATTCCTCCCCTATTTTAGGCACACTTTATAGCAGGACATTTTACAGATTATAAAGACAAAATAGGCTTGCTACTGAGAGTATCATTAAGAGAGAGTTTCAGGCAATCGCAGATCCCTGATGAATATTCCAGCACAATTTATATTTGCAAACAACCAGTTGTCTCACAATCTATATCAGTGATGGGGAACCTTTTAGAGACCAAGTGCCCAAACTGCAACCCAAAACCCACTTATTTATCGCAAAGTGCCAGGGCTGCATCACCACTGTGGTGCCCTCAGGGAGGACATGGGGGGCGTGGCCCACTGGGTGGGCATTCCTGCAGTGGTCACAGCAGACTGGGTGAGCATGGCCAGGGCCAGTCCCTTGCCATCTCAAGGGCATTCCTGGGAGGCCACTGCCGCTTGCTTCCTCACTTCCTGCCCTGTCGCTTCCAAACGCCATGTGCCCGCTACTATGGGGAACTCTACTGGGTCAATGGCACGCGTGCCATAGGTTCGCCACCATTGCCCTAGCCATAAGTAGCATTTTCCTCCTATGGGATTTTCCCATCTATTGTACCAGGAAACATAGATAGGGCAGGATAGAAACGTCAGTGCCCTCCTAACCATACCCAAGCACTCTGAATTTGTTGGTGATGTCCATTTTGCTCTATGAGTTCATGGTGACCTAACCCTAAGTGGAATTTTCCTCCTATGGGATTTTCCCATGTATTTTACGAGGAAACATAGATAGGGCAGGCTAGAAAGGTTAGTGCCCTCCTAACCATACCCAAGCACTCTGAATTTGTTGGCGACATCCATTTTGCTCTATGAGTGCATGGTGACCTAATCCTAACCCTAAGTGGAATTTTCCTCCTATGGGATTTTCCCATGTATTTTACTAGGAAAAATAGATAGGGCAGGCTAGAAAGGTTAGTGCTCTCCTAACCATACCCCAGCACTTCAAGTTTGTTGGCGACGTCCATTTTGCTCTATGAGTTCATGTTGACCTAACCCTAACCCTAAGTGGAATTTTCCTCCTATGGGATTTTCCCATCTATTGTACCAGGAAACATAGATAGGGCAGGCTAGAAAGGTCAGTTGCCCTCCTAACCATATCCAAGCACTCCGAATTTATTGGCGACGTCCATTTTGATCTATGAGTTCATGGTGACCTAACCCTAAGTGGAATTTTCCTCCTATGGGATTTTCCCATGTATTTTACCAGGAAACATAGATAGGGCAGGCTAGAAAGGTTAGTGCCCTCCTAACCATACCCAAGCACTCCAAATTTGTTGGCGACGTCCATTTTTCTCTATGAGTTCATGGTGACCTAACCCTAACCCTAAGTGGAATTTTCCTCCTATGGGATTTTCCCGTGTATTTTATTAGTAAACATAGATAGGGCAGGCTAGAAAGGTTAGTGCCCTCCTAACCATACCCAAGCACTCCGAATTTGTTGGCGACGTCCATTTTGCTCTATGAGTTCATGGTGACCTAATCCTAACCCTAAGTGGAATTTTCCTCCTATGGGATTTTCCCATGTATTTTACTAGGAAAAATAGATAGGGCAGGCTAGAAAAGTCAGTGCCCTCCTAACCATACCCAAGTGTTCTGAGTTTGTTGGCGATGTCCATTTTTCTCTATGAGTTCATGGTGACCTAACCCTAACCCTAAGTGGAATTTTCCTCCTATGGGATTTTCCCATGTATTTTACTAGGAAAAATAGATAGGGCAGGATAGAAAAGTCAGTGCCCTCCTAACCATACCCCAGCACTCCGAGTTTGTTGGCGATGTCCATTTTGCTCTATGAGTTCATGGTGACCTAACCCTAAGTGGAATTTTCCTCCTATGGGATTTTCCCATGTATTTTACCAGGAAACATAGATAGGGCAGGCTAGAAAAGTCAGTGCCCTCCTAACCATATCCAAGCACTCCGAATTTGTTGGCGACGTCCATTTTGCTCTATGAGTTCATGGTGACCTAACCCTAACCCTAAGTGGAATTTTCCAACTATGGGATTTTCCCATGTATTTTACGAGGAAACATAGATAGAGGAGGCTAGAAAGGTTAGTGCCCTCCTAACCATACCCAAGCACTCCGAATTTGTTGGCGACGTCCATTTTGCTCTATGTGTTCATGGTGACCTAACCCTAACCCTAAGTGGAATTTTCCTCCTATGGGATTTTCCCATGTATTTTACCAGGAAACATAGATAGGGCAGGCTAGAAAAGTCAGTGCCCTCCTAACCATACCCCAGCACTCCGAGTTTGTTGGCGACGTCCATTTTGCTCTATGAGTTCATGGTGACCTAACCCTAACCCTAAGTGGAATTTTCCTCCTATGGGATTTTCCCATGTATTTTACCAGGAAACATAGATAAGGCAGGCTAGAAAAGTTAGTGCCCTCCTAACCATACCCAAGTGTTCTGAGTTTGTTGGCGATGTCCATTTTTCTCTATGAGGTCATGGTGACCTAACCCTAACCCTAAGTGGAATTTTCCTCCTATGGGATTTTCCCATGTATTTTACCAGGAAACATAGATAAGGCAGGCTAGAAAAGTTAGTGCCCTCCTAACCATACCCAAGTGTTCTGAGTTTGTTGGCGATGTCCATTTTTCTCTATGAGTTCATGGTGACCTAACCCTAACCCTAAGTGGAATTTTCCTCCTATGGGATTTTCCCATGTATTTTACCAGGAAACATAGATAAGGCAGGCTAGAAACGTTAGTGTCCTCCTAACCATACCCAAGTGTTCTGAGTTTGTTGGCGATGTCCATTTTTCTCTATGAGTTCATGGTGACCTAAGTCTAACCCTAAGTGGAATTTTCCTCCTATGGGATTTTCCCGTGTATTTTACCAGGAAACATAGATAAGGCAGGCTAGAAAAGTTAGTGCCCTCCTAACCATACCCAAGTGTTCTGAGTTTGTTGGCGACGTCCATTTTGCTCTATGAGTTCATGTTGACCTAACCCTAACCCTAAGTGGAATTTTCCTCCTATGGGATTTTCCCATCTATTGTACCAGGAAACATAGATAGGGCAGGCTAGAAAGGTCAGTGCCCTCCTAACCATACCCAAGCACTCCGAGTTTGTTGGCGATGTCCATTTTGCTCTATGAGTTCATGGTGACCTAACCCTAAGTGGAATTTTCCTCCTATGGGATTTTCCCATGTATTTTACCAGGAAACATAGATAGGGCAGGCTAGAAAAGTCAGTGCCCTCCTAACCATATCCAAGCACTCCGAATTTGTTGGCGACGTCCATTTTGCTCTATGAGTTCATGGTGACCTAACCCTAACCCTAAGTGGAATTTTCCTCCTATGGGATTTTCCCATGTATTTTACCAGGAAACATAGATAGGGCAGGCTAGAAAAGTCAGTGCCCTCCTAACCATATCCAAGCACTCCGAATTTGTTGGCGATGTCCATTTTTCTCTATGAGTTCATGGTGACCTAAGTCTAACCCTAAGTGGAATTTTCCTCCTATGGGATTTTCCCGTGTATTTTACCAGGAAACATAGATAGGGCAGGATAGAAAAGTCAGTGCCCTCCTAACCATACCCAAGTGTTCTGAGTTTGTTGGCGACGTCCATTTTGCTCTATGAGTTCATGTTGACCTAACCCTAACCCTAAGTGGAATTTTCCTCCTATGGGATTTTCCCATCTATTGTACCAGGAAACATAGATAGGGCAGGCTAGAAAGGTCAGTGCCCTCCTAACCATACCCCAGCACTCCGAGTTTGTTGGCGATGTCCATTTTGCTCTATGAGTTCATGGTGACCTAACCCTAAGTGGAATTTTCCTCCTATGGGATTTTCCCATGTATTTTACCAGGAAACATAGATAGGGCAGGCTAGAAAAGTCAGTGCCCTCCTAACCATATCCAAGCACTCCGAATTTGTTGGCGACGTCCATTTTGCTCTATGAGTTCATGGTGACCTAACCCTAACCCTAAGTGGAATTTTCCTCCTATGGGATTTTCCCATGTATTTTACCAGGAAACATAGATAGGGCAGGCTAGAAAAGTCAGTGCCCTCCTAACCATATCCAAGCACTCCGAATTTGTTGGCGACGTCCATTTTGCTGTATGAGTTCATGTTGACCTAACCCTAACCCTAAGTGGAATTTTCCTCCTATGGGATTTTCCCATGTATTTTACCAGGAAACATAGATAGGGCAAGCTAGAAAAGTCAGTGCCCTCCTAACCATATGCAAGCACTCTGAATTTGTTGGCGATGTCCATTTTTCTCTATGAGTTCATGGTGACCTAACCCTAGCCCAGTGATGGCGAACCTTTTAGAGACCAAGTGCCCAAACTGCAACCCAAAACCCACTTATTTATCGCAAAGTGCCAGGGCTGCATCAGCACTGTGGTGCCCTCAGGGAGGACATGGGGGGCGTGGCCCACTGGGTAGGCATGCCTGCAGTGGTCACAGCAGACTGGGTGAGCATGGCCTGGGCCAGTCCCTTGGCATCTCAAGGGCATTCCTGGGAGGCCACTGCCCCTTGCTTGCTCACTTCCTGCCCTGTCGCTTCCAAACGCCATGTGCCTGCTACTATGGGGAACTCTGCTGGGTCAATGGCACGCGTGCCCACAGAGAGGGTTCTGAGTGCCGCCTCTAGTACGCGTGCCATAGGTTCGCCACCACTGACCTACGTGTTGTGAAGCTGCACTGAAAATACAATTTGTGACACAGTCAAAACTTTTGGTTTCTGATTTTTTTAAACAACCCTTTTTGACCAAATGACTGTTGCAGAAAGGGTTTGCAGCTAATTAAACTATTTATCTTGTGGAATAGAATATGGCACGTAAAAAGTGTTTTGTAAATGAAATCATTTACTGAAAGAGCCATTTAAAGTGCTGATCTGTATGCACTGAAATACAGACTCGGCCAGCTTGGAGTGCATTCTTCTTCTTTTTTTTTTCTTTTTTTGGTATTGATTTTTTCCCCCTGATGTGGTAGAATCAAACGGTGCCAGAAGTGTTGAGATGAATCACTGTTATCCAAGGGCTGCAAGCTTCTCTTCCGAGTGACAGAAGGAGAATTCCGCATGGATCAAATAAATACAGATGTGTAGTAATTAGTTTTATTCCCAGTGAGCCCATTTCCGACACACTAAAGATGTGAGTGATTATGGAACCTCACCCCAACAGCTTTTATCAATTTAAACTGCTACGCTACAGGATAGGTCATAACCCAGCCTGCTATTAATAATGTATTTATTGCGCTCAACATTATAAATTAGCTTGGTGGAAGGAAGAGAAAGCGCACTTCTTAACCAGACTAATGTCCTCCTCCTCCAGAACCGCCCCATGTCCCTGGCTACCTTCATGAAATACAGCCCTAGGACCATTAAAAGGGTCAAAAACCTGGTCCAAGGCAAGGAAGCCTATATTGTGGGAGGTCTTCTGAACCAAGATGACCTGGAAGTGGCCGACGTGCTAGACATGCCCATTCTGGGCTCTGACCCAGAAGTGGCTCATCTCTACAGCACCAAGTCCGGAAACAAAAGAGTTTTTGACGCTGCAGGGGTTCCAGTGCCTCCCGGGCAGCAGGACATCTACAGCAGGCAGCAGGTAAGATTGGCCACTGGCTGGGCAAGTCGGAAAATCTGAGCGGAGACTATGCTTTCCCTTCCATTCTTAGTTGGCTAGATCTCAGCCCTCTGACAACTTTCCTTGTCAGAGGGCTGAGGTCCATAACTGTTCCAGTTCCAGCCCTGGAACTCAGTTCCTGAATGGTCTACGAGGGAGCATTACAGTACATGGTGATGATCTGGTGATGACCTTGGGAGACGGGAGAAGAGATGCTGCCTATGGAACAGTCAGATAAGAGGAGATGTCGTTCTCAGCTGTGTAATGGGCAGAGAAAAAGGTTCAGAAGGGACCCTCCCTAATTTGGTGGCTGTAAAAGAGAACATTTGTACTTTCAGACTTGCATGATTCTGCAAGATCCAATCTGAGTCTGTCCCTGGGACCAGAGGTTTAGTCTTCTGAACATTTGGACTCATGCTAGAGCCCATCCTCAGGGAATGAATGTGACCCAGATTGGATCCTGCAACATTATCTGGGAACACGTATATTTACCTTTATTCATTCCACAATTCGATTAATGTAGAGTATATGCTTTGAATTAAAGTCTGGAGGGGGAAGTGGAAGGCATTTCCAATTCTAAATTGACCAAATTTCAGGAATGATATGGACAATCTTATTAAAGAAGATGGAGTGGAATGCTGTGGAATGTAGGTTCTCTTGGTGAAATCAAAGCTAAAAATAGTTCATGTACCTTATTGACTGCATAGAAATTAAGAGTCTTCTACAGCATTAAACAGAATTGCTAAATAATTGCAAGGGAGCAAGATATAAATGTAGGGTCCTTGATGGTGAGCATGGTGGTTTTCTTGCAGACATTTCATTACCAAACTAGGTAACATCATCAGTGCTGATCGTGTTACCTAGTTTGGTAATGAAATGTCTGCAAGAAAACTACCAGGCTCAGAGAGCACCATGGACCTCCCAGTTCAACCCTGAGCTATACATGTTCTTTTCTATCAATATAAACGTAGTGAGACTTCAGATGACTCATTGCAGTTGAATCATATATAGACCCTATGTATAAGTTTTCCTTGGCCATCATTCAGCACGGCTTTGTTCTAGGTAAGCTTCCAGCTTCTGCTGATGTCACACAAAAAACATTGGCTCCCAAAGTTACAGCAGTTATGCATGGAAAAGATGGATGTCTGCAGGACATAAGATTTGGTGTATGCAGTTCTCTGCATATTGCTTCCATTTGGGCCAGATCCTATCTGTGGGAGCCAAACTGGATTCTCTCCTGCAGACATTCAGGCTGAATGTACAGATGCTTGCTGGGAAGCATCATTAGAGCATCACTGGCACTTATCCCAAGTGAGCCTTCCAAAATAAAAACACCTGAATGGGTGTCCTTCCTGCCTCAAATCATTGCTTTTTAATGTGCAATTCTTCTTACTAGTTTCCAGAGCTTGAAGCATTCTGGACCATCAGTAGCAGTCATGAACAATTATGTTAATACTTATTTATAACATTAGCCTTTACAGTTTTAAATGAATGATGTTTTTAGACAAATCCTCTACCTGCTTGTGTTCCAGGAAAACCTAAAGATATTAGAGGTCAAGGTAATTGTCTGAAAAAAGTCTCAAAAAGCCAATCCTGGGCTGTATTGAAAAGCTCCCTGTAATGTCCTGTAATGTCACCTGTCCTGGCTTTGTGATGAATTTAAAAGATGGCTGTTTACTCAGTGCCAAAGACAATAGCTCCAGTGGCCACTGAGTATTGTATGAGGTCAAATACCTTCATCAGATCTATGAGTTTTCAGGGGATCATTTATCCCTATAATGAAGGTAGGCATTTTTGCAGGTACACACACTACAGTTGTTAAGTGAATCACTACAGTTGTTAAGTTAGTAATGAGGTTGTTAAGTGAATCTGGCTTCCCCATTGACTTTCCTTGTCAGAAAGGTGCAAAGGGGAATCACATGACTCCGGGACATGGCAACGGTCATAAATATGAGTCAGTTTGATTTTGCCCCGCTGAGGACCCTAAAAAGGGTCGAAAGTCGCCCCGAAGAGGCGATGGAGAAGGAGGGGACCCTCGTTGATTGCGGGAGGACAGTGGCCCTTCCGTTTGATCTGAAGAAGCCCTCCAAACCAGCGGGGGAAAGACTGGCTACATTCGTGTGGCCAGTCAGAAGCTGCTGACAACCGAAGAAACGTGGATGGAACTGAGTGAGACCCTATCCTCTCTTTATGACTGTAAGACTTTTTCCTGGGAAAAACCACCCAAAGCAAAGAATCCTCCCTGATGAGAGAGAGAAGGGGAATTCTCACCCCATTCCCTCAGGAAAAGAAAAGTGGCGAATTAATTACTTGGGAGAAAATAGAGAAAATTACAAGATTAATTTGGAAGCAATACACATATATAACTCTGAAATTTGGGGACTAAAAGTGCTTTTGAGATATATATATATATATTTTTAAAGACTTAAAAAGCTTGTAATATAAATTTGGATGTAAAAAGCTGGAAGACGGCATCACCGACATCTAATGGAAGCCCAGACTCAGATGAGACTCTTGTTGTTTTTAGGAACTTTTTTTTTTAACATATTTTATTATTTTTTTTAACATAATCACCTTAATATTTGGTAAACAGCGTGTTGTCTGGGTTTATATTTATAAACAATAACAATCTGTTTCTATAGTTCCATAATCCACATAGTAGCTTTCCTTGATTTCTTTTTCTTCCAATAATATTCTCATTTATCAACCTTAAATTAGTACATTTCTTAGTATTTTAATAGATAACAATTGAATATAAACACTTTTCTAGTATGCCTACAAGTAGCAATCACATCAATGTGAAGCATCTTTTCTAATTAATCATCTTAATCACCTTGTCGTAGATCCTGTTTTTAAAATTCTTATTTAAATTTATTTTCCCCACAATGTTCGAAAACATTTTACCTGTTAAGATTTTCTTAGAGTTAATTACACTTAAGTATTTAAGTCTTTTTCCTCATACAAGCCATCCCAACAATTTTACATTTCTCATATTTTAAAACAAAAGCAAAAAAAGAGAAGAAGGAAATAGTATACTACTTGAAAAACATGTCCCTCTTAAGCTAAAATACATTTATGTCCAAAAATGTTTCTATTCTTTTTAACCATATTCAAACAAATATTTAATCTTTAAGTATTCCATCTAATAGATCCACAGCTAATCTTTTAAAACTATTCAGGAACTTTCACTTTTGAAGACTGCAGCTGGGAAAAGGGGAAAAAACCCCAACCTCTTGGGCTGCTTATCTGTGTAGCAGAGACAATAAACTATTTTGAAACTGGCCTGCCTGGACCATGGATATAAATATTAACTGACTTTTAGACCTGTGTCATGGAGCTATTTCCCTATAGAAGAAACATGCATTATTGATTGAGATGATGGAATACTTTAGACTATAAACCTTTGATTGATGAACAATTTTTAATTGCTCTTCTCTGGAAAGAAAGAATATGTTTTTCATTGGACAGAAAAATTTGAAAAATTCAAACTTTACTTATATTTGCCAAGGGGAGACTTAAGGACAGACTGATAGGCTGGCTGGATAATTAGGAGTTTAAATGACAATTGACTGAAACTTTTTAAATCCCTAAATAGATTAGACTATAAAGACTACATACAAAAACAAAACAGATGTTCCATACTTAGCTTCAAATGGTAAAAAACCATCCCTAACTTCTGTCCCCAGAGTCCCCAGCTTGACATACCAACAAGAAAATGTTGATGAATTTCAGAAAGAAATTCTTCCTATGTTAAAATCAATACAAGAGACGATTGCCTTAGCTCATGATGAGACTAAAAATAACACAAAGGAGATAAAAGAACAATTCTTTAATCTAAATCTACAAACTCAGAAAATGACTACAAAGAAGGAACTAGCAACCCAGAAAATAGAAGGAAAATCAGAAGAAGCAGATCCAAAGATGGAGGACCTAAAGAAAGGAACTAACAGACAGACTCAGACAAACGAAGAATTAGAAGACGTAGCGATAATATCGGAAATGGAAAAGATATTTTACCTGTCAAGATCTCAGAACACACTTGAGAATAAGAAAGAAGAGCTGATCGAATGGAAGATAGAGCTGTTAGAGAATTGTGGGAAATTGGAGAAGGAGGGAGGCTGTTTAATGAATATCAATAGGCTGAGCGTCCTTCCAAAAATACTTTAATCAAATTGTTTTTTTATTCCAAATAATATACACAAAAATAGAGAAAGAATTACTTGTTGATTCAAATGCATTGACTTGGAAAGTTAGTTGACAAAGGAAGAAAGCTAGAGTAAGACTGAAGAAAATAGAGGTTTTGACCCATTAGATGGGATATTATACTATTAATCCGATGTCTGAACATGGCTGAGAATAGATAATTGTTAGAAGTATTATTATAACTAGAAAGATAGGATTTATAACTAGAATATTATACTTTGTCATGACAAAGAAAATATGAAAATGCTAAGAAGGTTTGAATAAGGGAAGCTTTTGGTTACCCAAAAATAACTTATTATGAGAAATTATAAGTGATGGAAACATTTTGAACACTGATGGAAAATTAAAAGTAAAAAAAAGCAGGAAAAACAGGATATTAATTGAACAAATGGATATTAAGTGCAATGCAATTAAGAAATATTTTCATTAGAAAATATATTTTAAACTGGCATTATTGATATTATTAGGCAAATGTAACAAAGATGTTGATATTCAATTGTATATGTATTAACAACAATAAAAATTATATATATGGGAAAATGTATACTACCAGAAGAAGAAAAGAAGCATTGCATGGTATAATACTGGACCTAGATTGAAGAAGTCAGTATGTACCACTGAATTACTAATGGACCTAGGACAACCTGTTTATTAAGTACTTATGACTGTAAAACTAGAAAATTAATAAAATATTTATTAAAAAAGTTATACTTTCCATCTCTTTAACAAGGAGTATTTTTCTATCTAGTAAAAAAGATTGAATAGAAGTACATTTCAAATAATCAATATTATTTGACTGTTTGAAATTACTGTTTGAAATTTACTATTTCAATATTTCAAATACTTTTTATAATACATCATGCATATTATAAAAAAGATGTATAATATGTCACTATTATAAAAAAGAGTCTCTGGAAAGAGTGCAGAAAAGAGCAACAAAGATGATTAAGGGGCTGGAGGCTAAACATACGAAGAACAATTGCAGGAACTGAGTACGTATATTCGAGTGAAAAGAAGGACTAGGGGTGACATGAGAGCAGTCTTCCAATATTTGAGGGGCTGCCACAAAAAGAGGGGGTCAACCTATTCTCCAGAGCACCCGAGGGCAGGACAAGAAGCAACAGATGGAAACTTATCAAGGAGAGGATCAACTTTAGAACTAAGGAGAAACTTCCTGACAGTGAAAACAAATGGAACAGCTTGCCTTCAGAAATTGTAGGTGCTTCATCACCGGAAGCTTTTAAGAAGAGACTGGACAACCATTTATCTGCAATGGTATAGGTCTAGGATCTCCTGCTTAAGCAAGGGGTTGGACTAAAAGACCTCCAAAGTTCCTTCCAACTCTGTTATTCTATTATGTTCCTGATCATATATTATTTAGTGCTGTTATGTTCCTTCTCTCTTGGTTTAATCTGTGTGTCGTGCAGAACATCTGGACAGAGGTTTAAAACATCAATTACAGCAGGAGAGAGACTAAAATGGAAAATAAAATCTTTACATTTTTCTCCTCCAGATGATCGAAGTTCTCAGTCAGCTGATTGTAGACAACCCAGAAGTGCAACGTTGGGTGTTCAAGGTGGATAATGAATTTGGGGGAAATGGGACTGCATTTTGTGACATCACTAAACATCTCAAATGCTACCCTTGGATTATGAAGGAACGTCATCGATACGGACCAGAGATATGGAATAAGAGGTGGGCTCATGTAAGTCACTTTGGATTTCATAAATTTTGAGCAGGTGATATCAAAAGACAAACCCTAGAAGGAAAGTCCAGGGGATACTTCCAGGGTTCTGGATCAGTCACCATTAGAACCTCTTCTAATTGTAGCAGATTTTAGTTTGCTAAATAAAATCAGTAATATCCAGGAATTCAGTGGTAGCTATTTTCAAACAGTGCTTTGATTAAGGACAAATCAGGTTGACAGGTTGACCTCATGTTCATCATCTTAGCCAATATTAATAATGTATAAACTTTCCAAACTGGAAGTTGCCATAATTTGTCACAATAGATACAATCTATTGTGACATACAAGTTCTTGTGGAATAAGAATTCACGCTTGTATACTGAAGTTCTTGCAAGCGTTTATTAAAATAAATTTGTAAGTCAATGTATTTTTAAATATTTGGGCAGAAAGGAAAAAGAGCTTTATGAAAACACAACAGGATTTTATGCAATGTATTAAAACAATGCACTATTTATTTCCTGAACTCTTATCTGAACTTCTGTGTCTTAACAGAAGTATCTTCTTATTTACCCATCATGTCAGTAGTGTTTTATTCCAGTCATAAAACTCAGTGCTCAACTCCTGCCGCATCAAAGATGCTTTTTCCAAAAGGCAACTGCACTTTCTTGGTTTTTACCTTTGAAAATATTTCGCTTCTTATCTAAAAAGCTTGTTCAGTTGCAACGACCTGGATGATTGAGAATCTCCATAGACAACTCCTGGTGTCATGCATCCTTCTCTTCCTCTAGAGGTAGTCCTCAGATTATGACCCTAACTGAGATCAGAATTTCCATCACTAAGCGAAGCAGTCATTGAACAAAACAACACAACATCCACCATAGTTCCAGCAGTCCCCATTGCAGTTGTTGGGTCAGGACCTCATGCTTCTCTGCTCTGCCTCTACTTCAGGTCCCCCGCTCCACACCTATCCCCCCCCCCCACAGCTCGCATTGGAAGCGCCTGGCCCTTTGTGATGCCTTGCAGGTGTGCTGGGCGAGGCAGGCTCCTCTATCCCTCTCTGAAGCCCATAGGGTGATTCTCCAGAGAAACTGCAGAGCGCCCACTGTGTCTCATCCCTCCTCATCCTCCAGTTCGGCCACCTCCTCCCCAAACCACAGTTCCCACACAGCTGCCACCTTCGCCCAAAGAGCTGCAACTGCTCTCCATCCCAACCTTCTGTGCTGTCCACGATCTGCAGGCTATCACTCCTCATGCCAGTCCTGGAAGATGGGGGTCCTTTACCTGCACCACCAGCACCACCCTGCGTCCTTCCCTGGCTCCATCCCGCTGCCTCTCCTCTGGCTGTTTCTGGCAAGCTCCCTTAGGCAGATGAAGCTCCACCACCCTGAAATGCTTGCCAAACATATCTTGGGTTGCACCCTTATCCAGCATTTGGATCCTGGGCTAGCAGTGGGACGAAGAAGACAACAAAGGTCATCTGGGGGCAGCTGGGGCCATGGGCAGGTGGTGAAGTGCAGGCTGGACAAAAATGGAAAGATGGCAGGGAGATAGGTAGGTGTGGAGGGTTAAAACAGGCAGTTTGTGCACGTGATTGCTGGGTGCTTCCACAACAAGGACTTTGAGAGCTGGTTGTAACTACCATTTGCTTAGCACCTTCTTAACTTCCGTCACTGAACAAGTGGTTGCAACCTGAAGACTTCTTCTATTGTTATTGCTCTTTTCTGAAAGTCTCAATAGTTTCATTTGCTTATTTATTGCCTCTTGCGTAGGCAGTGATTTTGGCCATTCTGAACTTCCAGAAACCAATCAGAGGTTGAGTAGCCCACCCTAGACCCTCTTTTATGTCCCAGGTACTAGCCCAAATTGAACCAAAAGAATCAGATAGAAGAACATAATTAAATTGGGGTCATTCTAATGCAGCTTTTAGTGCAATGCATGAGAGTGTTAAAAACATCCACAAATTGGGAAAAAAACAAACAATCCCATAAAATTGTTATGGAATCGAAATGAATGGTAGAAAAGTAATTACAGAAAATAACTACACTACTTGGATCCGTTCTTTCTGGATCTCTGTGAACTGCTCAGTTCTGACAATGGAAACAACACATCCAGGTGCAGAATCAAAGTGAGATTTGTTTTTGCAGGGGATTGGCAACCTGAGCTTCCAGACTCATAAATTACTGGATGATGCTTCCCACATTTTCTTAATGTCTTTTTTTTCTGCTGTTGGAATGTTGAGCTTGAATGATTCAAAATATAGAATATATAATAGTCCTGGAAAGTAATGGGAGGGGAAATCTGCAACTAAATTTCCAAATGAGAGGATTTCAAGAGAAAGCCACTGCCAGGGTTTAAAGTGAATAATAATTCTGTGCTGAAGGGAATAAAGCTGGAATAGAATAGAGCAGAGCAGAGCAGAGCAAAACAGAACAGAACAGAACAGAACAGAATAGAATAACAGAGTTGGAAGGGACCTTAGAGGTCTTCTAGTCCAACCCCCTGCTCAGGCAGGAAACCCTATACCATTTCAGACAAATGGCTGTCCAGTCTCTTCTTAAAAACTTCCAGTGTTGGCGCATTCACAACTTCTGGAGGCAAGCTTTTCCACTGGTTAATTATCCTCACTGTCAGGAAAATTCTTCTTAGTTCTAGGTTCCTTCTCTCCTTGTTTAGTGTCCATCCATTGCTTCTTGTCCTGCCCTCTGGTGCTTTGGAGAATAATCTGACCCCCTCTTCTTTGTGGTAACTTTGAATGGTCTTTAAACAGGGCAGTCAGACTACTGTGTTAGTCTACAGTAACCAAAAATGAGGGAGTCTGCTAGCACCTTTTCAGGTAAACTGATTTTATTAAAAGATTTCTGTTTGATGAGCCATAGCTTGCTTCATTGGATGCATCAGATAAAGTGAGCTATAGCACCTGAAAGCATCTGCCCTTTAATGACATCCATAGATTTAATACTTTTTTCAATTAAACTAATCAATTGATTATTTTTTTTCTATTGAATAAGGGAATGGGCTTTTAATCTGCAATCCAATATAACACTGTGGCCCAGAATGTTATCACCATGATTATCAATATATTATATCATTCATGTCTAGCTTTTTTAAGCACTGACAGCTTCCTTTTTTCTATTTTTGCTCTTGAAACCAAGCAACAGGCCAACCAAGCCCACATATAATAAGTTTTACAATGTTATGATTTTAAGAAGCAAGCAAAATCTCTTAAATTTCTAAAAATTTACTAGAACAAACTCGCTTTTCACTGGGAACTACCTAGATAAGGGTTTCTTCTCACTTTATCATCAAAGCAATCCTGTGATGTTGTTTCTGATGAAGTGAGCTATGATTCATGAATTTTTTTGTGTTTTAGTAAAATTTGTTAGCATGAGAAAGTACTACCAGAGGCCTCCTGATTTTTAACTTACTCAGAACCACTCTTTCAGTCAGAGTCGGTCCTCCAGCTTAGCACAATCATTTTGCATTGCATTGTCAAATCTAAACATATACTGTATTGTGTGAGTGGCTGAGCTGTATGTCAGGATGTTGTGATGCACAAAACAAAGGCACAGGAAAGGGTGTGAAGTTCCTTGATTTCTAACTGTCTCACCTTTCCATTTCATGCCTTTTTTCACTCTGCATCCATCTTTCTTTCAGAAATAAATTGCAGTCTCCACTCAGTATTGCCTCTGAATGAGGAGGATTAAAACCTCCCTTTGTTACTGAATGCTCTTGTGATACTTCTGCGTTCAGATATCAAAGCATTACTTTATGAGCACGGGCATGCTTTAATGTCCTATTACAGTACGGAGACCTTCTTTTGATAATGAAGACATTGTGTCATCGACTTAAGTTGCCAGATACCAAACATATGCTGGCAGGTTATTAAAAAAAATCAGCTTTGTGATAAAAGACTCTCCTGCAGGCTAAGAGTTCATGGAAAAAGACTCTCCATTCCAGTAGAGTTATTAGAAATGAGAATATGACTCTAAGCGCTAAATTATGTTAATACTTACAAATAGCATCATTTGCATAACAGTTTATGACATGATCCCAAGATTCTTTCTTCATCGGTATGTAGCAGGGCAACGATTAAGCATAAAGCAGTTTATAAGAGTTCCTACTGTATGTTGCTATTCCATTTTCAAATGTAGCCCAGTTGTTGGATCCTTGAGACACAACGATGACCACCCTGACCTGGACGAATACCTGGCTTCAAGAGAAGATCTATTGTCCAAGGATGTTGATGAATTAACTTCTAAACCTCTCCAGCCTTGGGACAAAATGAGAGATGGACTGGAGCAAAATACCTTGGAAAGAGAGAAGGAAGGTCATCCCGTTTCCAACTTACAACAAGATGCAGTTCAATGGCGAGAAAAGTAAGACCCAGCACTTAGACAGGAAAAAACAGATGTACAGGTACCAGATAGGCAATACCTGGCTCAACAGTAGTGCCTGTGAGAGGGATCGAGGTGTCCTAGTGGACAATCACTTAAGTATGAGCCAGCAGTGTGCTGCAGCTGCCAAAAATGCCAACTCAGTCAAGAGGGATAGCATCAAGATCACAAAAGTGATAATACTGCTTTATTATTACCACACTTGGAATTCTCGGTCCAGTTCTGGTCACCACAATACAAAAAAAGATGCTGAGACCCTAGGAAGAATGCAGAGAAGAGCAACAAAGATAATTAAGGGTCTGAAGGCTAAATCCTATGAAGAACAGCTAAAGGAATTAGTATGTTTAGCTTAATGAAGAGAAGACTGAGGAGAAATACGATAGAAGTCTTTAAATACTTGAAGGGCTGCTACAAGGAAGAGGATGTCAAATTATTCCCCATAGCACCTGAGGGTAGGAGAACAAGCAATATGTGGAAGCTTATCAGAGGTAGATACAACTATTAAGCAGAGGAATAGCTTGCCTCCCGGAATTGTGGTGCTCCATTGCTGGAAATTTTTAGCAGAGGATTGGATAACCATTAGAAGACCTCCAAGGTCCCTTCCAACTCTAAGAAATGAATGCC